TAGAATGAATTCTACTGGTTTAAGAATGATTCAGAATGCTTTCTCTTCAAATAGGGAACGATTTTTCAGTATAGAAGAAAGTATTCCATACTAGTGTGGAACGGTAAAGAACGAGTTCCTTCAGATCGAGAATATTTCTTTCTGACTCTGAACGCATTCGCTCAAACAAGGAACGCATTCTCTACGTAGGAGATAGGTTTCCATATCCGCATGAAACCATTCTATTCCGTTTTTTTTCGAAATATTTTTCACTGGGCGGGTGGCCCGTTTCGAGGCCTGCTATAGCAGCAATTGGAACACTTTTTAAAAGATTTTTCGGTATAATCGACATTCAGCTGCATATCAACAGACAGATTTTTTTCTTAAAATGTTAACATTTGTCAAAAAAAAAGATCTATCCCTAAGATAACATATGCACTATCTGAGTTATTAATGCTTCTGTAAAATTATCAATTATATTTTATTCGTGCTGAATATATATCACGCCTAGTTTTTCTATTCTTGTTGGTTTCATCAACTTTTTTGAATAATTATTTTCTTAGATAAACGATTATTTGAGAATATTATTTCTTTTTAAATTACTCAGATTAATGTTTTGCAATTGCTTCCAAATATTGTTATAATTGACAAAGAGAATATCTAGATTCATGCCATCGAATTTCTTCCGTAACTTTAATTATACAATTAGATGCTACATATTTGTATTTCTTATCTATTCATTATTAAATTTCTGTAAAGTTTTATTATATATATTTTCATCATAAGAAGAAATTTCTGTTCTTTCTATTTCCTATTGACTGCTATTGATTAATGAGTCATTGATGTATTGCCTGTTGTTGTATTTTGACGTTACGTGTATGCTTGCTTTGTGTCACGTGTCTGTGATGCGAACGAAAGAAACAGAAAGAAAAAGCCAACCACATATTTTGGAAGGAAGTCGCATTATGTCTTGTTTGCAAATGGTATTCAAATTTTACTACACTCAACAGTAACTAAACAATGAAAACCTAAATCGAATTGATAATCGTTTATCTTTCTATTGTTCTTTTACTTGCTCATATACTTTATGATTCTTATTGAAAATAAGAGTCATTTCTATGCTACATTGCATCACACGTTGGCATTATCCTAGTAGACATCGAAAATAAATTGAAGAATGACTCAAGTGACTGTTACAACGTATTTTTCCGTTTGTTGAGCAAGTACAAAAAATCTCTCTCTCTCTTCCATCTACAGTATATATAGAGATGGTCGTTCCCGTGTGTCTACTAATAATAAAAAGTGTATGAAAAACATCCTATGTCTCATTTCTATTATTGCATCATTCGCCACGTCACCGTAACATCACAATGGAAAAAAACGTAACTAAATGATTTTTCAAAGAGAAAGTAACGATAAGAGAAAAAATATATTTTATTCTTTTCTAATCATAGTTGGTTTATTCCTACTGGCTTTGAAATTTCCTCCGATTCTTTGCACGCTTTTTCCTTTGTATTTCGTTAAAATAATTTCAAAGAGATATTGACCAATTGGTAATCAAATCACCTTGAGTATCTATTTGCGTAGCTTCTTTAGCTTTAATTTATTACACGAAAAATATATCATTATTCTTTTCCTAGATATTTCAAACTTTTTCGTTATTCTCTTTCAGTAATTTTTTTTCTTCTTCCTTCCTACGTTGTATTACGTAGTTGCAATGAAAATATTTTTCCCATTACTCACCGTACCTTTGCCTATATAAACCAAGCTAAAAAGAGAAAACGTTTACTTTCAGATTTTCTTATCGAAAAGCATATTCAAACTATTTTACTTTGATTTGAAATAGTAAAAGTTATCATGACAGGACCAGTACACCAATTTACTCGTCAACATAGTACAACATCAACTAATTCAAAGATGGATAAAACTTATCCTTCAGAAACTGGCACTTCTGAAACTGTTATTGAACAGGTTCAAATTGAAATCATACCTGATGATGGTCATCATGAAGAAAAATTATTTTCTAAACGAAAAAATACGTCAAGTGATCATGATTCCGGCGCGGAAGATATTGAGCAACAATTGGACGATATGTGTATAAGAGATGAAAATGATCAAGAAGATCAATCATCAGAAAATTCTTTCGGACCCCGTCATGATGATGGTTTTTACGATGATGAAACTACACATAATTCAAACCGTTTAATTATGCAAAACGATGGTAAGTTGGCGATTTTTTTTTCTGCTTTGTCACTATGACTCGGCAAAAAAGAATATTATTTCATAATACTAAATTTTGTTTTAGTTGAGCTTGCGAAACGTATTCCTGATGAAATGAAAAAAGATCTTTGTGCTGATACAAGAGTAGCATGCCATGGTGAATTTGCTCGACTTATTTCAGTGCCATTAGCACTACGTGACCGACATCATTTTCGTCTTTATGCTGCAGAAGAAATTATCAATATTCCATTCATGAATTTACCATATCAATGGTCGAAAGTTGATAACGCTAAAGCTCAGTTCAAGTGTCCAAACGAGCGTTGTCGACATGTATGGACATCAATGCGAGCACGCATTTTATTTTCAGTTACTTCACCAGATGATGGGTGTATTGTACTCAAAATTTTTGGACAAAATTGTCAATCTTGTCGTACATACTCTCAAGCTCTCTGGTATATCGGTAAGTCTTTTAGCCGTATTATTCTATATTGCTAAATTTTATTTTCATATTTTTAGACGAAATTTGTCGAGTAATGAAAAATTTTGCCTGTGTATTTTATGAAAATTATTATCCTGATATGTTGGATGATCCTTATTTACAAAATGCAGGATTAGTCCAGAATGATCAATTGCCAGCTAGTGTAAAACGTCATGATCCTTATCAAAGAAAAGGAAAAATGTCGGCACCACATGTTAAAGAATATTGTGAAGCTTGTCGACATGGAATATGCTTCATTTAAAAGTTATGGACAAATATGAACTTGTAGATGAACATGTTATTTTAGGCGTATAGTCATTTGTTTCTCTATTCTTCATCTATCAGTTTATTTTTGTCTCTAAATTTTATAAAAAAAAACACTTAAAAAAAAGCTTCTTCTGTTGTTTAGTTTTCTGTATATAACTAGAGTATAGTGGTTTTTTCTTTTGTGTGTTTTGAGAAACGTATGAGTGAGATTTATGCAACACCAACAAAAATAAATATATATATATGAAAATGAAAAAATTCGTTTATTTAGATTATATCAAAATAAAAATTTGACTTTTATGATCTTATGGTAAGAAAATTGTTAGATTACGAGAAACGAAAGCGAGTATAGACAAATAAAGAAAAACGAAATTCAAATACGGGAGTTTATAATTTTGGTACTTGTAATGGAGATATCATAAGAAGAGCAAGTCCAATCATAATTAAAGGTGATACAAAAGAAAATATTGCGAGTAATGCAACGATAATACCAGCTACTGGAATAGGAAGGCCAATGAAATAATCATGTGTTGGATGAACATTAAATCTTGCTAGACGCCATGCACCCGCTAAACTGAAAATTGAAAAAAAACTACATTTATTAAATTATTTTCTTCTATCAAAACGTACGGAAAGCTAATAAAAGCAATAATCATAAAAAATGACCAAGGTTTTATTGAATGAGCGAGTATTGCTGGTGCAACACCAAATGAAACAATGTCCGCTAATGAATCTAACTGTGCACCGATATCCGATGACACATGGAGCATTCGAGCAAGACGTCCATCAAAATAATCAAATAGACCAGCAAAAATAATAAACAATGAGGAAAACCGATAATGGCCATTCATAGCCATAATTAATGAAAATAGACCGCATGTTAAATTTGCTAATGTCAATCCATTTGGTGTACCTCGTAGGAGTTTCTCCGCATATTCATCGGCTTTTCTCAAATAAATATTAAATTGTACGCTAGAATCTCTTGCTACTCCACTTATTGTCGCCATTTTGAGAAATTTTGAAATTTGAATGTTTCAATAATTGGGTATAGTTTTGAACCAATGAAAAACTTTGAATTTATCCGGAGCGAATATGCAATTTAATTTTAGCGACATCTTTTCAATAGATCGAATGATTCATGAAGCAAAATGTGTCATGTCCCGAAGTGGAAAAAACTTTACACTCGTAATGCTTTTGTTTTCGATGTGAGTCAGAAGATTGAGCAATAGAAAAAGAGGTACTTGATGTATTTTGAATTGTTTTATAAGTGACTAAAAAAAGCTAAGCTTTGTCTTGTCGTTTTTCACCCCACTGAAATAGGATGTAGAATCTTTCATACAAGTATGTTTTCCACAAGAAAAAAAAATTATCTTGAATTTATGCAATTCTAATTAAAATGTGTGTGACACTGAAAACACGATTTAAATGAAATTGTGTTGTATAATATATGACGCTAACACTGGAAGAATACTATTGTCTGAAGACACTTTTCTATGAATTATGAGACGATTATTTTTAAAATAAAGCGTTTCTATCCATGGCTACTGTTAATACTTTATACCAAACTGGATGATTTGGTTAATTAAATAAGTTTAACAAATATAATCGTACAGAGTAATAAATAATTGATTGTTTTTTAAATGTTTGCATTCGTAAGAATTTGTAAAAACTATATTTCTGTTATATTTGATAAAACATTAAGGATAAACGTCTATATTTTGATGTTGATGTCATCCATAATATATCGCTAATTATTACTTTGTGAACCCATGTGTGATTGGGCGACAGCAATAAATGAAGAGTATTGAGTGTGTTCTGAGTGAGCTATCGATGAATTCTAACTATGTTATTTGAACTCAATATATTGATCATTCAATGAGTACAAAAATTACAAGTAAAACCTATTAAATTCGATGTCATTTCTTAGTAATTAAGTTTCTTTGAATTATTATTTGCGCGACAACTTTGTTACTTCAAGCAATGCTATTTTAATTTCCAATGTTTTGTAATCACAGAGACACAAAAAATGTATACAAAAATCTTTTGAATTATATTCTAACGTATTTCTTGATTTCACTACAGATTCTTCGCAGAAAGACCAATAGTTTGAACGAGATATGCAAATAGAATTTCTTTAAATATAAAAGCAAGTATGTCAATGCATTACTCCAAAACACTCAAGATTTTTTCCATTATTAAATCTCATTTCACTGCAGTATCGAGTTTGCAATCCTACTCCATTTCAAGATTTGTTTTCTCCATTCTGTTCTCGAAAAATATTTCAAAAAAATCTTCGGGTACCTATACGGTAAATACCAATTTAATTTATCGAAATGATCAATAGTAAACAATAGATCATATTTGATGAGTCAATAATGCGTAATATTTTGATGACCTTTTGGTGATGATTGTCAGCTATTCTCATATTAAAATGACTCAAGATTAGTCTGTGAAAAGGAATTTTCGAGAACGCAGGCATTAAATGTGAGTAAAATGGATTTTAAAGTCATTGAAATAGATTTGAAGGAATATATTAACATGTTTTAAAGCAAAACAAGACGACTTCATTAATCTATCATTGTACTTTTTCTTTAAAATGCTGATATCTAATAAAAATATGAACCTCATTCTGAAAATGATCAGATGACACTGGTTGCGAGCTCAATATAAACAACAGATATGAGCAAAGATCTAATAAAACCCTAAAGATTACTCCATGAAAGTTTCGAAGGCAACAGTGTTCGATTGCGAAATACATTTTTTTCTTTTCTTGTACGATGCGCTTTTGTTAATATATTGACTTTTATTCAGTTTATAGATTGAGTCTATAGAAAATAGAGTTATGGAACAAGTATTCCAATAAAAATCAATGAACGCGGCACAACCTATCGCAAAACAAGTTATTATATAGAAAATAACTTAATCGTTTAGAAAATTTAACTAAAGAGAATATGGAAAAAAATTCGTTCACAACCACTTGTATCATTGAAATTGTTGATAAACACTTGAAAACTTCAGTATGCCAATATTGAAGCAAAATTTGTTAAATAAAATGTTGCTTTTGCAACATGTATAACAAAACGTTTACATATAACAGAAATGTCGGCAACTATTGCCTTATTAATCGATAATATAATTAAAGATAAAATTATTGGTTTTACTGATTGAGAAAATCATGATGATTTTTCAACTGAAGCGCTTGAATAGCGTTTAGATCGAAGCGGTGCTATTGATTGCAAACGAGCTTTTGAATTCATCACCAGATGATAATGAAAAGAAGAAAAAGATGAATTTATTAGGGAAAAAACTTAAAACAAAACGCAATGAAATGGATGGTGATGATTTATTCCTATCAATTCATACATTCAAGAGATTGTAAGGATCTAACGTTTAGAAAAATCTTGGATACCTGATATCTTATGTAGCTCTACGTTATATCAGTAGACAATGAGATGCCGTACCTAACTAACAACCTGGTATTTCAAACAATCTCTATACCATACTAACAAATTTTTGAAATAATTTTCTCATGTTCCAAACTGAAATAGAGAAACGCTTACAAGGCTTGATCGCATTGTCCAGAATACAAACTCGGCACTGAAATGTTTCTTGTAAAAATTTGAAAATTATATCATATGACAATCATGTGGAAGCTTTCTTTGAGAATCCAAGACGGTAGCTCAGCAGGAAATCAAACTCTCTATTGACTGAACTTCACACAACATTTGCGAACACCCCTTGTGTCTGAAATACTTCAATGCTAAAATATACGCTCACCATTCGCAATGTCTTCTTAGGTGAAAGCGAATCGTAAACATCTTATAAATTTTTGATTTTTTTCATGCTTCTAATGTCAATTGTATTTTTTCTCTTTATTGTAGCATGTATAGAGGTGTCAGCCGTGCGGCTGAGCGGCCGCAGCAGCCGAGTTTTCAATAATATCAGCCGCCCCCGCCACCAAATTGCTGGTAATTTTAAGAATTTTTGGGGAGCCGCCGTTGCGCCGCTGCAAGAGATAAAAATATTGGATAGCGTCATCCACCGCCGCTGACATCATTACATATGCGATCGAATCGAACATTTTTCTTTTAATTTTCATCAGCGAATCTTTAACTCCGCCGCCGCCGTCTCATAAGGACTTGCAAATATCAAACGGCGCCGCCGCTGTGGAAAAAAATTTCAGAATTTGTAGCAGCCGCCCCTAAAGACATTACTCATTCAAATAATGACCCGCTGGAAATCTTTAAAAATTGAAAATTGTTGGCCACCGCCGCCGTTCACCCCTTCGGCTGACACCTCTAAGCATGTATACAAGAGAAAAATATAAGAAGAAAGAAAAACAAATATCAAAATAAATAGTTATCTTATTCAGAAGATATCTCTATCATATTCTAAAATTAGTAATGTTTCAATGTATTCCTATCGATCAAGATACACTATTGCAATAAGTATACTAAATAAGGATCCTTGTTACCATATCTAGCTTGCTTAAGTAATCCTTTATATGTTTATAAAAATAAAACAAAAGAAAAATAGATCATTATTATTGCTTTGGAATGTTAATATCAATTATTGATTCTGCATCAATTTGTTTTTCCCATTGATAATTCATTTGTTTAAGTCTCGCTTTAATATAATCAACTACAACAATATTATCATATGAAAATGATGTTGGCCACCAACCTTGAAGATAACTAACATGTCCACCTTCTAACGTTTTTATTACGATAATAGATGGATTCTGTAAAACATCGTCATGTGGTAAACCACCGATAGGACATATTGGATCATCAATGGCGCTCAAAACAAGTGTTGGTATACGAATAGATTTTACATATTGATTTGGTGACGCTACACTATAATAATGTTCAACATTTCGAAAGCCATATTGCGGTACAATAGTGTGTATATCAAAATCACGGACTGTTTTTGATTGATAAGCATTGTTAAGATTTACTTGAGAATCTGACTTTGAAAAATGTTCTTCATGTAATCGTAAATGTTGTATAAGATTATTTGTTAAACGTTGATTGTACATACGTAGATTGAACCATCGTTCTAGATTTTTCGTCGTTAAATGCATATCGAAACTTGCGCAGCATACGATAGCACCTTGCAATGAACATTGACTATTTTCTTCACCAAGAAATTTTGTTAGAATACCAGCACCTAACGAATAGCCAACAGCGAAGATCGGAGTTTCTTCTCCAACAGTAGAACGAATGTATTTCAATGAGGCGCGTACATCATCTGTATTTGCAGCACAAAATGATTTTGATGATGTTAATTTTGATTGACCACATCCACGTGCATGTACTACAACACAACATAAATCAAGTTTTGAACTAGCAGATAAAATCATCCAACGAACATATTCATTACAAGAGCCACCTGTAAGTCCATGCAGAATTACTAGAATAGGTTGACGACGATAAGGACGTATATGCCAATCGAGAGCAACTGTTCCACCGGTATTATCGACTGTAACAATAATACGTTCAAATACGATTCGTGGTAGTGGACGAAAAAGAACACCAAGTATTGTCATTAAATGCCTATTAAATATCCATGGTGTTGGACGATATTCGGCAAAGGATGGACATTGATTAATTAGGAATTTATTTTCTTCTGTTGATTGCATAATAATAGTAGAAGGATATCGTTTTATTGTCCTCCATATTAATCCGATAATAGCTACCGTAGAAGGAACTACAACAAGTAAAGTTTGAAAATGATCCAGTAGGTATGGAAACGTTTGATGGAATGAATGAACTAAATGATTTTTGAAAGTTCTTCAACATCTCATTGAAATCAGTTATATTAGCGCATTGAGTCACCATCGTCATACAGTAGCAACTAACCTGTTCTTTAAAACAAAGAGGGCGTTGAATATCAATGTATTTCTCGGTGTTGAGAATAGTTTTATATATTATTATTAACTAAAATTAAATCTTATAAACAAGATCTGGTTGAATTCAATAAAGATACTTACGACAAATTAAAGATCACTATTGTTGATTTTTATTTTAGTGTCATTAAATCATTGATCTGAAAATGAGATAATAGCTAACGATGGATATGGTCTCAACAATATTTTTGCTCATTCTGATGGCTGTAATCAATGCAAGGTTTCCCCATCTACCACTTTCATATATCTCGTCATGATCATGCGAAACAGCTGTTCTTAACAAACGAAGCACATCTCTCTTATTCGTTCTTATTCACTTTGAAACACAGCCTGATGTCCACAAAGTGTTCTATAGTCTTTTCGCAGAAAATTCCTAAGAGTTCCCAAGAACAGAATTGGAAATTAAAACCTACTGTATCCTCTGTAGCCATTCAGTAGAGTCAGCTCCAACGTCATCAGACGTTTTGCAACACTACTTTCTAAATTGCTTCCTTGAATATGAGATAGTGCATCAACTATTTTTTCATTCATGTTATATTCAAAATGTATACAAAAAAAAATCGGTTCCACTATTTTGATCTCATTGTCAATACCTTCTGAATTGTAAACCAAGATAGAATTTCGCTAGATAAGTATCTATTACATAATAAAGGAACAGAAGTCACATTATCCAACAAAAGTATCATTCGACCATGTTCCCTTTTCGACTTTACCCTTCGCATACGAAAGTGTGCCTTTTCCATGCTTTTTGTCATCTTTGAATTGTCCCATGACTTATTCATTCATTTCATCAACTCTCCTTTCTCAATACATTAACCATCATATATGATGATGAATGAACATTTGCGAATACTCCTTCTCATATCGATCACCATTTGACCATGTATAAACACCTTGACCTGCTTTCTTTTCATCAATCCAATCACCTGCATACTTATGCCCATTACCATAGTAATACGTGCCTCTTCCGTTAATCTTTCCGTCCTGAAATTGTCCCAAGACTTATTCAGACATTCTAGCAACTACCTTTTCTCTCGCATCTACTCTGAAATGAGATGAGGAGAGGGCATTTGTGAATACCCCTCCTCATACCGATTGCCATTAGGCCACGTGTAAACTCCTTGACCTGTTCTCTTTTCGTCGACCCAATTACCTGCGTACTTGTTTCCGCTAGCATAGTAATACGTGCCTCTTCCGTGCTTCATGTCATCCTTCCATTGTCCCTTGATTTGTTCGTAGTCTATCAACTCTCCTTTCTCAATGCACTAACCATTGAATTGAGTGAGGAAAAGACATTTTTGAATAGTCCTTCTCGTATCGATTGCCATTAGGCCATGTATAAACGCCTTGACCTGTTTTCTTTTCATTGATCCAATCACCGGTATACTTTTGCCCAGTGCTATAGTAATATGTACCTTTTCCATTAATCTTTCCATCCTGGAATTGTCCCAAGACTTATTCGTACACTCTATCAACTAGCTTTTCTCTCACATTTACTTTGAAATGAGATGCGGAGAGGACATTTGTGAATACCCCTGCTCGTATCGATTACCATTAGGCCATGTTAAAATGCCTTGACCCGTTCTCTTGTCGTCAATCCAATCACCTTCATATTTGTTCCCATTCGGATAATAATTAGTGCCTTTTCCATGTTTTTTGTCATCCTTCCATTGTCCCATGAGTTGTTCATATAGCCTATCAACTATCATGTCTCGTACATCTACTATGGCTTGTGATCCGGAGAGAGCATTTGTGAATAATCCGTCTCGTATCGGTTGCCCTTTGGCTGTGTAGAACCACCTTGACTTGTGTTTATGCCATTGGCTGTATTACCTTGATACGTGTTCGTACTAGCATAGTAATACGTGCCTGTTCCGTGCTTTTTTCCGTTACTCAATTCCCCTTAGCAGTTTTTCTTTTATAATGTAGAATATGTGCAGGCTGTCATCAGCACTACTAATAAAACGCTTCGTCACGCGTAATATGCGAATTACGGTGTCGTATTTGTCACCATTTGGGTATGTTTTGACTTCAACTGTCGATGATTTGCTATTTACTGATGTAGCTTGTTTTACTAGAAGTGATTTACTTTTTATAGCCGTCCGGAAAAAATACTACTCACTAAAATTAGGTTGCGCTGCTGCACCGACATTCATTTTCAGAAATGGCGATGGTAATTCTTCAACGTCATCATTCTCCAATTCACGGAAGTGTATCACGTTCATTGAGTCATGATTTAGTGCGTCACCTACTTTCACTCGAGTACCCAATGAAAGAATAATTTCTTTTTCGTTTTGAATTGAACTGTATGCAGAAATATCTTTGCCATTCTTAACTTCAATCATAAACAATGTTGATACGGGGCCAAGAAACTCTTTGACGACTTTCAATGAAGATGAACATGATGAAAAATACCACCAAGTTTCTTCATTATTTTCTTCATATTTCTTAGAAACTTCACCCTTGATACCACGCCACACATTCATTTGACGACTAGGCAATTTTTTTAATGCTGTATCAAATAACTTCAAATACCCATGCCATGGGATTAATAAAGATCGATTTTGGTCACGAAGTGTCGCGTTAAGCACTTTATATAAACTTTGCTCATCCCACTCCATTGTATATAGGTATATTGCTGCTGATTCTTCACGAGTCAAGCCGTGTTCTGAAGGAAAATGACATTCACTCTTTGCAACTGTTATGGATTTTTCTAATTTGTCTATTTGAGAGATGATTGGATCCAAAGCCTGTCGAAGTGGAAGTAGAGGATGAGTACGATAGCCATGGACAGGCGGAAGTCGTATTGTTTTTTGTTCGATATACATAAATCGGCTCATTTTTGTATTGCGTGCAGAATTTCGTTGTCGATTAAAATGACGAGCCTACGTTAAGCTTGTGATGTTTTCAACAAGTGGATTGTTTACTTCCTTTTTTTCAATTTGAATCGGCCTCGAGCGATTCTTTTGAAACAAAAAAAAACACAATGCTCTCTTTCTTCATCTCATTGGTCTGAGTTGAAAATACATTTTTCAGAAATGAAGCAGAAAATATTGATTTAAGAAATGAGCATAGCCTGGTGAGACTCTTGAACGGGCAACACATACTTTTAGATTCACAAATATATAAAAAAAAAACAAGTTGCAAGAAATCCAGAGGCATGGGTAAGGAGAAGAATGCGTGTAACCAAATATCGGCGTGAAACTAAATCCCAGGATGGTCAACCTTTCATGATAGTTTCGAAAAACAACTGATTTCGTGCGTTCTGAAAAGTGTTGGGCAATAATATGACTGAATCGCAAATAAAATTGGCCAAGGGAACCGAATCATATGCTTCTTGTATCGTTGAAAATGGAGCGAAACAGTGTGATATTGTATAGTATTGATTCTGAATTAATACGTGCTTAGTTGTAGGCATGAAAAGAAAGCTGTATATCTTTAAACTACAAATTGATCTTCCTTTATTGTCAATGTCATCAAAGTTTTGATACATTTTTTCGAGTTGATGAAATATTGTGAGACCTGTTTCAACGCCAATTTTTGTGCATGTTTAAAACTTAGGTTAGTATAGGCTTTATAAAATCATTGTTTTCATGATCAAAATACGGCAATACAAAATATCAAGTTTTTCTTTTAGTCGCAATTCAATCAGTTTGCTTTTAATAGCACTTGTATGTATAAGCAAACTATGTTTGGCGATGAAGAAAAGGAGAACCGAAGAAAAATATTCGTTGGTGTTGTCAAGAAACCAAATAAAATATGTACATATTCATTTTTTTCTCTAGAAGACAAACAATTCATCAGCGTGTTGTCCTGAAAATTATTGTGAAATAATGTGCTTGGATGTGACGCTGTATTAGAAGTGACAAACGTTTTTGTCGTCTGTCGCTGAAAAGACTTGTTTTCGGGTACCACTAATAGAATTTGAATACAGCTCGCACAATTTCGTATGTGATCACGTTGTAACGTTCTATATAGATACGTGTGTTGTTTGATTTTGTATGCATAACAGTAAAGAAAAGGATGGATTGTATAGAAAGACGAGTTCGTTCAGTTGTATATTGACATATTTCCTAGTTAATAATTCTTTGATATTCCAACATTCTAGCAATAAGGTAATTTCAGTTTTATGCTTAAAGCCTAAATCGAGTAATTATGCGCACCTACTCATCCTTCAGTGTTTGTAGAACTAAATATTTTCTGTTTTACATAGAAATAACACAGATCAGAAAGATCTGTTAATCATTTCACCTCTCTTTTCAGTCTTGATTATGTGACTGATTGTATTTCCGTCATTGCCATTTCTTCTGCGAATGTTTTCATATTTTTTGAATATACTTAAAACTCTATGTTCATCGCATGAGAAAGAGTGTAACAAACGCGTGGGAATTCTCAGAAGTTTCTCGAAATGAATAAAAGCAGCCAAATGAACTTATTCAAACTCACTCCCTAATATAATGATAGTTATTGATTTATTTATGGGTCGATCGAAAAAAGAATGAATTATTTTTGCCAATATTTTGGCCGACGCGACTTAACATCATTATGGTGTTATTAACAGAATTTCACGATGTAAAAGAAACTCCAGTCAATATGATTAGTATTTCAAATTGTTGCGAAAATTGCTAAGCAATCATCAAGTAACTAACCAGTGATGTGCCGCCTAAAAGCGCAAGGATATTTTGAACGTGCGTGTCATAGGCTTTAAAAACTGAATATTAACTATTTAAATAATTTTCGATGAGTGACATTGTGCAATGCATTTTGTTTTATCTTGAACAATTTTTAATTTCATGTTGATTGTGTGCTTCTAATGAGGTGTTTATGCGAAAACGAAATAGCTATCATCAAAACTTCGTGCTTATCATTAGAATGATCAATATACGTATTGACTAGGGGTGTCAATTTACAGTTTATTTAATTTAAATTTAACTTCATGAAAAGTTAATTTAATTTTAAATAAAATTCTATCAAGTTAAATTTTAAATAAATTTAAATTTTTCTGATACAAAAATTTAAATTTAAATAAAATTTAAATTTTCAGAATTTAAATTTAATTTAAATTAAATTTTTAATAAATTTTTTTAAATTTAAATTTTAAATTTAATAAACTGTTTGGATGGATACACATGATTGCTACGACAGAAATACGTGACTTTAACAGTAATAAATACTAAATGAGAGGAAAATCTAGTATTTTAGATTAATATTTGTTCATAATAGTCAAAATTTCTCTACAGATTATGCAGGATCCGTCATCTTTGTTCTTCAAAATACTAGGATACTCATAAAAATGTATTTAATAGCACAATTCATAGAAGAATNGTTTATGCTAAAACGAAATAGCTATCATCAAAACTTCGTGCTCATCATTAGAATGATCAATATACGTATTGACTAGGGGTGTCAATTTACAGTTTATTTTATTTAAATTTAACTTCATGAAAAGTTAATTTAATTTTAAATTAAATTCTATCAAGTTAAATTTAAAATAAATTTAAATTTTTCTGATACAAAAATTTAAATTTAAATAAAATTTAAATTTTCAGAATTTAAATTTAATTTAAATTAAATTTTTGAAAATTTATTTCTTGATTTAATAAATTTTTTTAAATTTAAATTTTAAATTTAATAAACTGTTTGGATGGATACACATGATTGCTACGAGAGAAATACGTGACTTTAACAGTAATAAATACTAAATGAGAGGAAAATCTAGTATTTTAGGTTAATATTTGTTCATAATAGTCAAAATTTCTCTACAGATTATGCAGGATCCGTCATCTTTGTTCTTCAAAATACTAGGATACTCATAAAAATGTATTTAATAGCACAATTCATAGAAGAATGACTAGTTTTAACTTTAGAAAACAGGAAACATACTCAAATTTAACTTTATATAGTAGCAATCAAGTCAAAAACTATTTTTATCTGCTAGTTTTCAAAATTTAACTAATTTGAATTTCAAACAATTTAATTTAAATTTAATTAAATTTAAATTTAACTTTTCATTTAAAAAAAATTTAATTTATTTTAAATTAAAATTTTTGAAAATTTATTTCCCGATTTAATAAATTTTTTTAAATTTAAATGTGACACCCCTAGTATTGACAGAGTACACCTTCAAGTTTTGTAAAGCTAACACTTTCTAATTTGTTTCCGATGGATCTCAGGCTATGAAATGATGAATTGTACTAATAACCTTAATTTGGAAAAATAGAACTGTGAAAAAGATATTTTTTTATAAAGAATATAGAAACAATGAAAATTATTTATCGTCATAGATTCAATCCCTCACTCTATTATTAAACATTTTAGAAAGATAATTTACAAAATCGAGCGTACTTTAAATCAGTAATGAATACTGATATTGGTTATCATGAAAAAAAGTCTTGCAAAAGAATTAATCCTATTTTCTATCAGAAGACTTAATATTAAATAGTTGAATAAAAAATATTAGGAGAGAAAAATAATACTAAGGTTCAACTTTTCTTAAATCAATATCAAATGAAGATACAATTTAAGTAGTTTTTAAAATTATAAAAATAACTACAATTAACACGATGAAACGAAACAGACATCATTTGTTGAGAGTGTGTCGAATAGCTTAACAATATATTTAGTTCAATTTATCAGAAGATATCACATTAATAAGATTTTGTTATACTGAAAAACATGATGAGAAATAAACTTCAACTTAGATTTGTCTTTATGTGATTAGAAAATTCGAAATGTCATAATCCAAACATTTTCTCTGAACTTATTGAAGTTTAGCGATCTGAGGAACAGATTTCTTCAACAGTACGACGGAAAAAAATGAGAAAACTTCATTTGCTTTGTTTCCTTAATTTATTATTTGAATTTTTTCTGATTGAATTTAACATAGCCATTATTCATGATTATGGAGATAAAACTATATTGGTAATCATGACAACTGTTCGTATACGTTTTCATGAATTGAAAGTTAATCACTTTTGTGAATGTAAGAAAAATATCTTCACTTTTTTTATTGAGATTATACATGAAGCTTACTAAACGAACACTCAATATGTTTTGCTCTTAAGCCATATTGTCTCACATTCTGTCTGTAGCCGTTTATATCTGTGAGTTATAAAGAATAATTTAGTTCATTACGATTTATCATGAAGTGGACTCGTTTTGTTGATTTATTTCAATTCCTAAAAGTAAGTAAGTAAGTGTAGATCTTGATCTGTGCAACTAATTAATAGGATCGTTACTGAAATCTGAATCTAAGCTTTTCTAAAGTAAAACAAAAATAATGGAATCAATTAGAGAGAGAGAGAGAGAGAAACAAACATAACTTAATTTCATCTCTAACTGTTATGATACACATTATCGATCTAATTCATTCTAGTTGTTAATATTGAATTGATTCATTTATGTACGTATATTCTCAAACTTTCTTTTTGTTTTGTGTTAGACGTTTTCTCTTCTTGATAAGTCTTCTCTGCGTGTAGACGAAACCTTGCTTAGTCAAGCAATAAAAGCATCTTTTATCAGTTCAATGATCTTCTTTTTGTTTTTGAAATTGAAAAAAACCGAACACATTATTTCTATCACTTGAGCCGGATTAATTTTTTAAATATCTTTATTTCAAAAAAAATACTCCATTGTTTTTCTTGATCAAGTCGGTATCGGAAAGATAAACATATCTATCCATGACTAAGGATAAACACATCCAGACAAATATGTATCGTACACTCAATAGTCATCGGGTTGAATGTAAACAGAGTAATGCATTTGAATCAACATCTGCTAACATAGTACCCTACTAGTTTTATAAAGCCTAATCTATGCACTCGCTCAATAGGTGGTCTTTGCTCATGATAGTAAGTCACACAAATATAAAACGTGTAAACACACTAATCGAATTAGTTCAGTGAATGCATTCATGTGCATTATCTATCCTTCATGTGTAAAGGAAAGAAAAGAAAGAAAGATGATGCGTTCAAGAAAGAGAAAAAAAACGAGTTCTGTTTAATAACTCACATAGAAAATTGCCGACATATTAGTATAATAACATCAATGAGAGTTCCTATGGATGTTTATAGAATGACTTTATCGACAATAAAATAGCGGCATTCTATTAAACGTTTCCATATTATCTCGATATGTTTTGTTTTTTAATTTTCTGCTTCTATACAACAAAAAGATTAAATAGAATATTCTTTGATCTATGGCACATTGCAAGTGTGATATACGACAAAAACAAGTTTGCATCTCTATCAACACTTTATGAAACTGATCGGTAGAGGATGTAGGTGTGTTATTTTTCCCTCATGATATTTCTTTCAATGTGCTAATGGATCGAAGGGTGACAATGAAGATGGGCATCGATATAGCAGATAAGGTGTATATGTGTGTCTGCCTATTGACACATCATCTGATATAATAATTTAGTTTTATTATTGTTATTTATCTTACATATGTACAAAATATCTTGCTGAGTAAGATAACAAATTATGCAAGACTTTCTAGTCAAGTGTTATTGTTGATTTAATATATAAATTGAATTATTATACGCTTGATAGAATATATAGGAAATTCAATTTTATTACAAGCAAAAAAAAAGAAGAAGAAAAAGAAAGAAACGAAAGTAAATCACAAAAGTGTTAGTTGACCAGTTGCACTTCCATCGCAACTATTGTCACTACGTTCTTCACTAAATTGTGATGCATCAAAACAATTGCTATCATCCTCTGATGCAAAACCGCTAAGAACATTATCATGAAAAGTTGGCTGTCGTTGTTGTATATGATGTTGATGACTATGAGAATGATAATCATTAGAAAACGGTGGATATGCTTCATTAAACGTTTTCCATGGACCACCTGGATGATATTGAACTTCAACAAGTGATGCTTGCGGTAAACCAATATTCATATCGTTTGATACAGGAGATGAAGCAACTAATGGTATACCATGATTAAGACTTGAGAGAACTTTTTGTTGTTCTTGAGTTTGTTTTGCTAATATACTTTTCTTTTTATCTTTACAACCTATTTTTTAAAAATATATATGTTAAGTATTTTATTTTTGGCAAATCAAAACTTCGATCCTTTGTTCTTACGTTTATTTTGAAACCAAACACGTATAACACGCGGAGATAATTGTGTCATTTCAACAAGTTGCTCTTTCATAAGTGCATCCGGTCGTGGATTAGCACTATAGCATGTACGTAGCGTTAACAGTTGTTTTTCGTTTAATACTGTACGCATACGTGTTGTTTTATCTTTACGTATAGTATTTCCATGATTTGTTGATTTCGAGCCGCTAAGTCCTACTGTTACTTGATTTGACGAGCTTGATGCTGCTGATGATGATGATGATGTTGGTAGTGGACGTAATGGAATATTATTATTATTATTATTATTATTATTATTATTTGTTGCTAAAACAACGAATCGATCGTAAACATCACTGTAGAAAATATGAACATATGATAACTGTCGCTTTGTATATATTTAATGAAATGAAAGTCTCCTAACGCTATCAATCGATTCAATTGATTCTGACTTCAATTCTCAATAGACAAGCATAAAGTCACTACTATCGCAATGCTATCAAAAACGATTTCATTCAAACAAAAACAGAAGAAGATGAAGAATTCGAGCATTGTTCTTTCATCTGATCTGAAAAAAAACTGAAAATATCTCTTATCAATCGACACGTGCATTTATTGACTGTATCCGGTTTGAAAGAAGAAAAAAACGGTATTGACTGATTAGTAATCTTAGTATGTAGTGCGAAAAGAGAGCACCCCAGACTGATCTGACTTCCGTCATGAAAAGCATGCCGTCGATTCCTTCCTTCACGCCATAGTCACATCCGAACGGATGTAAGTGTGCATGCACGACATACGTTTCTTACCTGCTGTTGGATTTCCAACTGAATCCGACGATGACGATTTTGATTCTGTACTACTTGTTTCATTTGATGATAATTGTTGAAAATGTTGTCGACATAAAATTTCATTTTGCCTATGAATATAATATTCATCGCCTGATGTAAGCAAATGATCACAATGATCACAACGAAAACAATCCGTATGAAATCTTCGATAGAATGTCGTACGAATAAATAAGTCATTTTTAGAAAACGATTGGTGACATTTGGCACATTTAGATACAAACAATCTAATTAGAACCAAAAAAAAACAAAAGAATAATTGCATGTTTATCAATAGAATTAATTCTGCTAAGTGAAATCTCTGCATGCGCTATTCTATTGCTCACTCGGATGCAATCTGTTCAAGCGAGAGTGGGGAAAAAGAAGTCAAACCGGTCAAGTAAATAATTCATTCATAGGTTACTATCACAAAACGCCGTTTATAAAAGATATGTACCGTATATAATCGAATTTGCAAAAAGTTTTTCCATCGAGAACAAAACATGTCGTTTTTTCATCGAGATATTGTCCACATTCGTAACATTTTAAACATTGAATGTGCCATTCAAGATCTGGCGCAACTTTTAATAAATATTGATCGTAAATTTGACAATTACAACCAGCACATATTGAAGGATATTTTGTATCTAATGAAAAATCAAAACGTAGTATTTGTCATTGACTTAAAAAAAAAGTTTTTTTTGTTGTTTTTACCTGATGGATAATCATTGTAGCTATTATCTTGATAATGATGAGGTAAATAACGAGATAATTTCAAGCTATTCTTCATAATATTGATGATCTATGGAAAAGTATAGAGTCCTCCGTTATATATTTTTTCTTTTAATATATGAATCACCGACAAAGCAAATCTATATTAGTGAGTGTGTTAGATTCTCTCGTTTCTTTTTTGCATAATAGAAAACCTAAGAATGGAAAAAAGGAAAAGAAGCTTTTTTTCTCTTTTTCCATACTGCCTGCAGACGTTCTAAAGGGGAGGAGAGTGGTTATTATTATTATTATTCCTTTCCCGTTTCCTGTTGGTTGAGCGGACCATTTTCTCATTGGTTGATCGCTCGAAAGAGCACATATAGACAAACAACAAAACGTTTTTTTTTCTCAATGCAAGCAACCAAACGATGAACATAAACGAGAGAAGAAATAGAAAAAAAGGAACATTTTTTTTCCGTTTCATCGTACATTTAACCATCAACGTTCAATCTTGAAGAAGTTGTGATGGTTGAGGTTAAATTGACAAGAGACAAACTTTATGTTTATCCTTCAAATGGATTTTAACCTCGAATATACACATCTTGTATGTGTGCGATTAGTTGAATATACAGTATTAAGATAGACGCTGAGCTATTATCTTTGAATGAGAATCGAAAAGCAATTATTTCATCTAGACAAGAGTAGATATAAACAAAATATGTGTGTGCGCTTAAAAGTTCTCCTGCTCTTCAATGATAGGTGCATTAAATGACATATGGTCAATGTTAGTTTTGCACCTTGTATTAAGAGAAAAAGCAAAAAAAAAAAGAAAGACGTGGACAGACGAAACAAAAACAGAATACTGAACATTCCTTTACTTTTTCTTAGATCGCTGTTGATGAAAAAAAGAAGAAGAAGAAGAAAAGACCAAATAATTAATTGACAGCATCTCGAGTCTCGAAAAAAATAATGTTTATCCATTTAAAGAAGCGTATCATTGTTTGCATTTGATTTATCCAAGCGAACATTGAAGTCTGCAATATGAGTGGAATAGTATGGCGGCTCCGCCTTTACATCTGGATAAAACGACGTAGAGCAAAAAAGGGCTTTCATCTCATTGCCTCAAGGGCGAATGTCATCGAATATTGTACTTGATGTGTGTTCGAAAAGTGCTGGTCGTTTTTAAGCTTCGGGGTAGTCTGATCATCATCATCATCATCATCATCATCAAGCTCCATTAACACGTCCGAGCGTTTTTCTTTTACTCCTTATCTATAAACAAAAGAAGAAAAGATTGATTTAATCAAATATAGGATGTAGAAAAGAGAAAGTGAATGTGACATCATTTCTTTATCCTTATGCCTCAGTATTCTTTTGTTACAAATGCTACTGATAGTTTCGTTGACTTTTAATCTACTCATGCATAGTAAAAGATATGCTTTTTTTTTAATTTGAACTATCAAAAACAATAAAAATAACATTGAACAGATATCAAGTTTCAATTGAATTGGCCATCTGTAAGCTTGTGTGACATTGACAATCATGAAATGTGGCTTATGATATGCTTAAGAGAAAGTTGAACATACACAGTATTAATCTGTCTGCTGTTCAAAAGGTAGAATGCCATCGTCGAGTTACTTTTTCTGGCGACCAGATGACAACTTACTGCTTGTCTATTCCATTTGCCTTAAGGCATACTTACAATCAGAGTACAGCATATAATGACAGTGAAATGATTGTCAAGTCGTTCGTTTCTCTTGCCTCCGATTGAAATCTATCGACTCTCTAATGGATGATAATTACTACTACTACTACTACTACTAGTTCGTTTACTCATCATCTATGGACAAAACATCCACTTGTTCAAATAGATTTCACATTAATGAAGACATATAAAGAAGAAAAAGATTAAAACCCCCAATTGTTTTTTCTTTGCTTATTTCATATGCATAAGAGCTGGAAAAAAACCATGCATGCACTTTTGCATGTTTCAATCCTATTAGAAAAAAATGTGTGAAAATCGAATGTTGATGAGGAGTGGGCAAGTTGAATACAGAGGGAAAAAACGTCGTCGTGTCTCTCACATACTAATTATTATGTGAGAAGAACCGTATGGCACCAAAAGCAATTAACTTATATGCATATTTTGATTATTGATGCAATAAAACAATGGCTATTTAGTAAATATGTTGAGCTTTAATTTGTAGCTAGCTGTGAACACGTCAGAATGGGGCGGAATTGAAACAAGTAATCAGGTAAATGAAAGAAAGTTGCCAATAATAAAGTAACTCGACTAGTCTGATGATATTTTTCGAAAGAAAGAATAAAAAAAAACATGCACATATTATCTTTTCGGTATTTAATATGTTTTTATAGTTTGTTCAACAATAGTTAGAAGATTTGAAAGTACTCATAATCTGACATTTAGTAGCTTTGCCGTTTATTACGGTATTCATGTTATTGTTCGTGACATCATATTGTCTCAATGTTTTACGACGATGAAAATTTTCTATGTGAAATTCAGTTTTCCGTAAAAATCAAGATTATTTTTTTGTATAATATTAGTACAAATTTATAAAAAATGAAAAGTTGAAGGCCAACCCTTCTGGAGAGATCACCATGCATATTGATTTAAAAAACATGAGATTAACTATTATCGAAATTTTTCCGATGATAACGCTTGTTTTCGATTAAGAATGCCTGGTGTAGGACTCACAAAAATGCTTTTAGCCCGGCCTTGGCTGTAATAATAAATTTTAAAGTCATGCTTCATGGTTATATGAACAAGATAAAAAATCAGTTACAGTAGTTTTTTTTACTGAGAAATCAAGTAATGGCGAAACTATACTTCAATATATCATAGTATTCTTTTAAAAATACCGCTATCATCAAATAATTGAATATGGTTTTAGTTTGACCTATGAATCACAGATTTTAATTCTTATATTAAATAGTCGCAGTTCAAATCAATTAGATATTTTGTCAGTTTGCAATTATATTGAAAAATTGCTTTGTTCGAATATTTTGCGTGAAACCAGTGGTATTTAAGCTTTCACCAACATAACAATCGTAGAAATATCGTAAAGTGCAAACATGATAGGCTTCAAGTAAAAAAACTATGAATGCATTTTCTAAATGTTTTGAAAAAGATCATTGTAGACTCTGATTTATGAGTAATTTAATGACATACAACTCTTTGTTCCGCTTGTTAGTATTAGCCGGAAAATACTACTAGAAACGATTATAAGCATTTTTTTGTCACTATGAAGAAGAAGAAAAATAGAAAGGAAAAAACACTCCTGCGACAGTAGAACTATAATTTGAAAAGTTTGGCTTTTACTCTATCGATTCAAGGTACAAAGAAACTTTCGTTATTATCTGCTTGCAATTCAGAAAAACAGACATTATTCTTTAATATGAAGTGCTTTCAGGCACACATCTGCTCAAGATTTTAACCTTGCATAACTAAAAATTAAACCACACATTAGCAGATGCTTCTTAGTTTTACACTGATACCTCTAATAGAGTAAAAATGAAAATCAGTGGGAGTATTCAGGACCGAAGTAAAAAAAGCATGTTAGAAAATTCTTCTTTTGTTAACTAAAACTATTGAACCATCTCATCGAAAAATTGAATTCCTCTTGATAATCGACTTCGAATCATATGTATAAATATATATTTTATAGAAAAAAAAAAAAAAAGAAATTCCACATTTATTTAGAGTCAAGATTTTAACGAGTAATTTTACACGACATTTCAGAGATAATACAATTACTTTAAGTACTGCAGTAAAATATTTAGAAGTCGCACAGAAACTACTCATGACGCATTAGAATCTTATAATTAGACGAACTCGAAGAAAAGAGTTATCAATAAAATATACTATATGTTATAATATCATCAGTTGATTTCAATGGTATAAGCCGACCTCTATCGAATCGTAAGTGAATGGTGGAAAACGGACCAATGCGATAGAACTTTCTTTGTGTCAAAAATATCCTTTTATGATTACTTAACCATGATCAAGCTTTTTATGTCTATGAACGAAAAAAAGAAAATATTTACTTAACTGACTAACATAAATAACTACAAAATTTTTTTTCTTTCGACATTCATTCTTTTCTTTTCTTATAGATGATTCCAGTCCGTCCAGCCAAACGGTTTCAGTCAGCTGCTCACATTAAGCCTGATCGGCCGAGAAAAGGTCTTTTAAAAGGTCAATTTTTATTTGCACCTGACATCTCTATACCAGAAAATGATGTTCTGCCAACACCTGAAACGGACAAGTAATGTCAATAATTAATATAATTAATTTCATAGGTTTTTTTTTGTTTACTAGTGAAAAATCTTTGACTTTAGCAAAAAAACTTTTAAATGAAGAAATCCTAGCAAATTTACGTCGAAGTAAACGAATAGGTATAACTAAATACAAATCTGCAACATCATTCGATTCATTTGTTGAAAGTCAATGTGAAGATGGTATAGAAACACGTGATACTGGGACAATAAAAGGACGTGGAGTATTTACAACTAAGAAATTTTATCGTAATGATTATATAGTTGAATATGCTGGTGAATTATTAACACAAGTTGAAGCGAGACATCGAGAATCTTTATATGGGCGAAATCATAAAATTGGTTGTTATATGTATTATTTTAAATGGGGAGAAAAAGTTTTTTGTGTTGATGCAACCGAAGAAACCGGTCGATTAGGTTTGTAGGAATTGTTTCCTTTCCAGACAGAAAAAAGACTACGGCTAAACTATTTGTGCTTCAGTGTCACATATGGAAACACTAGAATTCAGCTAAGCCTACTTATTGAGTCTAGTCTTGACTCGACAGCATTTTGATCCTATGCAAGACTCCTTCCATAGATATTTCTTAAAGCTGAACTAATCATTATCTTTGTTGGCTTTAGGTCGTCTTATAAATCACAGTCGAAAAAATAGCAACTGCCAACCAAAAGTATTCGTAATACGAGATCAACCTCGTCTTGTCATGGTTGCTCTACGTGACATTGACATCGATGAAGAACTTTTTTATGATTATGGTGAACGTCGCAAAGAAATCATTGAAGCTTTTCCATGGCTCAATGAGTAGTTTTATTTAATTAGTTAAGTAGTTAATATTGAGTGTATATATATATATATATACGATCTAGAATTTAAAAAACCTAACGAATGCGGTTCTCCTAGAATGATATTTCTACTGATGTTTTACACACATATAGAGTTGAAACTAGTCATATTTTTGTGTGTCGTTGTTTTTTTGTCTTGTCTGCTATTGCTTCTTCTTTCTATGTATATACAGCATAATAAATACACATTACTTTTTTTGTCAAATGAATCTTTTTTTTCTTTATTTAAAACAATATCATTTGCGAAGAAAATAATATGCAACAGGTTCAGCAATACATATAGGCAAGAAACTTAAAATGTATACGAATATGCCAGTAAATGCAGGAAATACAATTTCAGCTTCATTTCGACGAAGACCATTAAATATTATTTTAGTTGCTTCCTTGGTCGACATACTTTTTACGGCTGTTTCAATATTAGAACCAGAAAGCATTGGTGTCGCAATTGGCCCAGGTGAAATAACATTCACAGCTATATTATCTTTCGCTAAACGTCGTCGAAGATCAAAACCAAGTGACAGAACACATTGTTTTGTAGTACCATAAATAGGAGATGTAAATATTGCATAAGCGGCTTGTGATGATACAATAGCAATTTGTTTAACTCCTTTAATTTCAATTAAAGGCAAAACTGTATTCAGAACTCCAGTGATGTTAATATTAAATGTTTCACGAACTGCTTTCTCATAATTATTTACTAATAACTGTTGACGAAATGAGACACCAGCATTAGCAAAAATAATATCGACTTGACCATAGGTTTGATGAACATCAAGAAGAATACGTGTCATTTCATTGGCATCAGTTACATCACAAGCATATAACAACAATTTCTTTTGATCAACAGAATTAAATCGTTGTTTTACTTTTTCAAGTTTTTCAATACTTCGACTAATCATAACAATTATTTCACATGATGGACAATGCTTACAATAGTATTCTACAAGACCTTCACCAATACCTAAATAAAACCATTACATTTTTTTTGATAAATATATATTTCTCGAAATAACTAGTTGAACATTTAATTTTACATTTAATGTCATTATACGACGGAGAAAGTTCACTCAAAATTTTCGAAGTACTTGAAACTTTCCATCATCTGAAATTTTTGATTAAAGCTCGATAGGAATAGATTGAATACAATGGCTGCACTCTATCCAAGTGTTGAATTTGATTCCTCTTCTTTAAAATTAATTTTTCAATCATTCTAACGGGTAACTTTTGGACACCATATCGTTATGAACATATGATTGAAAAATGCAAAATGTATTTTCAATGAGAATGGATCATAAGCAAACCTTGTGAAGCTCCTGTTATAACGAGAATTCGTGGATGTTGTGGTGCTTCAATATTGTCCCATGGATGTTTTTCTTTATTTAGAAAAAACTTAATAATAAACCAAACTATATAAAAAGGATATTGAAGAAACCAAGCTATAAGTTTTAATCGTAAATTATCATCAAAATGCAACATTTTTATCAATTGTGTGCGAAGACAATATTAATCTTTGGTTCTTGAATTGTTCACGTAGCAAAGAGATTAAACCGATATTGCCTATAAATTAATCAACGATTCTAAATTCAACAATTTCCTATTAGACTTTCTATTTATGGACGAAAATTCTTAAATGTTTAGAGTTCAAAAAAAGGAAATTGTTATACTTGTGCTGCTCTCTAGAAATTTTGCGAAAATAATTCTTCACACCAATAAGAAAAAAATAACGATACTCAAAAAAGTGACTATATGATAATTATCTCGTTTTTATCAATATGATATGAAAAAAATATATAAAATGTGTTATGTTGCTTTCTTTAAAACTTTCTTTTAGATGTCGCTAAACAAAAGTTTATTTGCTGATAAACATGCAAGACAGAGACGTTCTCTATTGCAGACAATGCAACACGCAGTCAAGTCAAGTTCATTAACACACATGAGACAAAAACAATGAATGTCCTGAATATATGACATCTATGCAATGCTTTGTTTTGATTGGTTAACAGTCCTCTACCTAATTCTTTTTCGCCCGTCTGATCTGTGTTTATTTCTACTGCTTTATTATTACGGATCATTATTTGACTTATTCAAATTTAGGTGATGTTTTTAAATTTGCAAACATAAAAAAAGAAAAAAAAGACTTGAAAATTAAAAAAACTATGAACCAAGCAAGACAAATATCTGGTTTAACAACATCTACATCTCATTACACATCATCTAGATCATCAAATTCACCGTCGATAAAAGCTCTTCAACTTGAATATGCAAGATTACAAAAAGAACCAGTAGAAGGCTTTACCGTTAAACTTGATGATGATTCAAATTTGTATAAATGGCATGGTAAATAGAGCTCATATGATATTTGTTTGTTGTTTTCACGTTTTTCTTTTAGTTGGAATTTTTGGGCCACCTGATACCTTATATGAAGGGGGTTATTTCAAAGCAGATATGGAATTTCCAACAACTTACCCATTTGCTCCACCTAAAGCAAGTCATATATATGCACTTAATCGTTTCATATGAGTAATCATTATTGAGAGCAAGGTTATCGATAAACAAATGAAAACTGATTAATTGCATGATAAGAGCAAGAGAAAAAAAAGATTGAACTGCGATATTTTGTTTATTTGGATGAATAGATATTTATAGAGGTTTTACATTGTATAAGTTGGATGGGAACCGAGAAAATTCTTGTAACGTACTATCCGTTCTTAATCCTTGGGGTCACATTGTTCTAGTATCATTCTCATACGTTCTATCAATATATATCCATAGTGAATATAGTTAAACAAATAAATGAGAATTTATTATCGATTCGAGTGATATAGTTACTTCAAAATATCTGAACTATTTGTATTCAATAATGAAAGAATAAATAATAGTCAGATATATTTATTTTTTGATTTCTGGATAATAGTATATTAGTCGGTACTTCGGTGATTGGCAGTTGAGGGTCAAAGATTTTCGGATTCAGTGGGCTATTAGTTGCACCTGTACACATATATTTGCACCATTACAGCTCAAATCGAACGATAAAATCTCAAGGTCGTTTTAATCGTAATTAACGCGGGAGGTGAAGCAAAAATTATAACTGCCGATGATGACTGTTGGTGTAGTATTTCTGTTTTTTATACTGTACATAGTCATTATTTTTCTAGCATAGCAGTGATAAATGAATGAAAGATATTTTAATAAATTAGAAAAAAATTTAAAATAATTATGAATTTCACAATAGGTTCGTTTTCTAACGAAAATGTGGCATCCAAATATATATGAGTAAGTAGAACGTTTTTTCTTTTCTTTTTCATGTTCTTAAATAAATATATTTGTTTCAATACAGAAATGGTGAAGTATGCATATCGATTCTACACCCACCAACAGAGGATCCTCAATCAGGCGAGCATCCAAGTGAACGATGGAATCCAACGCAAAATGTTCGAACAATTCTAATGTCAATTATTAGTCTATTAAACGAACCGAATTGTTCATCACCTGCTAATGTTGATGCAAGGTAAAGCATTATTTGATGTTTTTATTTTCTTACTTTTTTTTTTGTTTCTTTAGTGTTATGTATCGAAAATATAAAGAAAATAAAGACAACGAATATGAATCAATAATAAAAAAACAAGTCAATGAATCACGATTAGTCGCTGAGCACGAAGGCATAACGATACCAAAAACCCTTGATGATTACGTGGCGCCGTCACGTGCTGGTGCACTTGGATTGAATGGCGGCAAGAATGGTAAACGATCTGTATTCAATGCATTATCACACGAAGACGATGTTGACTTAGGAATAGATGTAAAAATTTTCTTTTTCTAAGCTTAATTCTATTGTTTGCCTTTTAGGATGATGATGATCAAATGGCTGATATGGCTGATGATGATGATGGATCTTATGATGATAGCGATTAAGAAAAAAAAGTCAAGAATAAAAGAATTTTTTTTCGTTTCTCACTGTTTGTCAATGTAGATTTCATTAAGAAGATTTTTTTTCATAATTATTATTTTTTCTCCTTTATTTGTAAAAATCTAGAGGTGCTCAAGCATATATATTGTATGTTATAATTAATTCTTGTAGATATGACATCAGAATCTTCTGGAATATTATCGTCACCCGACCGATCAAGTTCACCTTCCTTAACAGAAGACAGTGTTCATGGCTATTGTACGACAAATCAGATGTTTACTAATTTTGCCGGCGTAATGTCACAACAGATACGTTCACCCGTAAAACGGCCATTGACAATTGAAGAATCGCTTATAACGACGAACGATCCAAAACGTGTTTGTAACAGGTACATGAGACTCACAATTATAATGATTTTAGTGTGAATTTTATGCTTAAGCCGATCAGAGGATTATTCATTAGGTTGAAAAATTCTATCCAACTAGAGCGGAAGATATTTTGATCATAAGGTAGCAGAACTTATTTAGGGCAAAATATTTTATAAGTTTCGATAATGACGAGAGTAGATGGTAGAGTCCATCAAAAAATCAAGAAGCTTCTGTACTAGAAGGTGAGAAAATTGCCTGTTGTCTGTTATCGTATTTTTTAAACTATTCCATGATATAAAAAGACGGAAATAACCAAAGGCTAAGCTACAGTTTGACATTGATAGATCTTGTGTTATTGTAATCATAGCTGAAAAAACTATGCTCTCTAAGTAAATGGCAAAGCAAACTGATGAGTACATTATTGAATTGCTTTGGTAATAACCCGTTGTGGAACCAATTTTCAAAGAAAAGAATCGTATCACTGTGTGATGCACTGATGGAAAAGGTTCGTTTGATTGTGTGCTTTATCACGGCTTACTGTCCTTGTAGAGTAATCACAATTTGATCAAATCAAATGGAATTTTCAGGTAAACTAGAACTTTCTCATGTATAAGTGACGTCGAATTAAAGAGTCACTCCAAATCGAAGGTGAAAAGTAGGTGAGTGCATTACCTGTGAACAAGCTGCCATAGAGACACGACAGAAGGAGATTTTTAAGAAAGTAATTTCACTTTCATGGTGAAATTCAACAACATGAAAACAAATGCGTGACACAGCTGCATTGATGTATTGTTTATTTTGAATATTTCAGTCATGCGATCCTTATTATAGGGATATAGTTGAATGTTATTAAAAGAAATCATTCAAATGCTAAAATAAAGTCCCTATAATACTGAATATTCGAAAAAAGCCTCCCTAGACCAAAAAGAAAAGCGATCATTGGAAATTAATCAGAAGACACATCCCTTGAGAAATTCATACAGCATTAAAATTTTCCAATATATATCTTGTTTTATACAGAATAAATTGTTTTGAGGAGTATGGATCGATCGTTTGGAAGTGTTCATCATATATTGAAGGTTCAGTGGATTTCTTGCAAAAAACAATGTGACAGGAAATTAGATCCAGGATAGTTGGAGTAGAATATTTCAAAGTCAAGTCTTGATTACTTTTGAGAGAAAATGAAACACTTATCTTCGAAATTGAAGTTTGTGCTCTACAAAAATGCATATAGCGTTTGTCATTCAATACGACAAAACTTGTTTCATCTCAAGACGTTCTTTATAATACTTTGTGAAGAAAAACTATCTATTAGCACAGTAAAGTGTTCTTCTGTCATGTGTCATCCTGTTCGAAGAACAATCGAATTATATCGAGTATTGTCACTCAGATAATGGTAAATAAGTTTCGTATTCTACTAATCCATGTCGCTTATTTGAATAAGAAATTTTATCTTATTTTTCTATTTTAGTAATTTTCGAGAACAGCTTGATCTGGAATTAGTCTTATCACCTGCCATTGCTACTCCATCGCCATCAGTACTATCTTGTTCTTCCAACACAATCGATTCTTTATCGTCTTCACCTTGTACACCACTATCGGCCGATGTTCTCAATTGGCTATCGATATTTTTAGCTATGTCTAATGACGAGCGTAGTCGCGCTACCGAAGCACTAATACATACTTGCTCGACGAATACTCTCCAGTTAAATCATATCAAAAATCAAATAGAGCCATATTTTCAACGTGATTTTATTCGTGATCTACCGCGAGAATTAGCATTACATGTACTTAAATATTTACCGGCCAATGATGTCTCACGAGCATCACGTACATGTCGATCTTGGTACACAACATGTAGTGATGTGTTACTGTGGAAAGGTATATGTCATAGAAGGAAAATTCCATTGAAACCTCTACCAACTATTTTTGATGACACTATCGATAATCAATGGAAACGTTCATATGCATGTCACAAACATTTAGAATATGTGTGGCAACATGGACAACCGTTGCCTGAACCATTGGTATTACGTGGTCACGAAGATTTTGTTATTACTTGTTTACAATTCGATGGAAAACGTATTGTATCAGGTTCAGATGATAATACATTAAAAATATGGTCGATAGCAAGTGGAAAAGTAATTAAAACTTAATTTTTTTATATCTACAAAACGAATCTATATATTTTATTTGTTCATCTAGTGTGAACAAACATTGATTGGACATAATGGTGGTGTGTGGTGTAGTGAAATGACAGATGATTTAATAGTTAGTGGAAGTACAGATCGAACTATACGTGTATGGAATATAAATACAGGTGTTTGTCAACATGTTCTATATGGGCATACATCAACAGTACGTTGTCTGGCATTACATGGTGATATTGTTGTGTCTGGCTCACGTGATGCTACTGTTCGGTAAAAAAAGAGAAAATTAACGTTTGCCAAAGAAAATATGTTTTCTTTTCCTTTCGATTTTTAGTGTATGGAATATTCGTACAGGTGGACGTCTCCATATGTTAAGTGGTCATACAGCAGCTGTTCGTTGTGTATGTTATAATGGAAAATATGTTGTATCTGGTGCCTATGATCATACCATACGTGTATGGCTACCTGATCAAGAACGATGTGTACATACACTTGAAGGACATACAAATCGAGTTTATTCTCTTGTCGTATGTATTGAATTTTGTGTTTTATTTTTGTTGGAAAAAAATTTATATTTATAATATTTAGTTTGATGGTAAACATATTGTATCTGGTTCATTGGATTGTATGATTCGCGTATGGGATGTTGAACAAGGTACATGTGTACATCAGTTAACCGGACATTTATCATTAACAAGTGGAATGCAATTACGTGGTAATATTCTTGTGTCTGGAAATGCTGATTCAACAGTGAAAATTTGGGATATTGAATCCGGAAAATGTCTACATACACTTGCTGGTAAGAAGAATTTTATTGAATAGCTTTTTAAATATGGATTTTCTGTTTTTTTTTCATAGGACGAAATAAGCATGCATCAGCTGTGACGTGGGTTCAAGTAGTAATGAATTATGTTGTTAGTTCGGGTGATGATGGAACTGTCAAACTATGGGATTTAAATACAGGAGATTTTATTCGAAATCTTGTGTATCTCGAATCAGCTAGCAGCGGAGGTAAGACAGTATTTTGTAGAACAAAAAACTAAAGCGCTGTGGATTTGGGTCAGGAGAAGTTGTGATCGATTGAGATTGCCAACGTATGCCGCTAGAATATTTGAAAATTTTATATCCGATGAGTTTTATCTGTTAAATTAAACTGCTAATTATAGAGAGATTGTTTTACTCGATTTATTTCAGTATACATTTCTCTACCATCACGCTTTACTTCAAGGTCTATAGATGCAACGAAGAATTAGTTCGTATATACTAATGAGATATTATTGACATACAGTCTGTGATCACATATCAATAACATCTGTCGCAACCTTTAATAGCAAGAATTATTGATAATATATTTGTCATATGTATGAGATGCGTTTTTAAATAAAACAATGCAAATCTCTAGAGAGATCTTATGCTAAAGTAATTATTCGTTGATTGAAAACGTATTTGAATTTACTTCTTTTGACAAACGAATGAGTACAAGTTGAGATTGTGTATATATATATATATATATATATTTTTATTCATCATTGAAAAACTTTCAAATGAACATAAAATTTTGTTTAGGTGTTGTATGGCGTATTAAATGTACAGATTCAGCGTTAGTATGCGCAGCTGGCAGTCGTAACAGCACAGAAGATACTAAAGTGATCATGCTTGATTTCGATCGCACAACGATCTGTTCATAGTGTTATTTGCGTTCCTATTGTCTTCAATTCTGTGTCTTTTAAAACGTTTGTCTCAAAATTTCATGTCTGTTGTCTCTGTTGTTGTTGATTATTCTTTTTTTCGTTTCTTTACTGTTCTCAGTGTGCCAACTCTGTTGTCGGTTTTTCCTTCTCTTTTTTCATTGTTCTACTTCTTTTATATATATATATATATATACATATATATATATATACATATATATATAAGTTATATACATACATATATTATTATTAAATCAATGCACACTATGCCTGTTGTATCACGACTTCATCCTATTAGCAAGAGAAGAAGTACGCGACCAAAAACATAAATATACATATTTGTATGCTAAAGAAACGAAAATAAACTTCAACTAGTTTTTTTTAATCTCTAGAAAAACAAAATGGCTTTTACACTAGACGAATTTTATAAATGTATTTCCGATCTATATGATCAATCAAAGAAAATTCATGATCGATGGCAATTAATTGAAACAAGCAAAGGATCGTATTTAATTTATTCATTTATTGATAATAATTGTTTAAAATATGAGTTTCATATTGTATATAGTGAAAGTTATTCTGTGCCTGTACTATATTTTAATATAAGTAATTTAGATGGTTCCTTATTATCATTAGATGATGTATGGAAATTATTTATGCATAAAAAAACTTCGAATATGTATGAAACAATTACTCAACAAGAACATCCGATACTTCATCGACCATTTTTTATTCTTCATCCTTGTCATACAGAAAGTCTTCTAAGAAAAGTAGTAGATCAGCCAACTAAAAAACGATTCATTTTCTGGCTTTCAATATATGGACAATCGGTTGGTTTACCACTGTCAGTTAATTATGCAATTGATTAAGTTTTTTCGAAACTTTTTATTAATAAATAATTTTTTAAAATTTCTTCTAATCGATTGTGAACTTATTTTTCTATGAAATCTAGAGCCACGTTGTTTTATTGCCTTTTAATTCAAAGGATATTTATGAGTAAATTTTGTTCATTATTATCTGATTTATAGAATTCTTATCCTACTGTAGGATGAAAATATTATGGCTATTTCAAATACTACTAGATACATTTGCTTTTGGTTTTGAAGATCGCTGATGATTTCTGTACTTATATAGCAAAATTTAGATATTCTAATGCGTAATTTTCTCTGAAACTATCCATATTTTTCAATTAATGTTCGACATTTTTCTCACTGCTGTTCGTCGGTAAAGATCATAGCGAACGAGAAAGCTTATTACATTGGAGACATTAGTAAATAAGATATGACCTTGTCATCAATTAGTGAATCTTTACAACCATTGATAGAACAAAATCTTTTTAACCTAAAGAAAAATTCTCTTAGTACAAAACGTAGATGATTTGATCACTAGAGTATCAATGATAAAGCTGGTGCTCGTTGTGAATGAAGGTGAATATGGATCTAGATCTGCATTCAAATGACTGTTTGAACGTATTAGTGATAAGACAGACCATTCATTCATGTTCTCACCATGTATATTAATATCGCGATATTCAGAGTGTGCAGCGTGTCTTTTGTTTATTAAAATATTGTATACAGTTAACATGACTCGTTATTATATAATTAATATGTAAGATAAAAACTGAAATGATTCAAATCTTGTAATGGCCTTGCAAACATTAATTTACCAAGCGTAACTCTCTATTATCAAATTCGTCAGCCACGACGCTTGTACTAGAAGTATGAGAAATATTATTTTTGTCCTTATTTCGCTTAAGGAGCAGTAAAATTTTAGCTAAATGCTGTCCTGACCATGTGTTCATGTAAACTTCGGCCATATAAACTGTTGATGGATATATAAAGATTAACCATGTGATAGCAGTCGGTATACTCTGTAGGATTTCTGCCAAAACTTTGATAATATATTCTCCTGTTGAAATACCACATTGAAAATACGAATGTTTAGAACTATCTCTCGCCCCTTCGGCAATAGCATACGGAACATAACTAAAACCATAGGCAAGTGGTGGTATAAAAATGAACATATGTGAATATAATAGTTTAAGAAATGTTTGTATGAATGAGCCATTCTCTGTCCCGTATCGACGTATACGACGTGGGAAACTAATTAAGACCAATACAGTTGCTAGTGCATAAATTGTAGGTCCTGTAGCAATGTAAAAACAGATGAAAACAGCACCTACAGTCTGTAACCCGGGTATATTATCCCAGCCACACTTGTGCATTACCACTGGTGTGGCCGAGGCAATAGCAATTGAAAAGAAAACTATCAGAGTAACAAAGAGTCGCCATCGAGTAACGTGTGCTCTACTATCGAAACATACAATTAGACCACGTTGAAATGCTACACATGCACTGAGCCATATACAGCTGCCGACAAATGTATTGTAATCGATTTTTAGACACGCCACAATGAAACACTTGATACTGGTTACCATTTTGTATCAACTGATTAGGATAGTTCTGCACAATATAATCAGCTACCAGTAGACTATTTGATACTATTGACATAATTGAATAGACGATTAAATCGACACCACAGTTGCTACGATGAATACGTCTACAGTCGAGAAATACTCCGAGACCGAAAATATCATTTAAAAGTGAAAAATCCAATCCAATTTCGAATATGATTAAATAGATATATGTTGTATCAAACTGTATCTGTTTTCAAATATCATTTTCACACAGAGAACCTTCATGATACGGATCACATGTACAGTAAGTTGTATTTAACGTAATATTTACAACGCACTGGTCATTATTATGGCAATCCAAAAGATCCAAACGACAGATGTCGACCATAATATAACCTACAAATAGAAATTAAAAAATAACAGGCACATACGATTCTCTATGTTTAGTGGATAATAAGGTCTAGGAATAGAAATTCACCAATGTCTGTCTATCTATACTCTAATTATATTATTATAATTTTGGTAGACGTAACCATCTTGAGAATGTGAGTGTGAATGCATGACCTATCTTGTCAGTAACTCCATCGTACGCACAAACTCCAGCAACAATGAAACTGTAGTTGTGTCAAGTTATTAGAAATATACGTCTTGATATCGACAATAACTTGGCCAATGCTAACTTACGACTAGTATTTATACTGTACATCATAGACCGAAACCGAGTCGAGCCGAGTGGACTTTTTCAAATATGTGTCGAGTCGAGCCAGACCTACAGCCGAGTCGAGTCGAGTTTGATTTGAGAGACTCGACTTTTTAAAGTTTTCACTGTTTCTCGACATTGACCGTTATTATCAGTATTGCATTGAAATGATACAAATCTCATTCATTGCAGTGAATTAATCGAACAAAAAATACGACGATCAACTAACGACGTCCAATAGACAATAATGAATGACATACAATGACTTTTATTGTATTCAATACATCAGGTTCTATTCACCAATTAGTCACACAACAATGGATTGACCGGATGGACTCCTGTTTTGTCGAAATTAACACCTCTAACGCAAATTACTTCAAAGCATATCAAAACAGTAGGGATGTGGATGAAGGTGATTTTTCAACGAAACGGAACCTAACCAATCGACTGATTACGGATATATATAATTGTTGTTGTTGTTGAATAAACCTGCTTTTAAAAATTCGCTGTTTGAGTCGAGTCGAGCCGGATGTTTTTTGGCTCGTTTCGGTCTATGTTGTACATTACCTTGGGCATCCTTAAATCGATTTAAAATGACTCTATAAAAAATTCTACATTGCACAGATTATACATAATTTTCTACAATAGAACAATGAACTAATTTCTAGTCTTATTTACTTATCTATACTTTTAACAGTAAGTAATAACTGCATACGTTCCCTTTATATGCTGCTCCTAGTTGGATAAAAACATCTATTGATGAAATCAAGTAAATAAGTTCGAGGAAAAAACAACACCAGCGGATCTATTCATTCGGTATCAGTATTTTGCGTTATCAAAAGGGCTTTCATAATCTGGAGCAGCGCCCATACCTTGCACTTTTATGCTAATTGTATGTTATTGAATCGTATTAGAATGTTGTTTTTTGGATTTTTTGAGTTTCTTGAGTATGCTTCCGAATTCGAAGATTAATTCATATGATAAGTAAACTTCATTATAATTCAGCGAAATATATATATCGAACTAATAGCGTCGATCCGTTGCTCACGAGCAATATCGAGGTGAAACCAATAGACTTTATCCACTTGATTGGGTGTTTGAATGAAGATGAGCTTTCTATGCACATGCACATTTATCTAATTTAAAGATCCAACTTTACCCTGGATTTACAATTATTCAGAAAATATGCCCAATAAAAGCTAACGAATAATTTCCTCCGAATTTCTTGTTTACTGAACTGCTGATAAGTTTTTTTCCTATCGACTCTAGAACTACTACTGACACAATATTGCAGGACTTATATATATTTTCGAACAAAGTAATGAATGTAAGTTTCAACGTGAAGTTCTTCGGCTCCTTCGCCCATCTTATTATGCATTCAAACGGAATAAATTTGTCATAGTTCATTGTTGCATACATGACTGCTGTGCATTATAATATATGTGACCATCGAGACAAAAAACTTCTGATTCTTTTTTCAAATTTTGTCCATTCTCCTACGTTTACATTCAGTTATTGTAGTTTTATTTCGTCGTGATCTTGAATCAGATGATAATCAAATTATGGAATATTCTCCATGATATAAAAATCGATTTATTAAGTGCAATATTTATAAAATAGAAAAAAGTTAGATTTTCAAGTGCATGTTTATGAATATTTTGATTATATTAAATATACTGCATCTTTAATAGAATTAAAATCGTTTAGCCTTGCAAAAAAATACATTTTAAAGTTTTGTTTTTGTTTTTGTTTTTAAGAATTGCTATCCACTTCAAGCTCTTCGTTAGTAGTAGTAGAAGTAGTTGTAGTTGAACGAGGATAGTTAACGCTGTAAGCATCGTATTGATTTCTATTCTTTCGATCATCATGTATTGGAACACGCGATTCGTATCCATCACCGATTTCATAAGTATCTAATTCCGCCCAACTATTAATATCTGGACAATAACGGTTTGTTCCAGTATTTCGATAAAGTGGAAAAGATGGTTCACATCGTTCCTCTAATAAACAAAACAAAAACGAAATAAACTGAAAATATAACATTAAGTAATAGAAGAATATAAATTACCGTAATCTTCTCGTGCTTCACGTTTTTGTTCTTCACAACTGGTTCTGCCAGGATGGAAAAAAGTTCGTTTTAGAAAATGATTAGCATGAGCCGCACCTAAACATTAATAAGCATAGGAAGAAATTTATCATAAAAATAATGCATTTGTTAGAATTAAGATAGACTAAATTGATCGATTAATAGCGTATTGAAATTCTATGTAAAATTTTACAATGAAATTATTCAATTTTGAATAGTAAGCAAAAGAAAACAAACATTGACGCAACAGCAAATAAACAAAAAAAGGGGCGTACGCACTTGTGAAAGAATCTGTATTAAAAATACAGACATAGCTAGATAATCAATCTTTATAATCATATCATAAAATATGATATTCCGCACAGAAGAGGAAAACAGAACTACTCTGTCAGTTATCATCATTAACACTTCTTTTGCCTCCCACTCCCGCTGAAATAATTCCACCGATAACACCACCAATAATTTTTTCCATGCTCATATTTTGTGGTACTAATTTACTCAATGTATCTAAATCAAAGCCACCTCCATCTCCAATTTCGTAAGTATCCAATTCTTGCCAATCGTTGATATCGGGACAGAAACGATTGCTGTTACGATTTCGTTGCCATGGAATCGATGGTTCACATCTTTCTTCTATATTTATTTTAAAACAAGTATTTTAATGGTTCCAAATCAGTAACCGTCTCATACCGTAATCTTCTCGAGCTTCACGTTTTTGTTCTTCACACGAGGTCAGACCCGGATGGAATATGCCACGTTTTTGACGAAGAAATTCATTTGATGTAGAACGAGCTATAGTATAGAACAAAGAGTAAACAAGGCAGACACAAAGAGAATAAGGTATTAAAGGATTTAAAAGAAAAAAAAAGATTAATATATTAATGAAAATTCATAGAAAATACTACAATAAAAAACGAATTAAAATTTATTGTATTTCATATTTAACAAAGACCGGCCAATTTTTTAATTCTGGACAATAACGTTTGTCGGCTGCATTTTTATTTGATAATTTAAGATGAATTGATGGTTCACAACGTGATTCATAGGCTGCTTTTGCTTCACGTTTTTGTTCTTCACATTTTGTTTTAAATTGTTTATAAACCCGTTTGCCGACGAGAAAGGAGAGAGCATCGAATGGTTCTACATACACACACATAACGAGCGATACATTCGATTAAAATTTAAAAACAAATTGCGCAAGCGCAGAAAAAATCTCCAAAAGATCTTGCTCTAATGTCAAGAAAAGATGGATCTTATTTACCTTCTTCGAATTCTTCTTCATCAGCAGCTTGAACAAAACTATTGCTCAAATGAATAGCCAATACTGAGATCCATACAACAACAATAATTGAAATTTTCTTCATTTTCTAAATGAAGAAAAAACAAATTCTATATCTGACTAAACATAAATCTGTTGAGTCTACCTCGAATTGCTTGTTATCCTCTTGTGAAAGAAATAATACTGAAGGAAATACTCAATGAATACAAAGAAAAAAAGAGCACACTGACGATTATTCATATTAATGGCGTTGATTAATATAAGTGTTGAAAAATATATATTATCTATATCATTCATCGTCTTTAATCAAATGATAAGTAATTGCTAGTACTCGAAAGGCAAATGTTTGTTTGTGCATTCGCTTTGGGATATCATCTAGTAAAGAAAATAAAAAGAAAGTGATTCATTTCAACGTTATTCTATTTTGCTTAAAACATTCAATCATGAATAACCTTTTAATTTTTCTGACTTTTGCGACGCTGACTTTTGCTTTCATTCATATGGTTCATGCTAATGATAAAAATGAATTTAGTATATTTTCAATTTCTGTGGATGGAATATAACTTGGTTTGTATATTGATTAGATGCTAATGCTGCACGACAATTCTTACATAAACGTCTTTTTGGTATTCCGTTCCCGCGTGAACAACGTCGAGAAGCTAAAGAAAAATATGAAGAACGGTAAATTGTAAAAAAACTTTCTTCGAATAATATTTCTTCTTTTTGTATAGATGTGAACGAGCTTTAGGCATAAATAAAGTTACTGGTCTTCAACGGTGATGTCCAAAACTTGCAGTAAAAAGTAAACTTAATATGAAAAAATGTTAAAATGTGAATTGAACTTTTATGAATGGGATCAATGGCGGGCAGCTACTAGTAGTGATAAACGACGTAATGGATGAATGCTGTTTATTATTATATTTATAACTTTCTATATTAAACATAAAAAAAAGAACTTCCGAAATAAAATTTCCTTAGTTCCGAAGCTTTCATCTTTCTTATATAACATCAAATTGAAGCTCATGAAATTTCGTTGGTTTCTAAAACTATGATTGATATAGAAAATTGTGAATAGTGCTAAACCCCGTATCAATATTATACACAAGCTAGATGTTTTTTTTTCTAATGAATTGGAACCGTCGGATGATGTATAAATCTGAGTCGAGAATTCCAAAAGATTTCTCTATAATTGATTTGTTTGTGAATTTTATGAAGGGTGCTGATTGAAACCTAGCATAACTCGTTGTTTTTCGTTAGTGAATATGGACGACTTGACATATTTTCTCACATTAGTAAAAGCCTCGTTTTTTTTGCTAGAATCGATCAATTCAGATGCATAGCTTAGCGAAAGAAGATAGATTCATATCTATTTTCTTATAAGAAAGCCAATATAAACAGAAGACAGTTAATTTTTTTTATCGGACATCAATCAACAAGAAATTACAGAATAGAGAATACAATGAAAAAAAAGTCGATTTCGTCTCTTACTAGTCGGAGAAATGTTATTTTTTAGAATGGGTCAAATAAAGGAAAATGATAACAAAGTGACTTAGCAAAATCATTTTTTCATCTGTAAAAGGGCGTATAATCAATAGCCTCTGCTTTTCTTATGTATCTTTTAAGCGTCGAAACTATGCTATTTTTCAGTATTCATATATATATATATATATATATATATATATATTGTCTGTTAAGCAAAAACTCTTCAATGTTCCATTGTTTGTTCATTCTTTTAAATTGAGAGTTTTGTAAATATAAATTTCAAATATCAATTAGAAGAATCGTCGAATAAATCAATCGATTATTGTTATTGATCTTGCCAAAAAAGTATTAGCCCTAGTCGAACTTCTTTTGGTCCGTGCGGGAGATACTTGAGAAGGTTGATCAAGAAAGTCATGCACTATGGGCCAAACTTGAGGCAAGACTTGAAACATTTCGGCGAGCTCAAGCTCTTGAACTTCTTGCTCTATCGCTTGATATTCTTATGCAAGGGTTCCTATTATTCAAGAACTTTTTATAGTGTTTTCTGCAATTTTATGTTCAAAACAACTCAAATTTTAATAAAAATTGATAGATGTATTTTCATGCAACACTCAAGCGCTTGTCTTGAGCAAGAAAGTCATGCGCTATGGACCAAAGTTGAGGTCCGCGCATATCCAGCGCAGAAAAAAAGTTCGCCTAGGGAAACTAAATTAATAACGATTTTCATTGCGTTTTGCGTTGAAGATAGTGATATAGAAGTGGTTGATGTTAGTGATTTACCTAATATAAATCGGCTAGAAACACGGAACAATGTCGATCATAACAACAAAACAACAGCCATAATAATAATGATGATGATGAAGATGAAGAGGTTAATAAAAACCACTATTGTTTTATTGTATTACCCAGGTGAATGAATCCGACAACGGATCTTATCGAATCCTATGGGATCCGACTCCCGACAGAATTCGATAGGATTCCTGGACACGGATCTATTGTCGGTTCCGACGGAAAAAATCATTTTCTTAATCACTATCAAATAAGCATTTTGAGCCATCAGAGCACAAGGGTGATTTGTTAGAGTTGGATTCCGTTAAAATTCAACGTTGGATCGGATCGAATCGAATCGGATTGGATCCAATACCAAGGATCCGACTGTAGATCCGTGTTCAGGAATCCCATAAGATTTCGTCGGTTTTATTGAAACACATATGGTATTCGATATATTCGCTGTCTGATCCTTCTCGGAATCCGATAGGATCCTACTGTCGGAATGATTCTCCTGGAGGTACACTTAAATGTGCAGAGGATGAATTAAATAAATATTATTTGTCTGGTCATCTGAATTCAGTGGCACATGAAGATGAAATAATCGATGATGATAGTTATGATAATGACTTAAATGTCATTCAAGTAAGACCTCTTTTTTCTAAAACGAATACATTGTTTTTGTCCTTCAGGAAATATAAACAGAAGCTGTTCTGTCACAAAAATTCAGGCAATTATCAACAAAGACTGAAGATGAACAGAAATCTGGTGTAATTCATAAACGACGACGATCAATTACTATATCTAGTCCAAATACCAGCTCCAAGAAAACAAAAATAATTGTGGATGATACTGATGAGCCTACTGGTACTAGTACAATGAGTAGTACTGAAACAAATGAAATACCGATCTATCTATCGATAAATAACAAATTATTTGTTCATATGGCACAAACTATAACAAAAACAACTACTTCTATTAGTATAAATAATATACAACCACTAGCTCTATTCATACATCAAGCAACTAGTGTTCGAATAGATAGAGAAGTTATATGAAAACGTATTTATATTCAGTGATGGGTACATTAAAGCAATCTGAATCTCATCTCATCGAAGTTGGCCGGCGTGTATGGCCTATGCAAGTTCAATCGCTTATGTTAACACAACAAAAAGCAGCAATAACTACGGCTTGTGATAGTATTACTAGTAGTAAACCTCCAGAAATCATTACAGAAGATCAACAGGCCGACTGTGAAAACCATTTATATCAACGTTTATTAGAAATGAATGAAAAAATTCAGTATCATCAAATCAATTTAACGGAAAGAAAAACTATTGAACCGGCTTTACATCGAATATCGAACAAACTATTCAAAGTTTTGCTCAAAAGCATGCTGTGAAGTCACTTAAAATGAAACGAAATTTAAAAATAGCAATGATTAACCATTATTATGATTCAAAAATTTTAAGGCGTCAATATCTACAGGAGAAACTAAATCAATATCAAGTAAAAATCAAAAGAAAAATCTACATGCTGTTAAAATAATAGCATATCTTTCTGTTTTCTATTGTTTAGATTCAAGTCATGAAACGTCTTTCTGAAAAAAAGCGTGAACTAGAAAAGTCGAAACGAGAACTATTAGAATTGAAATATTGAGTTTTCTATAATAAATCACATTCTTTGTTAGATGCAATTGAAACAACTAGGCCAGTATTGAATGATGACGATAGAAAACTAAAATTGTTGAATAAAAATGAAAAATTAATTCAACAAAAGAAACTTGGCTTTGTGGCTATTAAAATAATAGAAGCCAAAATGAAATTCTATCAATGTCTTCGAGCGTTCGATCACGAACTAGCTGCTATGTGGAAAAATCATCGTGAGCTTGTAAAAAACCACGGAATGTCCCCAGGCCAAAGAATCAGATTACAAGATCTTGTACGATATTATTAGATCTTATAGGAACTTACTGTATGATCTTGAAAGATCATATAAGATCGTATGAAAATCGTACAAGATCGTGTACGATTTCATAAGAAAATCTTAAAGCCTGATTATCTTACACAATCGTACTGTAAGATTCTTGTACGATCTTATTGTAAGATCTGGTAAGATCTTGTAATGTTCATATAAAATTTTATTGAACGTTGATTGTCTTTGCATGGTCGAATTATGTCGTCTATACGATCCTCTGCATTTTTAAAGAGTTGATCTAATTTCGTAGTATGCTTTATTTATATATGCGAGCGGTTACAAAATATAAACACACACACGTTCAATACGTATATACATTCATACAATATATATATATATATCTATTATGTAACAAAAAAAAATACTATGATGCATTTTCTTCAACTGGTAAACCATTCGAAATATCGTCGGCTATGTACATATCTGTTTGCAGAATAAAGTACTGTTAAAGAATTATGGTCGTTGTTGAGGCTGTTGCGATCATTCAGAATCCATTCTGTTTTTCGACGTACATCACATATCATTTGTGTTAAAGTTCGACGCAGACAAATATTGAAAAATTCATTCCAATGTGATTCACTTATTTTAAATCGAGCACATACTGCATCTAAAATAGAAAAAAAAGGAGTAGAAGTCTCTTTAACCGAGATTGCATAAATTTAATCAATCCTATGAAAATGGTATTACTGCAAAATGAGAGGAAAACTTTTAGTAGCGAAGTAAAACTTGATTTTGTGCATATCGCATTAAAAGGGGGATATGGGGCACTCTTTGTAGCTTAATGAAATATCGTTATATTGAAAAAAAGATAATCATACAAACACAAGCTTTGGAAACGGGGAAAAGTGCGCTTTGGGTGTATATATAAAGAATAATAAAGACTCACTTTTAAAAAGCTTCATGCGATTAGCATCAAGGCCAGGTTTGGCATAATTATCATTAGGATAAAGTATTGATTCACACATTTCAGCAGGAGTAAATAATTTTTTCAAAATACTTCTGGCGAATTGACTAGGACTCCCACTATCATAAGTATCCAATCAATTTTGATTGTTAAATGACTTAATACATGAGAAGCAATAATATTTTTTTAAATGCAATAACGCCACTTACGACAACATCAGGAAATATTTCACCATCTCGGCGAAACTGGTCTAAACCAGAAGCAACCTACAAAGATAGAAATAAATCAAAAAAACTCAAAACAGATGCATACTTTCTAACTGTTGTTCGTTGTATTGTTTTTGAAAACATCTTCAATTGTTTTTCGACTTTTTCATGATGAGAATCCATACGATTAACTAATTTTGAAACAGCATCAGTAAATTCTAAATATATATGATGAATCAATAAAAAGGCATTTGTAAAACATTAGATTAGAAAGAAATTTGAGTATTCTACACTTTTCCAAGTGTTGTATCTGGCAATAAGATAAATTTTTCTCAAAGTATTGATTCAATATGTGTTTTGAGAAGGATCGAAATTTATCTATTTATACTCTTTTTGATATGAAATTTTCTCAACATACCAGAATGTAATTGATTTAAATCACAACGAAGTTTCTTTAGTCGATTGTCATTGTTTTCAACAACTAGTCTTTTTGTTCGATGTTTATACCATGCGAAACTAAAATGAAATTGTTGTAAGAGACATACCAAGAACAAATTCTTTTAAGTGAATCTTGAAAAATTTCAATTTCAAAAATTGTTTAAGGATGAAATCTAATATAGGTGTTGCTTTTTAGCATCTAACGATCATGCTTTAAAACTACACGCCAAATACTTTTATGTATTTTTTTACACAAGTCTAAAGTGATGAAACAGAATGAAATTATTAAACGTACGACTCATATTTCGCACTGAGTAAACTATCTCTGAAAAACTAATTTAATTTCGCACGAATATTCTCTAAAAGATACAATAATTAAACTTAGAATATGTCAATTATTGCACGTTAGTCTTTTTCTTCTGAGGCCTTTAATTAGACAATGAATTTGCAAGAAATTTATTTTTCAATAAAACTTATAGAGATAGCGTTTGAAAAACGAAGAGTCACTGAAATTTGTTTCTCTTACTTCTATTATGAACTTGTTGATATTCATTAAGTGGTCTTCGTTGACATATAGCAATATCACGATCATCGTCGTTGTTAACATAAGGCTGATCTTGAATATCTCTTTGTGATTCTACTGTCATATTTCCAAACAATTCCTCTTCTTCTTCCTCGTTCTCCTCTTCTTCTCGTTTGGACGGACGTTATCTAACAAAAGCATGACTGTGATTGGTTAAACAAATTTCATGTCAGACGTAATTTTAAACACTAAGATACAGCGATAAACAAAATGTATGGACGAAACTAAACAGACGTAATTTTTAAAATTATGAAATATTTCACACAAAACAAATATTTTACTTCAATGAATAAAAACTTTTACTGTTGAAGATACCTACAGAGAAGGTAGAGCTCATCGTGAACCACACGGACCCGGAGAAGTGCGGACCAGGTTCGAATCGGAAGATCTTTACTAGTCACTGCCAAATTCAAAAACATTTCTAATTTATATCAGAAACTTAAAAAATTTCTTTAAATTCTTATTCATCCTACTCCAAAACATTACATTTATTTTTAAAAAATAGAAAAATCAATAACGTACAAATTTCGTTCAAGTCTGAGCTGCAAATATTTTAATGCTAAGATTTGGGTTCAAAATTTCTCTCGAACAACTACGGGTATAGAAACTTTTAATTCAACTGATTCAGATCACATATGTGTGTAAAAGATTTTAATTGGTCGGGTTCGGTTCTAGAAACTCTTGGATGGAGCGATCTTGAATGAGAGTGTAAGCACTTAGGAGCTTATCAGATCATATAAGATCTTACAAGATACAGATATTCAGATAATGTAAGAATCTTACAGTAAGATATTTGTAAGATTTCATAAGATCTTACAATAAGAATCTTACGATTTCAGATGGTATGTAAGATCTTGTAAGATCTTATACGATTTTCGTACGATTTTTTCACCTGGGTCTACAACATTAACGAATCTTATTGAAAAGCGTTTGACCGGTGTTACTGATCAATGGAAAGATGTCTACAATTACAGACTGAATTGCTTTTTCCGAAACTTCTATGGTGATTTCGAACACATCGATACGAATGCAGATGAGGACAAGATGAAACGAATTAGGTTTTCATCAGCTTTAATTATTGATGCTATACATCGATTTTCTGATAAGGAATTACAATTGCTGAAGCGGGGATCTAGTTATGTTCCACCTTATTAAATATCAATATCATCTTCAGGTCAATCTATCGATGATATTGTTAGAAAGAAATATGCACCATTAAAGCATCAGCTTAGTTATTTATTTTCAAAATATCATATTAATATTTAATCTTCAAGCAAAGTTAACCAGCCACTAACGTAACTCATTCGGAATTTCATGCTGTTATTGATAAATAAATAAAACGCCTCTCAATTGAAAAGAAACATATGAAATGTAACAGTAGATTTTAAAAATAAACAAACCTACAACTAAGGCACACGATATTAACCCCAAATTAGATCCTTCCATAACAGCATTGTCACGAATGTGCATATGATTACCCACCTACCACTATTATCATAAAATGATCTCATCTTGCACATTTCCGAATAAACCACCACATCATGTGAATATAGAAAGTGAAATAATTAGCTTCTTAATCTCACACCACTACTTATTAGAAACAACCAATCTAAGGTCACCTTATGGGAAGACGAAGACAGTAATACTTACTATAGTAAGATCATTCCTATCCAACAAAGTAGATTCTCAAATACTTTCCACATGCGAATATAAAAGAGCCGTCGATGACGTCCCTTCTTTACAATTCACCTTTAAATCAGGAAACATTGTACAAATGAATGCAAAACGAATACCATATATGTGATTTTTGACTCAATGGAACACTTATGAAACATAAAACTGCCCAATGGGACCATAGAGAAGACAACAAACGCGTCATCATTACTACGACACGAAAATCCTTAATAAAAGTCATCCGATATTCTTTTGAATCGCCTGTACAAATTTCAAAAACAGAAATTCACATTAAGTAACTTTTTTATGATTCTACTTTGAATTCTGCAGCCGCTAGAGAGAGAAGCTACCTGATGTGTCCCTTCAGCAAGAACGAAACCGGTCGTAGTATGCTAAAACACACCCACACCCACATCCTTTTGTTTCTCTTATTAGAGGTACTCCATCTCTTAAGAACCCTATAAGATAACCTTTCCGATCCATCCGAAAACGAGTCGTCTTATTATTAGACCTTGTTTAAATAGAATAGGTGGCGTAGTGGAGTCGTACGACCAGTTGATACTTTCCAACTTCCAAACAGCGATGGAGATATGGCCAAGTACATTCTCAACAGCAACAAACGGGGTGTTTTTTCCCGTCTTCTTTGAGGGCTCTTATGCCCGATACAGTTTCCTTTGTACTTTTTGCCACATATTTTGTTAAATATTTTCATTCTAAATTAGAAATTTTCGTTTTTTTTATATTTCTGATGAAGTCAAATAAAAATTTGATCACAACTAGTCAATAAACTGCAAAATACCTAAAAAACAAAAACTTTTATGTTTTTATTTTTCATCTCAAGAGAGTGTTGTACATATGGAGTTGTCTAGTCTGACCGGATACTCCGATTTGTTTTTCGATGCATAGTCTCTATTCGTTAATCAAAGTGTCTGATTTTTTTACCAGTTATAGTACTGATATAGCCTTGAAAGTTGAAAGTTGAAACTTGAATTCAACTGCAACTTCAAGTTTCAACTTTCAACTTTCAAGGGTGTGGGTGCCGGGGAAGGGAGATAAGCTTGTCTACATACACACATATGTACCCATAATGTAGGTGCCGGGGAAGCAGTAGTGTCCGAGCAATAACGTTAAATCTGAAACTTGAAGGTTGAAACTTGAAAGTTGAAGTTTCAGTTGAATTCAAGTTTCAAGTTCGACACTACTGTGATATAGAGCTGACAATCTACTACACTTTCGATTAAATATATTTTCTTAAACTAAGGGATTACGTATTTTTATTTCAACTATCAATTAAATATATTTCTATACGAAATTCTCAGTTTGATTTTGCGACAAAGAGTTAACAGACTATATATATTTGATTTTTATATGTCAGTAGCAATGATTAATAAGTTTACAGATGTTTATCCACATCTTTAAAATATACACGACGTAGCTCAGAAGGTTAATATAATATATTATTTGAAATTCGATTGAGCCGAAGCTAATATACTTTAGATTCGACTTCTTTATTTACATTGGTTATTTTTCTCTCACACATCTTCACTATCACAACATATTTACGTGGTAATACCATGATGTCATCTTCATCGCCTATTGTATGGAATTGTCCTGAATGTCAGATTACTATAACTGATCGTCAGAAATATTGCAAAATGTGCCAGTCGATGCTGGTTTGGATATGTATTTCTTCTGGAAGATCTGGTTTATACACAAACTATTATAGACATCGTGACCGATCTAGTTATTGTACACCTGAACTCGAACCAGAAAGACAAAAAACAAAGGAAGAAAATCAGATTTCAAGATTTCAGGAAGTCATCGGCTTTTTCATTTTCCAACAAGTTATATAACCGAAAGTTTAGCAGATTATTAGCTCTCTATCAGTACTATAACTAGTAAAAAATCAGACATTTTGATCAACGAATAGAGACTATGCATCGAAAAACAAATCGGGGTATCCGACCAGACTGGGCAACCCCATATATATATATATATATGTGAGCGAATTGCAACTTTTTGGTACAATTCATGTGAACAGATGAAAGTGAACCTATACAATTTTTGAGTAGTGCATTTTATTACAAGCTATGCGAGTAGTACACAAAAACATTTTTCCAACACTCCATCGATTATTAACGGAGATATGCCCCTTTATAAATGTGTGACTTTTTCTACTTGTGGGTGATTACATGCCAAAACAACCACACTTTGAAAGTTCAAAATTTATATATAGCAAAAATCAGTGCATGATCATAAATGGAATGGTCGATGCAGTTGTCACGAAAAATTAAATTTGTTTTTTATCCACCTGAAAACCTCGAGGGGAGTACGGCAATTTCGAAAAAAACAATTTTTCATTTTTCTAGAGAATCATGGCGACGATTCTATCTGGGATCATGCCCTAATTCGTGCTAGGTACGAATTTTTGAATAGAAATAGAAGCTAGAGAATAGTGCGGTTTTTATGTTTATGCTGAATAAATTTTTCGAAAAAAACCGCCCAGATCTTGAACATTTTCGCTTTTGAGATCATAATTTTTTCCCAGATCATACTCTATGATCGCTTCCCACGTAACTACGTCGGAAAAAATATTTTTGAAGGAGCCGTACTGAAAATATTCGCGAAAAACTGTCATTCTACATTTCTCAGTATAATACAAATTTCTCCCGAATAGAAAATGATTCAGGGCTGAAATTTTTATCACTGATAGACATGGTTACTTTATATCTCGAGTAAAAATTTAAGTTTAATCGCACGAATCGCTGAGGAGTTATAAAGCATCCAATTTTCAAATTGTCACTCTACAAAGTGATTATAATGACCTTGTTTTCAGAGAGTCTTCTTATTTTTATCGATAAACAAAGCTGATAACGCCGAGTTTTTTCTTACCATTTTGTTACTCGAAGCGTTGTCTTTCCGTTCGTAAAATTTGTGAGTCATCAGCTTTATCACTGGTCGAGCTGTAATCGCGTTTGTGTCATTCTACACAAAAATACAAAGCGTTTGTCAAATAATGTGAACGTTGGACGAACAAGAGAATGATGAATAAAATTTAAATCCATAATATAGTTCGATAGAGCATTGAGCGCCGTACAAAATAGCCTATTTTAATATTTTTCTCTTGCTGTTCTATAGTCCAAAAATTCATTTTTCTTCTCACGTGTCAGCAAAAATTAACATTTTGTTATCATGTTTCCCTTATAACTCAACGACTGTATGAGCTACAGAGCTGAAATTTTGTGTACCAGTGGGACATACTAGGATCAACAACTTATGAAAAACATTATCTAAATCAGTTGAGAGATAAAAAAAAGTTATTAGACAAACACAGCGAAAACACAAAATGTACTAGAAAGTTGCAATTCACTTATATATATAAAAGATAGATTATATTTGAATAAGAATAATCAACTACTGTTTTCTAAATTTCGTAAAAGATCTCTTATACTAATACTTGTACCATTTGATATCGTGATAGCTTCCTACACACCCAATTTCTTCACGGAATTCGGTATGAATTACCACTATATCATATGATATAGCAGAGTAATTTGTCTTTAGTTGATTTGTTCAAAATTTCATTTTGAATTTAAGTCGATTTTGAAAACATTAAGCCACCTGATGAGACTATTGAAACAATAGTTGAAACGCGTCGTGGCGGCATCCTACACACCCACACCCACACTCATAAAAGATAGGCAAATCGATATTTTTAGAGCTATATTGTTATTATATCAATGGAAGCATGGTTAAGCAGTATAAAAAGAGAGCACTTTTTCTTCATCATTCTATATAAAAAAGAAAGTTTGTTATGGTTTAATATATGGTACTAGGATGTCACTGTCATTATTTTTGAGTACCATTAAGCATAGGTAGTTAGTTGATCCTAAGTGCGGGGGTTTGGTGTCAGAACAACAGCGGCAACACGTCGTAACTGAATAAATAAAACAAATGATTAATTATTTGTGACTTAACTACATAGCTGAATGACTTACAGTTTCTTCACTAGCATTCGTATTATGTAGCAGGCCGAAGAGTTCTTCACGTAAACTTTCCATGTCACGTAATGTAGGACCATGCTCTCGAATATACTCATTTGGATCGTGCGACCTAACTTCGGGCTCTGGGATTACGTGCTTAATGCGCACGTCTGAAGCATCATGTATGACGCAAATATTGTGCAGTGGTTCTCGTGGATGAGGACAAGGAGCTCGTATTACCTTAATTGGCCGTGGAGGTCGAGGTCCATAAGGTAGCCATCGCTCAACGATGATGTCAGGAGGCGGTGTGGGATATGCACAAATATGCCTCTCGACCGATTGAGGTGGAGGCTTCAGAGCAGGCACTGGAACTTCACCTACAAAGAAAAGTCAATCAATACATAGAACTAAATATCTCTGCTTCTTTACAGATGTGAGATGGAAGTGGTGGTGGTGGTTCGGGCACTGGCCCACGTAAAATAATTGGTGGGGGTTTTTGAGGAATTTGTGGAGGACACCAAATTTTTTTTCGAGGTGGAGGAGAAGGTTGGCGTGGACGCTTTTCAATGACGGTGAGTAGCTGTAATTAACAACATTGGTGAAATTAGATTTAATAAAAATAGAAGAAGAATGCGTGTTTGAATGAAACTTACTCCTGATGGTTCAGGAGGTGGTGGTTTCAAATAAATAACCCTGACTTCTTGGTTAATAGGAGCCGTTTGACATTCTGGTGCTGTTGGCGCTGTCTGTTTCTGTGGGTAAGGGTCCTTGTAGTAGCCTTTGTCGTCTATTGGATAGTTTGGATCGGGACATACTGTTGGCTCATAACCCGCTTCGTGCAATTCTGCCCTCGAGCAGCTAGGAAAAGAAGCTCTAGTATCGACGTCGGTCGGTTCGTTTAAAAACGTAAGACAGTCGTTGCAGTCGGCCATAATGTAGAGGACGATTTTATGATAAGAAAGTGCTGTATGATTTGAAAATTAATGATACATACAGCGCTTTATATAGTGATTATTTTATTTGAAAACAAGGTAACCAAGGCCGTGTTTCTCTTTCTCGATCTCTTTCCCACTCTCTTTTATGCAGGCCTATCTGTTTTTTTCCCAAAAACAATCAGTCTTGAGTTGTTTTTTTGTGTGACTTTGTAATCTGCTTTTTCTTCTTGTTATCTGTTTGCATAGCGGCATGGGCCGCATAAATGTAGGCATTAGTTGTTTGACTCCACAATGTTTTTATATAAACCCTTGAAGGGTTTATGTGCACGTCATATACGCTATGAGGGGTATACGAACCGAAGGGTTTGTGATCGTAAGGGTATATGAATATAAAAAATGGTATATAAAACTGTTTTAAAGGTTTTGCATTTCATAATTTTATTTAAACTGTTTATTGATAAACGGATAGGTGTAGATTAATATACATATTTTCAAAATCAGTTTATTATTCAACAAATCAGGGGTAGATTATTATACGATTCATGCAAAACCAATCTTATTCTACGGCTAGGAGTTGATTATTCTCCACTTTCAGAAGAAGCATTTATTATAAGACCGTTGGGGGTAGATCAATATACGTTGGCACCAGAAGGGTTGATTATTTTCCATTTTCAGTAGAAGCGTTTATCATAATACATGTGAGGGTGGCTTATTATAGGTCATCGTAAAAGGGTTCATTATTATTTAATGAAGGGTATATTGGTGTACACAGTATCAATCAGTTGTATGATGTCCCCTCTGTACTTGAGAAGAACACACCGACATTTAAAACGTTTATTGTGATTCCGTTAATTTTTCAAGAATTCCGAGCTAAAAACTATTTATAGTATCAATCGTTCATTGTAGTGAAAAAATTATATGATCAATATTTCTAGTTTTAGTATTTTATGTTTTCATCGCAATTTGTATTTTACACGCATTCTAGCAGTGCAATTCACATTTTTAACATAAGGGTTCACTATTTTGAAACATAGGAAAAGCTTAAATTCTGTATCGCCGTAAGTGTATTACTCGATGTGACATGCTGGATTCATCCACTAACCCAATTGTTGTGCTTATGAGTCGATAGATACCTGCGCGTGAGAGGATATGAAAACTAAAATAGTAGATGTTACTATGAAAAATACATCGTGCTGCAATCAATCTAGAAGCGTTTAGTATTCTCCAACGAAGCATAAATTATTTTATCTTTAATTTTGATGAATTTATTATTCTACATTCAAACCTCAAATTTCAGAAATTGTCAATAGAAACGTTACAATTGTATAGTTTAATTGAAAATATGCAGCTATACCCGTTAAGATAAACTAGTACGTAAGGTCAAGTTCTAGTTTCAAAAAGCCTTGTTTTTGGGCATGGTATGCGATTCTTTTATAGAAGTTGTGTAAAGTGAGTGACAAGGTTATTTTGATTCAAAGTCGCTGGAAAATTTAGTTGTTCAGTAACTCTACAACTTTTGTAACGTCACGAATCGATGTGATGATAAAAATTCGAGCAGCTGTCTAATTCGACTTCGAATATAAATGCAAAAAAACCTACTTTTATGTTTTCACGCTACCGCCAGGATAAGGATAAAGATTTAGTTTTATGATTTATAAATTCAACTTTGCTCCCTTGTACTATTCAGGATAAGGATAAAGATTTAGTTTTATGATTTATAAATTCAACTTTGCTCCCTTTTACAATTCAGGATAAGGATAAAGATTTAGTTTTATGATTTACAAAATTTTTAAATTGACTTCGGTGTGTGGGTGTGGGTGTGCGAAACTATCTATATATCCACACTCCCAACCTCATGATTCGCATTTTAAAAGCGTTATTATTTATTATTTTGCAACGAGGCCTATCTTCGTAATAATATAGATAAATGATTCAATGCTTTACACACACTAATTGATTGTGGTTGAGATAACAGTATTCAATGGTTGCCTACTATGCGGTTAGAATAAAATAAGGTTCGACAATATGCAAACATAGAAGCTATTTTATCCTGATAAGAACCACAAACATTTTCGTTGTATTTACAATAACAGTTTTCATTTGTACGTCCCCTGGTATATTAAGATATGCTGCTCGTTTTTTATTTTTTCTATTTATTTGAATAACAGCATGCCTTCCCACGTCGAGCATTACGACGACTAGATACGGAGGTAAACGGCCGTCTACGATAACGTATATGGCCCCATACACGGAATTTACGACCGTATACGGGCCGTATTTTAGCGGTTTGGTATGCACCGTATTACGGCCGTATACCGCCGTGTCGTATACGGCAGAACACAGCAACCGTTTAGAAGCCGTATACAGCCGTATCATAAACAGGAAACAACCAAACACTGCAACGTATACGACCGTAGGAACATCGTAACCGACCGTTTACGGCCGTAATTCTGAACAACAAGAAAAATACATTCATAAACCCCTCCGATCGACAGTGAACACGCTACAGACATCAATTCTACCTCATTTCCATAGAAATTACACTAAACAAATGTAAGCAGCCAAAAAACCTACTCCAAATGACACCGAAAATCACAGAAATCATACTTCCAATAGATCTTTTTGGAGCACTGTCTATACCCTAAATCTACCAAGAGCATCCAAAGCTAACTCCCTATGATTTCCTGTGCATCAAACAGCAACAATCATGATAAATCTAAAAAAGACGAAAAGCATCAAAGAAATCCTGCTAAAGCCACATTTTGAAGGATGCATCGTAGAGAATCGTAGAGAATCGTAGATAGCAGCCTTAGACGGAGAGCATCAAGAGATGCTTATTCTGGAATTTCTGCTCCATCATGCAGCAGGGATAATGATAAATCTGCAAAGTACGAAAAGCATCAAAGAAGTCCTGCTAAAACCACATTTTGAAGGAAGCATCGTAGAGAATCGTGGATAGCAGCATTAGATCCGGAGTATCAATAGATCCTTAATAGGGGATTTCTGCTCCATCCTGCAATGCAGATCACGAGAAATCTGCAAAGCGCGAAAAGCATCAAAGAAATCCTGCTAAAATCAATGTTTTCCGTATATAATTCATGGAAAAGCGGTAATAATTGGCGGCAATGATACTTGGTATCAATAAGTGCCTATGATGTTATTTACGATTAATCATAGTGTCGAGAATAATAAAATAAATCTTTAAATGATGAGTATTTATGCAAGAGATACAGGAAAATTGGTTAAGTGGAGATCGTCAAAAATCATTGATTTTGACTTTCAGTGAAGATCATGATAAAAAAATACAAAATTTTTTATATAGCGTAATATAAATAATGGCAAGCATGGAAATCGGTGAAAAATATTAGAAAAATCGCTAAAATCTCCTTAATGTTCGTTCATATAATGGGGAATTTGATTTTGCCACAAAATCATTAGCTCAAACGCAAAAGCAATTTGTAGCAAAATCAACAAGGTGAAACGCTAGCATCTCTTGGAATATTCGCGGAGCTTGCGGTATTGCGGTATTCGCAGCGTTTGTGGTAGCCGCGAACGTCGGATAGACTGTAAGCACTGCAAATACTGCTAATATTTCGTCTTTTTAATTTTGCTACAAATTAGTTTGATATTAGAGATGATGATTTTCTCGCAAAATGAAATTTTCCATCATATGCTCGCTGGTAACATAGACGAATTTGTCTTTAATGTTAAAGCATTTTTCGGCCATTAGAAAACTTTATATTATTAATAATATTGTCGTCTTTTTATTTCTATCTTCTGAAGCATCAGATAATAGGCACACTATTTTTAAAATCAGTGGTATAAACACTCTTTTACATGAGAATCGTATTCAGTTACGTTAGTTGTACGAAATTCAGCGTTGCACTCTAAAAAATGAAGACAGGTTATATGCATATTCAAGATGGATCTTCTGCTCTTGCAAGACGTTTCTACTAAATTCTTATTTGTTGACATTCATTTCAGTTAGACACCAAGTGTCGACGGATGAGAATGTTTAGATACTCGAGCGTCTTAAAGTTTCTGATTGGAGTATTTCCGCCAATGTTTATAAGCGTCTTGAACCTGTCTTTTTCAGGCACTTCAGCAAATCTACGACTGACAAATTCAAGAGTAGACACAGTATTATATAAATATTAAACACAAAGAAAAATATTTTCAATAACGATTTTTTTTCATAATGAATTGGGGCCCATAAGATACCTAATTGTCGCATTAGTAATCCTTTCCACTGTACGACTCAATCATATATCAAGTGAAAGGGAATATTGAGGATAGTACTTGGTGCACGTTGCATAACGCTTGGATCTAACTTTGTGGATACAAGTTTTCAACGATATCACATATGATCCGCCATTATGATAAGAATCTATTTTTTGTGTTACACTCTGTTTCGTATTGAAAAGACTTCATATTATATGTGCGTTTACTAGCTTACTGATCAGTCTTCAATATCATCGGTTATTCACAGGGCTGGCAAATCCAAATTTACAAAATCAGTAGTTCATGAGAAAAAAACCAGGAGTTAACCGGGAGATCCTTGTTTGAAACCAGAAAAATAATTTAGGAGATTTTTATTAAAATTAATGAACCTTTGACTGTTTTTTTCGAAGAAAATTGATATTTTCTTTTACGGCAGAGATTAAAATTTTCTCCTGATAGCTTAACTATGGCACATTTGCGATATAATATTATGTATGAGAAAAAATAAAATTAATTATATGTTCTACTTCCTTGTTTATTTCGAAATTAATCACAAACTGTACAAAACAAAGTACTATTTACTTAGAATTTAATAATGAATACACACATATAGAAAAAGATAAGCTATGATACATTCATACTGTTCGTGGTATTTTAGCAGTATGAGTGTATTTTTCTGATGATCGAATTTGTTTTAGTAGATCTTGATTAATAAGAAGATGATCATAAAATTCTGAAGAGTTATATTGAGTATTTACTTTTATCTTCAATTCCACACTAACAAGATCGTGTCTCATGCTACTTCAATTATTATTCCATATAAGTATTTCATATGGCTGAATATTGTTTCACAAAAAGCATTAGATGCTGATATAGAAAAAAACATATTGAACTAATTTTTTAAAATCAGGAACGTGTTCACCATGAAGAAGATAAGCCCATAAATAGTCACATCTTATGTGTAGATTTTTTCTGAGATTTTTATGATGTCGAATATTGTCGTCATCATCACTACCGAATTCAGTTTCAACGTCACATTGATCATCACTACATAATTTAACTTCATCATGCGACATTGTTCCATCTTGTTTGTATAAATGGAAATTTGATGAAATAAATTCTTGAACTAGTTTATCAACACCACCAAACTTGTGCGTAAGTTGGATAAATTTAGATTTTAAATGATTAAACTGATTGTATAAAAGATCTTTGTTCATCTTCTTAGGATCAGTACGCGCAGCACAACGTTCAATATTTCTCCACTCAAGCTTTGGATATCAACTTCACTAAAAATTGAAATAGACTCATAAAATGAAGTTCGATCTACAAAATAACCTTCAATATATGTGATGATTGTACGAATAAACGGTGTGCTGGGAAAATGTCGAAAAGTAGACATATTAACGTGGAAAAATGTCCAAAGTGAAAAATAAAAAAAACAATGATGCCTCAAGTATATGGCGATTGTAACCACATATACTTCATTGTTTTTTCTTATAATTCTACTAGTGTAGAATTTTAGTCAGTACTGATAGGGATGACTAACTATTGATACAAATAAAATAGAGGAGTTGAATAAAGTAACAACAACTAATAAGCATTGGATATGCACTATTAATTATTGTGAAGCTGAAGTGCATACTAATTCAAATAATCGATTGATGAAAACTGTTTGCAATCATACCATCTTCCAGGAAAAGAAAAACTTGAGGTTCGTCAAGCTCGTGAAAAAATGACATATTTAAAAAGAACTTTTCTCGCCCTTAACATTTCAGCTTAATTTCATACAAAAAACATACACTATATTATTTATAATTTTCTAAATTATTAACTGACAATGTTTCATGTCAATATAATTTTTTCGACATTTTTCCTTTTGACATTTGTCCTTTTGATATTTTTCCTCTTCCTTCTTTCGACATTTCTACTTTCGACATTTTTCCTTTCGACATTATGACGACCAACCTTGAGATATAGTGCGACGCTTCTAGTGTCAATTTTGGAAACCATTATATACTCCGACTAAAAGAGCAAACTAGCTTTTCTGAAAATCATAAGTGTCTATGAGAGCTTGATTAACAAATAATATTGACGGATCGCTTGATTATCTCTCTAATTCACTATTTATCAGTAGCGGCGACAACAATCCTATCTATCTTCACCAGAGGCAATCTTACTCAAGACTAACTATTATTATGGCTATTTTTATCATTCCTTCAATTATTTTGAAGATTAAGAGAAACAAAGGTTCAAAAATATTCTCCTATCAATGTGCTACTTGCTGGGAGCAAAGAAAACGTCGTCGGCAGAATCAAAAAGCAATAGTATAGAATCAATCTTAATATTTTTTCTTTGCAACGGAATGAGTGTGTTCTGCACTTTGGTCCTTAAAAAAATTGAACAAAGAAGCACAATAATAGCTTTTGAATACGTACGTGCTTTGCACTATATTACTTAACAAAAGTCAGGCGTCAACGACTGTCCATTGTTACATTATTTTGCTTGTATAAATTTAAATTTTACACAAAAGCTAAAGATGATGTAGAAAATCGGCGAAAAAGCTCTATCATAAACAGATCAAAATTTTTCTTCTGATGCGTAAAGATTATAAGGCGATTTACTATTAGTTTCGTGATTGTCATGTCTAACGCAAATGAATTTTTGATACGAAATATGAGAAAGTCAAATGTTTCTTTCGGTTCTTATAAATACGGCCAAAATCTTAGCGACGCTATTATTGATAGAGAAAATTTTGAATCTTCCACACTCAACATTTTCTTTACTGATATATATATATCGCCTCAAGATAATTAGTTACTAATCTTATTCGTCCGAAAAATAGCGTGCTAAAAGCATAGAGAAGACGGAAATATATGATATTACTCAAGAGAAATAATATATCACAATACTTGTGAAATGTGCGAACCTAAGAGTACTAAAATATTGAAAAGAGCTGATTGAGACAGAACATGAGAAAAAGATTAGGCTAATAGATACAGTACAAGATATATTGATTATACTCATATAAAAAAAAATTGGATTAATAATCAGATTAAAATCTATTATAATGAAACTATTTTAATCTGATTTTGATCAAATTTTTCAACCTTCAACGGCAGATTATTTTTGATTTTGGTTTTATTTTAATCGATTATAATAGTTTTGTAGATAATCAATTGAAATTGATTAAAATAAAATCAACAATAATCTGCCTTTTAAGGTTGAAAAATTTGGTTAAAATCAGATTATAATAGTGCCATTACAATAGATTTCTAATCTCATAAAAATCAATTATAATCAGATTTTTTACGATTTTGTTTACATGGGTACCGGAGAAAAAAGCTTTAGAAGTACGTCAATATTCAACTAAGTATGGTAAAAGACAACGAACTATGCTTGAGTTTTAGAGACTTTGAAGAAGCGCCAGAAGACAAAAAGAAATATAAAAAAAGCTATGCGGAAGCATCGTAAAGCGAAGGGAATATAAATTACCCAAGGGGAAAAAAGCGGCTCCTGGTGGATTCTAGAATCCACCAGAATCCATCAAAATCCATCAGGATCCATTTTGATTAATGAGATTATATCAATGTTTTAAACAATTTACAGTCGCTAACGGGAACAACGAGACTCATATATGTAGGAATCTATATGACTTTCATTGTGTTTTGAAAAAATTACGAAAATGACCATGCATTTTTCCACAGATTTCAATGGTCTATCTATCGTTTCTAGAATCTAAATGCTTAGAAAAAAATTATAGATTCTATTGTGCGCAACAAGAGAAGAACCGAAGAATTCATTTTTCATATTATTCTATGACTGAGAATGTGTTACAATAGTCCTGAAAACTTATTTAACCTTTTTGTAACATAGACAATACTGTTAAAAAGAAGAATACTATTTTTTTTTGTACCGATGACTTTGTCTGTGTATTATTTAATTCTTCATATTAAATTTCAAAAATTCTAACAAGTACATAAATATGACTTGGTTTACAACGATCGGTTCAAATATATGAACTGGCAGCTATGCACAACCAATATGATTTTTTTTACCCTAAAAACGCGTCTGAAACGCGTTGTATTTGCGTGCGGATCGCTAAGAGTGAACACGTTTGAACACGTCCCGAGGGAAACAAAAAAAAAGAGCTCAGACACAATTTAGTTTAGAAATGCGTCTGAATGTGTTCCTAACTTGACTTGAGTTCAAATCCGTTTTTTAATGAAAACACGCCTAAACACGTTTCATATAAAATATAAAACGTTGGAAAAATATATCAGAATCCATCTTAGATTCTCAAATTCGAACTGAGTCCGCATTCTCAACATTTATTAATGCAATTATACTAACCTGACAGTTGGATTGAATTTTACCTTATGCGATGACGATTAGATTTGAACAGATGAACCAGTAATCAGAAGTCGCTCACATTCACATACACCACTTTGCTATATAGCTCAAAGTTTTTTCTCGTTTAAAATACAATATATATGAATGAAAATTTCATCGCTTAAATACTCTATTTCAATAACATGTAATTTTTTCGAAGTAAAATATTTAACAGATAATCTGATTTCTTTTACTTATCTTTTTAAACAATTTTATTATTGTGTTTTATTAAAATGATACCCTTTTTTATCGTCTACTATAAATGTGAATAATATTATAAAAAATATTTAATCGCATTAGTTGCATGAATCATGTTACATGATAAATAATTTTATCAAAGGACTTAATGAATAAATGATTATTCTTACAATTTATTTAGTAGAAGTGTGATAAAAGTTGTTAATCATATAATTTATACAGTAGTATTTTTGAGTCAGCTAAAAAAGGGCATTGGATATCTGAAAACTATTGTGATTTGTCTCATTAATATTCGTAGAAACTCTAGGGAAATATGGAATATATGCTTTACAATTAATTAAATTTGTGCCTATTTTAACATCATCTGAACATTCTTTATTAAAAGTTCAACAAAGTTTAGTTAAATAAAATATATGTAAACCGACGATTTTGATCATGCGGCTAAGTCTTCTAGAAATTTTGTTTTGGAGTAAAATCCCGTCTGATAAGTAAGAAATGAGCGTGTGCAAGCGTGATCGGAAATATGATAGCATTCAAACGTGACTGAAAACATATCTGAGACCAATTTGAACGCAGTTAATAGATAAAATGCATTCAAATGCATTAAATATTTTTCGCATAGGCGCTGAGACGTGGTTCCCTTGTTTTCTAATTGCGTTTAAACGTGTTGTATAGAAAAGCTGCGTGTTAAAGCGTTTCATATCAAATCGCGTTTGAATGCATCGTGAAAACGTTTTAAACTGCATCTTAACTCGTTTTATTGCTAAAACGCGTTTCAACGCATCAACTTTGCGTTTCGTGTTTACATGGAAAGTTTTGTTTCAAATATAGTAGGGAGTGCTATAGCAAAAAGTGAAAAAAGACATGAATCATTGCTAATTATCCCGTAGTTTGCTACTGCTTACATATTACGTCATCAATATGAAGCGCACAGGAGTCTTTCAAAAGTGACGATTCACTGTGAGTAATATGAGAATTTTAAATAGAGATCATGAAATCATAAATGTTATTACGCAATAATGTATTTGTTAGATCAACAAAGTCAAAGTGACACGATTTTAGCGTTATAAAGTGTGAAAATTAAAACAGATACCATTAGTTCAAACCGGTACAGAGTGAGGAAAGCCTAGCTACTTTCCAGCAAAGATGTTATAAATGAGGGGTTTGCTTTTTATGGATACAACGGTTGAGACTAACGATGAAGTCGATGGCAACATGAAAAATCAACGGTGACGACCGATAGATTAGCTAGCATTACCACAGTCTCTTAACAGGGATACGTCTAAATAGTATAAAAAACCGGTCACTATCACAAGCTACTGGCTCGTTCACTGAGTTTACCAGTCTGAATGATGACGCTTAACAGTGCATCCTCAGTGAGTTTCAGATTCCATTCCTAGGAACCTGGAATATCAATTGGGGACTACGTTTCTTAGAGTCCAACATTTTCTGGGGATACTCGTGCTTATGAATCCGATATAGGGTCCTATATCTAGATATAAAATCGACACTCAGTCTGAGTTTTGAGTGTTAAGAAGCCTACTATGAGTGCCCATTCATTGGAATTTGGTAACACATAGTGACTTGATACCAGCTGTAAGAATGTGTGCAGGGTGTCCCAAAAGTCTGGAAAAAAAGTGAATTCAAATATCTCTTGTACAGATCAAGCAATCTAATTGAAATTTTTATAATATGGTATAGTATGTTCTTTAAAGTTTTATTTCGTATATTTTCAGATAAATGTCTGTGCCTATAAAAATTAAAATTAAAATAGTTTTATTAATGGCCAAATTTGAGTCACCTGTAGCTGTGAGACGACAGCTGCAAACCGAATTTGGTACAAACGTATCAACTAAAACTTGTACTACGAAAATATTTGAACGCTTCTGTGAAACTGGCACAGTGGAAGATCGAGAACGTTCTGGAAGACCATCAAAAATTACAGAAGAAAAAGTTGATGAAGTGCATGATGTTTTTTTGAAAGTGAACCACAATCAAGTGTTCGAGCTGTCACAATGGCTTGCTCCATTCCTCGAACAACAACTGATAGAATTATGCGTGGATATATTTCTCTAAAGCCGTACAAGGCATAATTCGTGCAACAAATTTATGAAGAAGATCTACAAGATCGAGTCGAAATGTGTCAAACAATGATATCAATGATAGAAGACAGTAACAGTAAAGAAAATTTTTTTTTCTGACGAAGCTATATTTCATTCAAATGGATTAGCCATTAAACAAAACATCAGATATTGGTGTGAATTTAATCCACATGTAACTATGGAATTTGTTATGAATCTCCAAACCTCAATCTATGGTGTGCTATGTCAAAAAACCAGCTGGCAGGACCATTTTTTTCGATAATGATACTATTAATGGGGAAAATTATTTGTCGATGCTGCAAATTTTCTTTATTCCAGAAGTGAAAATGTTACACAAGATGTGTTCAATAGTATTTCAACAAGGCGGAGCTCCTCCTCATTTTGCTGCTGTCGTACGGAAAGTTTTGGACAAAACTTTTTCCAATACATGGGTAGGTAGGGGCGGTCGAGTGCGTTGGGCTCCACGCTCACCGGACTTAACGTCTCTCGACTTTTACTTATGGGGACATATGGAGAACAGCGTCCATAAAACTCCTATCAAAAATATAGCTGAATTGAAGCAAAAAATCAAGAAAGAAATTACGTCGATTTCAAAAGCAACTTTATGTAATGTTTTTTCAAATATTGTAAAAAGGATGAATTTATTTATTTCAGTTGATGATGATCATTTTGAACATTTGTTGTAAACTCTATTATTTGAAATAAAACTTTAAAGAACATACTACCATATTATAAAAAAATCAATTAGATTGTTTGAGCTGCACAAGAGATATTTGAATTAACTCCCCTTCCAGACTTTTGGGACACCCTGAATGTGTAAATATTTGTGAATTGCCCAAAATGCGTGAAAAAGAATTTTCAATTGGGTTTCTGTTCTTTGAGAACAGTACCTAATGGAACGGGAATCCTGACACCGCTAGCTAGAATCTTATCACATTGAGTATCGATATTTAAACGTTATATTACCGTGCCCTGATAAATTCATCACTCTATCACATATTATTATGAGAAAAGATTCAAATTTCATGTGTTTCATGTAATTTACGGCTTGTCCACGTAACGCGCTAATTCGCTGCGGAAGTTTTGAAAAGTAATTTTTTCGACATGGAGAAATCGCTATATATCATTAGATGCAGAATATTGCCCTAGTTACAAAGCTAGAATCTTTTTCCTTAAAAAAATGAAAATTTTCCATCTTAAATCGTATTTTAAACTTTTAAACAAAAAGGTTTTTTTGAAAAAATGATAAGCATCGTACCAATCGATACAGAATTTAATTCTCTACAAAATAGTCAGTTTATTTTTAAATTTCACTCTTCAAGGCAACTTTTACATTGTTGTAGAGCTTTCAACTTTCAGTACTGGTAAAGAGCTTCCGCTTCGATGCAGCAAGTTGATTTTTTGTACCGTGGTTATATGTAGAGAATAGACCAATGATTACGAAAATAAAATGGATCCGACTATCTTAAGGGGTTTATAATCGATCGACAAAGAATAGTGACACAGCGTCACGTTATATTTTTTCATGTTTTATTTGAATAATCAGAGCTAGGAAAAAAATGTTTTTACCATTGGAATACTCGTTTCATGCTCTACAAAGCTGGTTCCAGATCTATTCTAATTGGAGATTGTCGTTCACAGGGAATTAATCGATAAGTGAGAGCGTTGGAAACTCAGGGATCTTTTACGTCACAGTGTTACGTGACTTTAAACCAATATCTGTAAACTATACAGTTCAACCAAAAATTATCAAATTTATAGTACAAATAGAACTCGTCGAGCTATGCCGAATGACGTTTGAACGAACCCGCCAGTTATCTAATTTTCCGAGATATTTCAAAAACAATTTGCCAAAATGTCACAGCGTTACGCGTGAACAAGCCGTTTACAAGTTATATTTTTAACTTTTCCCTTGACAGCAAAAAGAGTTGCTGGATAACCTTTTACAGGATGTTAATGATTACGAGACTTTATGTTGCGAAGACGAATATCATGTTAAGAAACTACAATAGAAAATCTTAAAAAGCAACTTTGTCTAACGGGATAAGTCATTATATTAGATTAAAAAGAAAGCGAGCGGCAGCGATAAGGAGCAGATACTAATCTTTATATATCGTCAAAATCCACCAAGACCCATAAGAATCCAGCAAAATCCAGTAGAATTCATTAGTATCCACGAGGAGCTGCCAGAATCCATTAGGATTCATAGAATCCGCCAGGATCCATGAAGAGTCGTCAGAGTCCAACGACCCAGAAGTCGATTTTTTCCCTTGAAATTACCCCTTTTCTCTATTCATATTGCTATGATGAACTAATATTCTTCTAATCTTCACTCCATATGTCTTCTAATGAATATGTTGTTGCCTTGATAGTTGCCTGTGAGAGTTGAATAGAATTTTTAATTGTATAGCTTTTAGATTAAGCTTTCAATCTACTGGCTTACATTAAGAATGAAAAGCTTATAATCGGCTAAATGTTTAATTTCTTCCCATGTTGCGAATACCGGATCAATTTTTGCGGTAAACCGCGGTATTTATCCGTTCTGCGGTAATGGGAGCCGGTAACCGGACCGGTAAAACCGCGGTAAATCGGCGGGTTTTTGCGCATGTTTATCACATGTAAAAGTAAAGAAAAAGGATCTTTAAAATAGTTTAATTGATGATTNAAAAATTATAGATGAACCGGTTAACCGCTTTTTTTTAGCGGTAACCGCGGTATTAATCAAAACCGGCGGTTTACCGCGGTAAATGCCAGTTCATTTTTTGTGGTAAACCGCGGTATTTATTCGTTCTGCGGTAATGAGAGCCAGTAACCGGACCGGTAAAACCGCGGCTAACCGCCGATTTTCATGCGGTTTTTATTACATGGGTTATTTCACGATAGTTTATTGAAAGATTATCGAATAATAGTTTTACACTTGTGTACTCATGATTTATTTCAACGTAGTATCTATTAAATTAATTTAAAATCCTCTTGCACTACAAGAAAATAAAGATAAAAAATAATTATTTCATAATCTAGTTCTTTCTTTTAAAGTTTCCCTTTGAAAATATTAAACATAATTAAAATGATTGATGATGCAAATAAAATAGGGTACAAACATTTTACTCTGAAGTCATAATCTTGTTATACTTTTCAAAAGTCATTCTATAGAAAGTTTGTCTCTCGGAAACACTGTTTCATTTTTTATTTGAATTCTGAACACCTACTCAACAGTCTAATGTAGATGTTTGACAAATTTCTATCATTTGTGCAAATGTTTACTTTTAATTCACATTTGAAAATACAATCTAGGGAAAGAAACCAGTCTTTCGGCATTTTTTTAGGATTTTCGAGGTTTTCATTACAATCTTTCATGAGAAAAAAGCCGAGTATTAAAATCGCTCGCTATTTTTCCACATTTGTCGCAAATAAATGATAGTAAATGAATCGAACATTCATTCTTATGCTGTCGGATTTAAATTTAATTCCAAAAATAAATGTTGTGACTGCTAAGTTATACAGTGCAGATGTTCATGTTCTATCGAATTAAAAAATAGTAATGTAATTGTAGTACACGACTTTCTCCTCTTGTTTTTACTGTCGCATCTGAATGAGCGAGTCAGCTTGCGTATTTTAAGTTTTATTCCGACGAAAAGTATTCATACGGAAATAAAAACAAATAGTTCTATGAAAAAAATATCTCGAATCGATAAATGTACCTAGAAATCTATTGCAATGAACCAGAAAAGAAAAGTGACATTTTACTTCATTAAATCTGCACCATACGTTAATCAGAATTATTTAACTTTGAAAGAACCCGTTCAATATAAAACAGGTGAAGCAAATGAATAAATAAAGTATAACGAGATTTTCCAAGGTTTTGAAACAATAAAAGTTTTATTTTAGTTTTATCTTGATTATGATTGAGAGCGAATTCATATCGAAGACTCAATCAATAAATCATAAAGTTTCTATCAAGATCTTAAAAATTTATTAAATGAATAAATTTTCATTAAAGACATTTTCCACCCTCAAGATTTCTATACTTCAAATCGATAAAACTTGAAACAGATAATTAAGAAATGCATATCAATGCTAACTGCCTGCTGCGTATTTATTACACGCATTTCATGGTCTATAAATTTATTCAACGAGAAAAAAAGTTCCTAAACCAATAATACTTACTGACTCCCAATTTAATATAAAGTTATCTATAAGAATCTGAAATTGATCTAATTTAAATTCTGATTTATTACGCAATGTAAAGAATCATCATCCGTTTATCGATATTTATATAAACGTTTACTGATTTTTAAACGAATTCGAAGAAAACGAAGCAATTAAAGAGCACATGCTTAGTGAAAAACAATAAGAAGAAAAAAATTAACTCAATTTAAGACATTCGCCACATATGTTCCAATATACCAAAAATAAGTTGATTAGAGATAAACCTTGTCAAGTACTTTCAATATTACACATTCGTCGTCTCTTCATGTTATCGAGATACTTAAAAAAGTGTTCTGTAGCATTGTCAATTATTGATAAAAAATTTACGACTTTATATTCTTAAGTTTTCCTGTACATTATTTATGATCTCAAATGAAAGAAACACGATTGTTCAATGGCAATAGTTATTATTCTATCTGCTCTCTTATTCTCTTCAGAAATTCATTGAAAAGAAAACATTTCAGTCATCAGCATGTTGTTTTGAATTCATTTTCAAATGTCAATAATGAATTGAAGAAGTTATTTAAACTCAACCATGAAATATATGAGTAGATAATGTTGCTCTTTCAAGTTTTCTTCATCAATTTCAAGTATCGAACCTATTTATAATCGTCAATTACTATAGACTATCTTTATAAAGTCTACTACAAATGTAGTATAAGTTTGCTCACCGGTAAATCAGATGTCACTAAAAGTCGACTGATTCAAACCGTTGGCTTTTCTGTAGCATTTTTATTCTTTAGAGAGGATATAGTCAGGTATGTTTGTGCACAATGAATTGAAGTATGGTTTCGTAAGGAGAAGAAGAAGAAAAAAGAAATCGATGCCGATGAAAAGAGAATATAGTTGAACGTATATTGACACGTTTTTTTTCGAGAGCCCTTTTAAATTTAAAGTAAATTATAGGATAGTCTCATTTATTTTTCATCTCTCTCTAGATGCACGCTGTCACGCCTGTAAATGTTCATGTTGAAAGTGACTGGCATGGTAGTCGTCATGGTGGATCGTATGTTAAAAAGAGTACTACACCAGTAAATCGTGGAGGGCGTCAAGCAACTAGAATGCGTACATGCGTAACCAATAAAGTTAAAACAAAACCTTCTCAAATTCCTCAGCCAGTTGCTCAACCGAAACAGGTTGTGCCTGTTAGTTCTCGTAGTCCATCACCTAATCGAGATCGATGGTAAAATAAATGATATATAGATGAACGTTTTTAGTTTAATCATATGTATATATAGGGTTCCACCGCCAGGTCGCTCAACTAAATTACAGAAGTTTTCTTGGCAGGTATAGGACTTTCTTTTTATTTCATCATTTTTCTTCTTTTTTAATTTGCTTTTCATTTACTTAGGGCTCAAAAGGACGCTTGGAAATCAATCCTACTATTGATAATATTGTTAGTGATGATGTTGATGATGAAGGTAGTCAAACAAATGAGCATGATAAACAAAAGCAACAGAGTCAAATACCAAATGTTTTGAAAGAGCAAGATGAAAAACTTCAAAATGAAATCCAAACATATGAAAAACGTATTCAAGGATTAATTGAAAATGTTGGAATGTTGAAAGAGAAAGTAAATAAAAACATTTTAAAATGTTTTCTTTTCTTTGCAGCTGATTGATTTTTCTTAAGGCACGAAATCGTCTTAATCAAGAGCAAGCTGATCAACTTCGTGAAGATATTAATTCATCAATACGTAATCTTGAACAATCTCAACGAACAACAACATCAACAGCAAACATATATCCATCACGACTTTCTCATTCATCACCACCTTTACGTGATAATCATCGTTCAGCAAGTGCTGATGAACAACGAAACTATCGAGCAACATCCAAAATTTCGTTTAAAGATGATCCGCTTGGGGACAGGTACACTAAAATCACATTTTTACTTTTCATACTAATCTCACATAAATTATTTGATTCATGTAGACGACGTGCACGTAGTACAACACCAGTACGAGGGCCGATTTATCTCAATCCAGACCGTGAACGTCTATTAATATCATTATCAGAATCTGAAGCCGACATTTCACAAATTACTAAACAATTATCATCGGTTAAAGATATTCTAACAAAACTTAAACTCGTATGTATTTACTCAGATCACTTTATGTATAACATACTGATCAAATTACAACAAAGAAAAATATACCATCTATTAGGCTATTATTCGATGTGGATGAAGTATCAGATCTATTTACATTTGAAATTTTATTTGAAAAAAAAAACGAAAATTTCTTACCCATGTTTAGACTCATTTTCGTCTGATTGAATTTGTAAATAATTATTTTCTTTCAAACACAAACACTTCAATAGAAAATAAAAAAGAAATATTTGCTTTTTTCGTGTTTGTACGCGTAAAATAACATCACTGTAGAATCAAAATTGACAATGAAATCTGAGTTGAAATGTTTTACATTGTCGTTCGTTTCTTACATTTTCTTCTGCATACACACCATCGACACAAAGACGTTTTATGTATTGAAACAATTACATTGAGTGTCAAATGTATATGTATATGTATATGTATGGATGTTGAGACATAGAATGTCGTAAAATCGACCTACTACTGATGGCATAAAAGAAATTGAAGAGTAAAAAGAAAAAGAAAAAGAACAAACTCTTCTATTTCATTTCTTTTTCTTACTTTCAATTTGTGGTTTACATATATATATATATACATATATTACTATGTCTATATAAATATATGCATATAGAGAGGGAGACATTTATAGAGCACTAGACAAGTTTCTTTTTTGACCAACTCATTTAAACGCTGCACTTTTATTGCAAGTATTGTTGTAAAATATTTAGATAAATTTCAACGCTGTACATCTTCTTTATATCGTTTTCATTTCTTTCTCATCAAACTCATATCTATTTTCATGTGAATTAGTATTCTTATTTCGAAGCTGAGTTTACGACAAAGTAAAGTAAGTTTAGATTGCCGTCAAATACGCTAATTTAACCTTATATTATATTTTGTCCTTGAAAGAATGATTGTAGTTGTAGATAAAACAATATTGCAATACTGTTTCGGTAAGGGTTCTAACTTCTATGAATGTCCCGAAAGAAATGAAGAAAAAGAAATGAAGCATAAAACTTAAAATTGTATGTATAACTCTAAATATCTAAGCATTAAAAAAGAATACTTGTACTCAAGTTATGGCTTCTAGAAGAGTTGGTCACAAGGAAAAAGTTTTTTTGTAACCAATTTGTCTATTGTTAAGCGGCTTCATTTTTGAACATACATGTCAAGAAGAGAATTTATTTGTTAAAAGTTTCTCTTTGTTGCTTTATATAAAACACTTTTAGGACGATCAACCGATATCATTCGAAGTCGAACAACTACGCCAACATCGTAATCAATTATTGCATTTAATTGAACAATTTGAATATTCAAATAATAAACTTAAAGATTTTATTCGACATCAATATCATTTAGAAGCTGAACATGGTATTATCAATGAAAAGAATGACACCATCTTAACACGTATACATGAGCTTGAAAGTGAAAATGGACAAATAAGACGTCTTTTACTTGATCGAGAAAATGACAATATTGCTTTACAAACAGAACTTGAACGTATAAGAACGCATGCTATTGGATTTGATACAATGAAAACATCACTAGAACAAAATCGTGCTCATCTTCAACGAGAGCTTTACGCAAAGGAAGGAGAAATTAATCGACTTCAATGCGGTCTAAGGGTATGAAATTAACTATAATATCAACTTTTCTTTTCGTTTCATTCGTTACAAATTCAATAACAGTTGACTGTTGTTGAATATTTTATTTTTAAAAACGAATATAACCATTGAAATTGAATTTTTAAAAGGAAAATGGCCTGAAAGAGAGTGCGGGAGTAAAAATAATTATTTCCGCTATGGGACGTCTTTGTTCCTTTACGTAATAGTTGACAACGGACATCGAAGTAACAATCAAATGAGTATCAATCAATCATACTCGTAATAATTGAGTTGTTCTTTTGAAGATTGTTGTCGCTTTTTTGTTAAATTCTTTCGACATATTATCAATGTCATCACTTAGTTTCATCACTCGATATTATTTGTGAGGGTATTCTTTTGATTCAAGATGCTGCATCTCTTTGATCCATGCACTCCATAAACTCACGCAAACTATCTAATGATATCAAAAACTTCATTTATAAATAAAGTATTTCTATGTAATTTTTAGTCATTGGAACGCGATCTACAACGTAGTCGCCATCAATGCGATAATCTTCATCGGTCCATCAGACGTACACCTATGTTCCCTAATGCATCATCGTCCACTGCTCCCGCTGTTGTTGCTAAAACCAAAGGATTAACCGTTGAAAAGTTACAAGCTCAATTAATGGATCGAGATCGTCAAATAGAGGAACTCGAAAGACAAATATATGCTGATCCCAATGAAGTATTAGTTGACGCACAATCTGAAATCGTTCGCTTACGCACTAAACTTGAACATGCTGAACGTTTAGTTGGCGAATATAAAGAACAATTACATACCCAAACATTGAAAGCATCGGTTGATAATAGTAAAACACATTTATCTGAAATAGACTTTGAAAAAATGCGTGTTCGATTACAAAAACGACTTGAGGAACTTGAACCATTACCCGAATACTTACGACAAGCTGAAATGAAAAATCAAGAACTTGAAACACGTCTTCTTGAACAAGACAGACGCTTAGCTGATCAATCTTCTCTTATTCATGAACTTACTTCAAAAGTAAAAACGCCTAGATCAGAGAAAAAAAGAAGGCATCTATTTTAATATTCCATTTTTAGATGAGTACACAAAACCAAATTATTGATAGAATAAAAGATAGTAATTATTCATTCGATGATGATTATAGAGGGCTTCAACAAAAAATTGATGGTCTTCAACGGTATGTAAACAGGATAATTTTGGTTTTTACATTTGAATTTATATTTAGACAAATGATAACTTTGGAAGAAGACAATGATAATCTATTAAGAAATCTCAGTGCTAAAGAAGAAGCATTACGAAATACTCAGGTATAGAAGACATTCTTTTTCAATAACTCTTCACTGTGTCAAAAATAATGATGTCAAGAAAAAAATAGTAGATTCATTGAAAGTGATAGACAATATGAATGAAGAAAATTCTTGAAACAATCGAAAACAGTCGATGTTAGTTCTCGCTTATAGAACCAAATGTAGAACTCTGTTGTTTGTAGAAAACTTAATTATCTATACTTTTGCCAATTGAGTGTGTTGATATGACAGCCTGGGACTTTTCTGTCAAAAAATACTCATAGTTAAGACAATACGTGATGGGAATAATTAATGTAATCAAAAACATTTTCCAATGCATATTTGTTGTATTTCAAAGTAAATTTTCGATTTACTTGAAAAGAAAAACATTTTTCTTGACTATACCATTTGCGTTTAATTCTCATCACTAATAGCTATATAGTAGATTTCTTCAAGTTCATTATCGATTGAGATGTGGGAAGTTGCATTGAAACGAGCAGTTGAACCACAACAAAAATGTGCTCGACATGTTCAATTGTCCTGCATGATTTTATCTATCTCGTTGCGTTTTATCTAACATCAAATTGTCTGACTTTCTTTCTTCCAGGAAATAAATTTCGATATAAATATTTATTTTTAACTTATATAGAACGGTTAAACTCATTGAATCGTATTTTGGATGAATAATTTAAGGCTTAGATAGTTTTCATTGCATTTTTATTTAGTCTCGTCTGAATGCCAAGTCATATGAATTAGCATCAATGAACAAACAAATTAGTTTAACACAAACAGATATTAAAGCTCGAGAAGATTCATTTGGTTCTAAAGTAAGTATTCGATATAGTTTCAAAAATTCTTTAGAAGTATTTTTTCTTTAATAGGAACGTCTTTTTCAGCAACGAATAAGCGATCTTGAGCAACAAATATCAAAACTTCGACTTGAATGTACTCAATTGAAACGCGAAAAAGATGAAGTCGAACGACGTTATACGTCTCAGTTAGGTGAGCTACGGGATAAACTTGAACAATCAAATAATAATAATCGATCTATGCAAAATTATGTGAACTCTCTTAAAACGACATACGCAAGCGTGTTTAATGATGCACTTCCACCACCATTTACGACAACATCTTTGACACAATTTACAAAAGCACCTAGTGTATATCCGTGAAACATTTTTCTTAGACAGGATATTTTTTCTATTTCAAAGTTTCCTTCTATTTGTGCTCAAAAAAAGTGATGTTGACAAAAAAAAGAAGTTTTATGTATTTGTTTTTGATCAAATTATTATTATTTTGTTTTTTTTTGTGTATTCATATTATAGGATGTAGTCATTTTTGTCATAGAGTAGAATATTTGAGCAGTATTTGAAAATCATGACAGTTCTTTTGTCCTTTTGAAATATATGTTTGAAAAAAAAACGAATTCTCACAATGAATCGCTCTTGAAATAGTTAAACTACTAGTGAGTACCAGCTTATAGTTACAACTCTTCCGTTTACTAAGCTGCTTGTCAATGAACGCGATTGACAACATGAAGGTCATAATAAATGCGCGTTATGTAATGTGAAAATTGTATTTCCTTCGCAACTTTTACTTAATGAGTCAATCTATTTGTTTTATTTCTTGTGTAAACTTAAACAATGCAACATCTAGGTCACTATTCTAGAAGTGCAACAATAAATAATGGTCTATTTTTTCAGTTTAAATAAATTTTCGAAGAAATGAATTTATAAGCAATTAGCTTTGAGAATCGACTACTAAATGAAATAGTCAACGTTAGAGATAATTATCACAATAAAATGATTTCGGATGTCATTTTGGTAAAACAAAAGAAAAATATTTTACAAATCATGGAGTATTATTTCGATAGAAATCTCTTTTATTTATAATAGAATCATTGACTACTATAAAACGAGTGCATGACTATCAATAGTCTGGAGATTTAACTACGAAAAACAAAATCAATGCTTTGATGCGTTTGAAGAAAGATGGAAATACAAGAGAAGACGAACTTAGTTTCTTAGTCTAATAGACAAATAGTGAACTCGTGACTATCTTTTATGTAGGGAATGGTCCCAGTATTCTGATCTTTTCAAATAAAAATGATACAATGAACACTAGCCATCATATTGAAGTCGTTATGAAATGTCGGATATTAGTTTTTTTTTTGAGAATATGTGCTGAATTGTCAAAATCTATCATCGAATTTATGTATTATATTCAATGAAGGTTAGTTTTGATTGTGGTCTTGAATACACTGGAAGATAGGCAATCAGTAAAAAGCTAAATATTTTTATTTTCATTCGTACGCTTATGAGAATAAAATGCAGGATTACTGTGAAAACAACTGATAAGAAATGATAAATGTACTTTTTCTATTGACGAACGACGATATGATCCGAAAAGCAAAATACATTGTTAGCTAAAAGTACAAGTGTACCTAAATCATTCTTATTTTGATTAATTAATGTGTTAAATAAAATAATTTCGCTTCAAAAAAACTGAATTTATCTTATTGAATATGAATTCTAATTATAAGAATGATGATAAAATTCGATTAGTACATATTTCTGAACTATAGTTATTTTAAGAATGCCACATAGAGAATTTCGATATTTTCATGAGTCCAAAGGAACAAGAGTTTAATAATCTGTGATTTTATTCAAATATTGACCCATCTGCCGTTTTTCTCTCACATCAAGAAAAGTAGCCTATAAATACAATGTATTTCGTCATCCGAATTGCTTTTAATCAGCTCAACGCATTCACTTTAATGATCTGTAAAAAAATGGAATCTATTTATTTATTATTAGTATCTGTCAGTATTTTTCAAATTTCATTAACAACAAAAACATGTTACGGTCCATATGTTACTGCATCAAGTCTTGAAGCATTACATCAAGATATAGATTTAGTTGAACCATATCCAGTCGATTGCGGTGGATTATCATGTGAATTTTATTTAAGTCCAAGTTCCGCTTTAGGTTCACATGGTCCACTAAGGTAAAATTGGAGACGATTATTAAAATATAATTGGATTCATATTTAATATCTTTAGTGCCTATGGTCCACTAGGCGTAATGGGTCCGATTGGATATCATGCATGGAATCCTACGGCTTGGAAATTTCCATCAAATGAAATAATCGATTGGACTACATCGAATATGTTATTTGGACTTTCTAATAATCCACTTTCTTCAGCAGGTCCGTTGTCATCTGAATCCTATCATACAACACTTCCTTCGATCAATGATTTTGGTAAACATTTACAAGCACTAGGCTTATGGGGTATTTTAGGACCTCTGGGACCATTAGGAGCTTTGGGTCCACTAGGTGCACTTGGACCCACCGGTCCTCATAATACAATGAATTTAGAAAATCATAATACTGTGCATGTAAAATGGTCAACAAACGAAATTCGTGATTTTGACTTAGTTGAAGTTCTTGATGAATCGCATGTCGGCGAAGAATTAGATTGTTCATTTATGATATTTGGTAAAATCAGTGTAAGTGATGAAACAGATAATTACAATTTTAATTGTAAACCCAATCAATTTATTACTATCACACTCGTGCCGGAACACAGCCTTGATTATTTTAATATGACATTATTTTCCAATACAAATTCTGCGGAAAAAATTGCATCAAGTGATTCAATGAAATATGTTAATTTTATTCAATTAGGATTAGTGAATAATAATAATAATAATGGATCATTTCGTATTGACGTGAGTTTACATGAAATGCATCAATTTATTTTAGCACATTCATATCGTTTGATTGTTACTGGTTCACAAGATATCATTGATTTAAAACAAGAAGAAAATAATTTCAAAGGGCCACATATTATTAACTGTTGAAATAAAATTTTATTTTTGACCTGAACTTTTCTATAAAAAGTTATATTTATCAATAATAAAATAAGACTATAAGTATGTCTCAATCATCTTTGCTTATCTAAACATTGAAAGCGATAGATTTTTTGATAATAAGAAAATCTTTTCATGTTTTATGACATTGAATAGAATTCAATATTGTTCGAGGAGGAAATACATTGACGATAATTACCGAGTAGCGATCTAGTTGAGTATTCAGCAATCACATATTGTCTTGTGAATACAGCTCTTAGATTTGTTTTTATCAAACCTCCTTTGAATGATTCAATAAGGGATTTTGTTTTTATTGTTAACCTACTTATCGCACTTGTATCAAGAACATTTATGGAACTAACATAACATACGTTTGGTGATTATAATTATTTAATTGATTGAATTCTAAGTAAAACAAAGCATATAAATGATCTTAAAAATAAATCACACAAAATGGCAAGTTAATCACAAGTTCCATCAAATTTGGGAGCTCAATCATACTATTCGGCAGTCATAAGTCATCGTTTTTTGACTTTATATAAAATCAGTGTTAGCAGTAGGTATGAAATTCAACTTAAGAAAATTTATACTTTCAATTTCATTTGGTATTAGTCAGCCTCTCTTTCAAATGCTCTTGATGACCGTAAAATATCGTCTACGATTTCCGGTGTATTTATAGGACGATATGATCCGATTTTGTTTTGTAGCATGATCGATCACTAATGTGTATTTAAGATAAGCTTATCGAAGACACATGATATAATAAATATTACCAATGCTTTTATGTCAATTAAAAACAAAAGTATATATCACCTGTTGATATACGAGAATATTTAAACATCTTTAATTAAATATCGAGTACAAGTTGTCAAATAATATACAAGAGGAAGAAGCTTAAACGAACTTGAAATCAGTATTTGGTTCCAGCATAAGAGAATGATGAAACATTTTAGTTATCTATTAGATATTTTATCCGTTCATCATGCAAAAATGTTGAGTAACCAATAGTAAATGCTGCTTTGAATTCACTATGATAAACTTGCAAACACATGTATTACTGTTTCGTGAATGAATGATCTCTGACAAAGAAAAAAAAGGCAATACTTGAAAGGAAATATAATTATAGGATTATTAATTTTGCTTATATCAAATGGAACAAAAATCGATTATAATAGGTCATAAGAATTAGTTAATGATTAATAAAATGTATAGGCAAGGACAAAAGTTAATTACAGATAGCTGCATTAAGAACGAGTATTGTTATATTGAACTTCGAAATATTATTTATGATGTGGTTGAGGTGGATAAACACCAGGTCGACCACCGATGCGACCGTCTTTATTAAAATCAATATGTGTTGCTTTTTCAAGTTTTCCAACCAATCCTATCAATAAGATAAAGAATTAGTAAGTTGCACTTCAACGTTTGCTTTTCTTTTACCTCCGTCCGCTGGTGGCCGATATCCACCAATGATTCCATCACGATTGAGATCTACATGAGTAGCTGCTTCAATTTTAGCAGCCAATCCAGGTCCTCCAATTCGGCCATCTCCATTCAAATCGACACCAAGTTTTTCCTCTAATTTTCTTGTTATAAAACCTTTACAAAAATAAATAAATAACTAAACATTCTAGTGCACATTTTGAAACTCACTCATGTTTATTGTTTGTGGTATTCGATTGAAGTGTTTTGATGTGCAATGCTTGTATGTGTTATAAAACTAGTTCTTTATTGGTATATCCTTTTCTTTTCAAATTATGTAAGGCGTAAAAACATAAGTGAATCACCTACTTTTTGTTTTTCTTTCTTTTGCACGGAATATTGACTCTTACTATATGCACACGCCATTGACGAATCATAACTAATGATAAATACAAAATAAAAATCAATAGAATGAACTAGATGGCATTCGAGTTTCACTCGTATACGAAATGCGATGCGAAGCTCGAATCGGATCTACTACGAAAGATTTTCAATTCGAAGAAATATTTCACTCTTTTAATGTAGACATGATGAAATTCATCTCTAGGAAAACTCTATTCATATTTAGCGATATGTTCTTAAAGAACGATTTCGATTGATTGATTAATTATCTGTATGATTTATTATCTATAATCAGCTGTGAACAGACATACGTGTGGCTAGTATTTGCTTATGACGCCATTTTAATTATGGCTAAATGAAGGCCAAGTCTCACTGCATCGCATCGACTAACTGAAATATGCGGTCCACATTTTACTTTACCCAAACCGAATTCGACAGGAGAAATCGGACAAAATTTGTATGATATAGAGATTTTCCTGTTACTAATACCGTTTGAACGAGCATCAGACGAAATTCAGTTCTTGAGATCATCGCGCCACAAGAATACTGAATTTGGATGCGTACGCGACGAACTACAGAAATGCTATGCTTCGCATCGCATTACATAAAGCACGTCCATAGTTAAACAAAAAAAGAACGACCAGGTTAACATACTCAAGGCAGTAATTCTGAGAGGAAAATGTTTCTAAATTTCCTCACTACGGCAGATAGTTAACAAAATTTTCAGGACATCGAGTTAAAATGAACTTTTACCACATCGACGTTGAGAATATATGTAGGATGCATATATTATGAGCTATATATAAAGTTCAGAGTTACAGTAGAATATGTTCTGAAAAAACTGATAGAACAAGCAGAGATTTCTCTGTGTGAGAATAAACTAATGATGAGTTTCTGTGAGATTTGAACAAAAAAAAAGATGATCATTTTGATTTTTAAACTTACAAGATGATCTTGATCATTTTCTAGAGGATAGCCGTGGCAATTTCCATCCTATTCATGAGTTTCATCTTTGAATTTTTATTGAGTAATTGATTGATACAGGCTACTCTGATACCAGTGAAATTCATCATTCAAATGGAGATCTTTTTCCGATCAAGTATTCTTGAAACTCTTTGATGATGAAATGAATTGTTTTGAGAGAGTTAACAGATCATTCTTTTTTACTCTATCTTCTTTCTTTTTTCTTTTTATATATAAATAAAAACAACCATCACAGACAGAAAAAAAACAATCAAAACGAACATACTTCGGAAGTTTGCTTTTTTTGAATATATGAGAAACGAATAAAAACATACAACACTTTTATCAATAAACAAAGAAAAACAATAATGATCGAATTTTAACAATGCAAATAAATAGCTTCGCTGTTCTATTCATCAACAGATAAAACAAACGTGTTTCAATCTATTGCATTTCACGCATAATAAAATAAATATCTGAAAAATGTATTCTTTTTTTCTTTTCACTAAGAATTTCTTCATCTTAATCAAGACGACGTAAATTTTTTAGAGCGCATTTTGCCGCTGCATTTTTAGCTATTCGATAATTTCGTCCAACACCTTTAAAACGTCCTTTACCAATAATTTCAACTGTAACGCGTATTCGACCATCAAGTAAACGTTCAGGTTTTTCAAATTTCACTGTTTCAGGTTCAAGTTCCAGTAGTTCACGTATTGGCGATTTTGGAACTTTCGTTGTAAATTTTTCAATAAATGGTTTTAACATCCGATAATATATTTTCCATACTGTATTAAATGATTTATTTGAGTCCAGAAATATTGCACCGGCAACAGATTCAAATATATCACCGAGGCATTTCGGAACTTCAGTTTCTTCCCATTCATCGGGTTCATTAATTGAATCATCATTTTGTTCATCGTGTGAATTCGATAGATGTTCATCATCGGCTGCGCATGCCATTGTTGCACTATACGTATCCTTATTATTCGATGCTGATGATGTTAAAAAATCATAATAGAAAAATTCATCGTTTTCATCATCATCATCACCTAAATTACATTCGTCGAAACCGCACCATGTTGATTTATCTTTTTGGGCTTGAACAAATTTATCAATCAATAGAAATAATTCATTTGAATGACAACGAAAATATTTATGAAAATCATATTTAACAGCTATATATGCAAATATATTATTATTGACTAGAGCAGAACGAAGATCTGTTAGTTCACCGGGTGAATGACGTTTTGGATGCTAAAAAAGCAAAGTAGAAGAAAAAATAATTTTTCCGAAGACAAAAAAAATGAATTCACTAACTTCATATAGGTAACGAGTTATAACATAATCAAGTACGGCATCACCAAGAAATTCTAATCGTTGATAACAATCTGTTATTGTATTATAGGAGTAAGATGCATGCGTAAATGCTTGAATGAGATACGCTCGTTGATGAAAACGATAGCCAATAAGTTGTTCAAAACGATCGAAATCATAGGATTGAACTGCTGATAAAATCGATGGATTTGAATAATCAACGGGTGATGGCAATGGTGGAAGCTCACCAGTCATTTCTGTTCCATCCTCTAAAACAAAAACAGAATTTCCATAGATACAGTTTACTAGACTGGTGATAGTGCATCAGCTGATGATGATAAAATTTAGCATAGTAGAGACAACATCGTTAAGATTACTTATTTCATTAACCTTTCTCTTAGATAAATTTAACAAAATAATTTAAGAATGAATTACGAACCAAGTCGAAGTTTAGGAAATATTCTTATGCCAAGCCAAGCCATAAATCGAAGCGCAGCTTTTGGCCCACTTGCAATTAAATAAGCACCAATTAAAGCTTCAACTGCATCGGCAATACTTTTATCGGATATTAAATGTTGAGTACGACGGTCATATGATGGCGTCCAATTTTGTTCATTGGGTGGTGTTTTTGTAGAAAATGTCGCTAGTGCTGGATTGTTCAACATGGTAATTGATGGTATTGGTACTACTGATGCTGCTGGTGATGATGATTGAAGATTAATTTTTGCTAGTCTTCGTTGTTCACGACGTTCTTGTAGTTCAATCCAATCGACATTTGTTGTTGATTCAGATTTTGTCCATAATTCTACACCAGAACTTGACAATAGACCATATTCATTGGGTGATCCAGATGTAAACAAAGGTCTAGTTGAGCAAAGAAAAATATTCGAAAAAGAGATTCTTTTCATTTGTACACTTACGGAATCCAATTTTCAAATGGTTCAAATTTTGTACTAATTAAATATTCTCCAAATAATTTACGTTTGCCAAGTTTATAGAGATTATAATTTGAGACAATTTTTGAACGAAAAAAACTTAATTTCCCTTCATGCACTTGTGTATACGTACAATAAATATAGACAGTAACAGCTTGTTTCAAAAATGAATCACCAACTGTTTCAAGACGTTCAAGATCAAAACCATCGCCAGCATTCGATAATGTTAACGCTTGTAAGAGCAATGCTGGTGATGGACCCGGATGAGATTCAGGTAGATATTCAAAATCTAAATTTATATTTAATGGTTCAGAAAAATCATCTATAATTCCACTATCATGTCCATTTTCTAATATGGAAAAATTTGTTTGAGATGTACTTGACGATGCTAATATTGATGAACGTTTTTTTTGTTGACGATGTTCATCCTCTTTGTTATTACGATCAGCATTACTATCATCATCATCTTGTAAAACTTCGTTAATATTTAATAGACGTTTGATGAGTGGAGTTGGTTCAAAATGAATAACAGACGAAATAGGTGATTGATAGATTTTTGTTGGCTCTTCAATTTGAACATTGACTAAATAATTTGATTTTTCACGTAAGCATACTTTAGAATTATTTAGCGTTAATTCGACAGAAGAAAAAAGATCAGTTTCATCTTGTTTAGTTAAATCCATGGTAGGTTGAGTGTTCGACATGAGTTTTGAAAGGAATTTTTTTGATTTAGTTTTAAGATCTTCATGTAAACGAGGTAAATCAATATGATAATTTTTTACTTTGGTTTCTTTCGATGAATTATTATCTTGTTTTTTCTTATTGGATGATAGAGAAGATTTATTATTTTGTTTAGCATTTTCAACGGCTTCATTATTATCATCGTCATCATCATCATCATCTTCGTCGTCTTCATCGTCGTCGGTTGATGATTCTAGTTTTTGTTTCTGTGGCGTACCTGCCCAAGCTAAATAAGAATTTATAGATGATTAATTATTTTGGATTCAAAAGAAACAATATACTTGATGCAGATCGGCCAGCTTGTTGTGAACCGGTATGCTTATCTTCTTCTGCATCATCTTCAAGATCCATATCATCATCGAAATCAGCATCAGCGAACTAAATTTTCGAAAATCGACAACATAGAAACTAGAATTGTTTTATTTAAAACAGAATTTTCACCGAAACTATTTTGTTAAATGATTCTTAATTGTATAGGAAACTGTAAAACCTTCATATCTCTAATTTTCCTTGAGAGTATAAGTGCGAATGAAGTAGGTTAATAGAACTGTTTGTTATTCGGAAGATATTAGAAACTTTGACATAAAAGAAAGATTGATATTGACTAGATTATTGACGTCTAATTTGAATCTATTTAATACTTCTTCGTTGTGTATAATATTTTCAGAAAATGCATGAAAGTTTTCAGTTTATGGGACTCAAAATACCTGCAGCAGACATTCAAAAATTAAAATTTATTTGACATGCTAGTACTTACATCAGCAGCATTTATCATAATACAACGATCTTTTGCTTCGAGCCATGCTGAATCATCTAAATAGATAATATTAAAAACTTGTATATAAATGCTTCGCTAATTTATACTTGTCCAATTGTGTAAATCATTTCCATTCCAAACACTGATTTCAAAATTCCAATTCGGATCAATAGGTTCATCAGTAAAAAATGCATCATTATTATCTAATAGAGCTGAGAATTGTGCTTCTTTTTTTTCGTCCCATTCAAAACCTAACTTATCAAATTGTCCATCTTCAGGTGCCCATGCAACGCCAACACCTGTTTCTAATGCAACTGTTCGTCTCAACTGTTCAACTAATAACAACGAATTGATTCTATACAGCATACTAGGTAATGCTATAATTCCTTGCCATAATTGTGAATTTATCGGATGAATAATAACTAATTCTGGTATGAGAAAAACTCCTTGATGATGATGATGAGGATGATGTGTTGAACCGTTTGTTTTTGAATGTTGATTCGTACGATTTATATTTCGATTTCCATTTGTTACTTTCATCGTTTTAAAATTCATATAACGTGGAATTAATTGATTCATACGATGCGATGTATGCGATACACATAATAATGGTTGTGTTTTATTTGTTAAAAGTAATTCATATTTTATTTCATAATACGATGAAAATGTATCATAGATCGTTGATATAGATGGAAATGATGATAGAGGATTTTTATTTGTATCAATAGAATTAACAATATAATATTGTGGTTGAGTTGAACGACGATACGACGGTAAAACAATACATGTTTGATTGAAATCATTTGCATTAAATACATATGGATTTTCAAGAGTATATTTATCTAAGAACATCGATTGAATAAATGTAATAATATCCTTGGTTAATTTCCAATCGATTGAATATGAACCTGACGGATCCATTTTTAATAAAATAATAATTAAATGTGATTTAGTCTGCTCAGGATTGAAATTAACTAATGGACGATCAAATCCAAGTATGGAAGAAAATAAATAATAATGAACTGTTTGTAACATTCGATATTCATCCGATGTAAAATGAATATTTTTCATGATCATTTCGAGATCAAAAGTTTCTTCACCAGCACGAGAAAATAATGAAAATGCTGGAATCTATAAGAAAAATAAAAGAGTCTTCATCTTTCAGCGTTTTTTTTCTTCTTCTATTCACTTCAAGTAGATAATTTGCTGACAGTAAACCGATTCGATTTCGATTAGATTCATGTGTATAAATAATTGTTGGTTTTTGCTGTTCATTGGATTGAACCAATGGTGTTGTTAATTCACCATTCATACAATAAACGAAAAAATCCGAAGAATTCGTTGTTGAAACAGGTTCAGGTATAACCTATAAATGATATGTAGATTTATTTTTAAAGTTGATTTAAATATTTTACAGCTTTGGTATAAAGTTGTTTACGTTGAACGGAACCAGGCTTTGGATTGGGTTCATTATATGAACCCCATTCAACAAAATCTTCATCGTCAATAGTTGAATGACGAAGATAAAATTGTTCGCGCGTTTCAGGTAATAAGAGTTCATTTAATTCTCCTTTAAATAAGACTTAATTTGAAAGATTTTCACGTAACTATTCCGATACTGACCTGCTTTTAGGAGATGTTCACAAAGACGTTTGGCAGTTGAAAGTTTTGCTTTTTTTACGGTTGAACGAATAGGACCCTGAGAAGAAAGCAAATTAATTGAGAATTATTTTCGAGAAAATATTAAAATCTATACTATAATTGTTGTTCGTGCAGGCGAATTAACTGGCAATGAAAGAGTACATTGATATTGTTCGTCATCAATTTTCTTTATTTCACACGATGGAACTAATGTTGTTAGAGCATCACATGGAAGTCGAGCACAATATCTAAGATAACCAAATATTCAACTTTGATAATGAAAAGATGGCAAGAACAAAGAAGGAATAAATTTACCTATTGATTACTTCAATAGCATTTGGTATTCGTTCACGTTCGATAGTAGCCGGTGGAAGAGGAGTATTAATTTCTTGAAATTCTTTTGTCAAGACCTTGTATAAAAAAAGAACAAAAATTGAGTTTACTTGAAAAATTAATTATTATAAGAAATTTATTTTGATGAACAAATCATAGACGTTTACATTTTTTTCTCTTTAAATTAATATCAATAGAACGTACCTGTTCAATGCCTTTAAATGAATTAAGATTTGTTAGGAAGGTATCATATTCATCTTGTTCGACCAGCATAAAAAAATGTGGTGTTTGAGCTCTTGCTTTGCCCTAGTAGAATTTTCAACAATAAGAAACAATATTACTAAATCATTAAAATTATCGTTTACTTTTGATTGCATATACGATCGATAATTTGTTGGTACATTAAATCGAACTACTAGATTACAATCTGGTATATCTTTTAATTCTTCAAGAGAACTCAATGCAACAATAATATTATTTTCACCGAGACGAAATTTTCGCATAACTTCTTCCTAGAATAAATATTCGTAATTCGATCAAAAAACATCATTTTCTTTTTCGATATACCTGTTTTCGACTATCCATCGGTTGAATATGTTGACTAGTTGATAGATCCTCTGTTGGCTGCATTGTTGAATATCCAATTAAAAAATTTGGTCGTATAAATGAATATTCGTCAGGAAAACGCTTGGCCGCATCCTTCAATAGAGCATTAAGTACAGCAGTTTCTTGTTTACGATCAACAAATATAATTGCTGACCAACGACGACTATGCACACTTGTTGCATCCGATTGAAAACGTTTTAATATATCAAATAATGAACGTAATTTTGATGTTGTATATTGTTCAATTAATGTATTTGAATCAAGTGTTTCAATAACCGTCTTAATACGTGCTCTCCAAAGTCGTAGTAATGTACAAGTCCAATCAAGAAATAACGAATATGCACGTGGTGATGAGAGAGAAATGTGATGAGACGAAGACGACAATGAAGCAGTACTTTGCTCAATAGCAATACTTGAAAGACGTTCTAATTGAGTTATGATCGGTAATGATGAACGAAGTAATGCCCAAATGCCTAGCTTATCAACTAGACGTAAACATTCGGTAAGTACTTGCCGTGGAATAGTCAATGGTGATGAATTTTCATCAGTATTCATCGCCGATGAGATTTGCGGTGGCTCTAATTTGTTTAAATAATCAAGAGCGTCATAAATTTCCTTTGAAAAAAATTAATAAGCTATGCTTTGAAAAATCCAATAGTAAATGAAGTATACATACTCGTGCTATTTCGATTGCAATGTCCGGTTGTTGTTTATTAGTATTTTTACACACAGTAATGGTTTCTTTTGGTATTTTTGCTAATCGATTTGATTGACGACAAATAAGATCTGTAGCAGTGAAAATACTCGAACTATAAAATTAATAAAAACAAAATCTTATTTAAATCATACATGTACTAGGATATAAAAAGAAAAGATTTTCTATACCAAAACATAGTCCGTAAATTTTCAATGCGTTCTTGAAGTTGTATTGGTGTACAATGAGTTTTAAGTAAAGCAGTCGTTATTGAAAAAAGACGTGGCAACCGGATATTATTATTATTATCTGCTCTATCCAAAACATTTTTATATTGTTTTAGAATAGAACCATAAGCATGATCACGAATAGCCTGGTGACATTCGTCGAGAATTAACAATTTAATATGTGGAAATTCTATTGTATGAAAAATATGAAAATTTTATTACGATTGAATTCTTTTATTTACCGATATAATTTCGATTGAGTAATTCATGAAAAACAGTTGGATGCATCACTAATACAGAACGAATTCGCATTTCCTGTAGCCATTGTTCCTTTTTCCATAGAAGTACTCCGTGTTCAATACCAAATGAGCCGACATCGACTGGTAAATGCCGATGAATCATTTCAGCTAATGCAACTGGATCTTGTTCTATAGGAATAGAGTAGAACTTTACGAATAGTTGTTGGTTTTATTTTTATTATAATCATACCCATTGAAAGAAAAACGATACGTTGACCACCTTCATCAAAATTTTGTTTAATACCATATGAATATTCTCGTATAACATTAATAATAAGAAAATTCTTTGAGGTATTACTGTGTAAACAGACAATGGTATTTTCACGTTTGACTTTATCAAGGATTTCGACCTAAAAAAAAGCACGTTTATCCATTGAAAATTCTTTTTCTTTTAATAATTATAAAACCGATGTACTATATGAGGCTATTATTCGATTTCAAGGTTCAGATAAAATAGTTCTACTGTTCAATAAATGATTACTAATTGTAATTTAATATTGAAACGGATTCATTTCGATTTCAGTAGATGTGATTTGTATTAAAAGAAAAAAATTCGATACTATTTGCATTAAAAAGCGTTTTCAAATAAAAAAAGATCAAATTAGCTTAGACTAAATCTGTGAGTGTAATGACATTTATGAGGACACTGTTGCTGACAAGGAATTTTTTCGAACTTGAAAATTACTTTTCACTTTGGATTATCAATGTAGACGACCGTACATTCAAAACTCGAAACAGATAAGGGATTTCCCTATCGAATTACAGCCTTTTAATTGGCATTCTAATCTGAAATATGGCACGTAAAAATGATGATTCTTTGGCTGGATATATTTCCCACCAGTAAACCTCCTTGTATCTCCCATGTCTTCAAAGATTTAAGTTCAAAGCAATATTGCCTAACAGCACACTCTAATATTCCATAATTCATTAGCATCAATGTTAAACCCATAGAACACTGACATCATCAATTTGTTTTCTTTATTCAAGTTTCTTTTTTTAATCAAAATAACAGAAACAAATAAAATTTCAGATGAAAGCTATCGTATAATAGACTCCGATATATATATATAGCGACTATCATTTATTATTAGTAGAGAAAAATGATTGTGACATTAAAAATTAAAATGTCGCTTTCATCTAACAGCTGGCAAATGTGATTCCAAATTAACGTTGAAAGAACCTTTTCAATGATTACAAAATTGACTTACTTCATATTTCGGTAAAGTAAAGCTTTCCGATGGTACATCATCTATCCATTGTGTATTTCGTATAGTTCGCCGTCCACTTGCAGCTAATAGATATGTTTTGACTTTGTCTATATTATTTGTTGATGTCATTATATAAAAGTCTCTAAATAATATATGTATATTCAAACTAGAAGCAAGATAGAAAAAAAAAGGAAAAACAACAAAATTAGCTTTTTCTTCTCCTCATTAAATTTTCTTTTTAAAGCAGAAAACAAAAAATTGAAATCTTTCATATAAGAATTATACACAAGAAAGGGCAAAAAATTGAAACTTTTAATTTTTAAAAGTTTAAAGGTGATTGACCATTCGTAGTTGATGATGGCGGTGGAACCACAAATATTTCATTCGCATTATCATATGCATGAACTTCAACTGTTGTTACGGGAGGAGCAGCTGGTGGCGGTGGCGGAAGATGATGCGGATAATGTGATGAACTGGCTGCTGCTGTTGTTTCATAGTTAAGAATTTCTCGGTGTGCTTCACGAATATATTGACTTTGCTTATAATAAATTTTGGCTGTACCTTTCAAAACAATAAATGCAATACCACCCTGCAAAAATAAAACGCAAGATTTGTCTCCTTATTCTAAGAAAAAATTTTCTTTATCTTTTATTCTGACCAGAAGTGTTCGTTGAAAATTTGAATGAACACGTTGAAACATAAATTTTCCAAATATAGTGGCAATGGTTGGTAGTATAAGACCACCACAAATAAGTCTTGTTAAAGATGCAGGATTCGAATTTCCATTGCGTTCCGTTGGCACACGAGGTAAATATGATGTACGTTCTAAGTAGAAATAATGTTGATTTATTAGAAAATTCTCTAACAAATTTTTTTTTTTGAATTTTACCACTCGGAAATAAATAATTCATGAGCGGCAACTTAGATGAGTGTTTACGCCAAAATTTCAATACAGCTTCTTCCCATCGTATCATTCGTCCAAGAATTAAAACTATAGGTATTGTTGGTAAACCAATAAGAAGAAAAAGTGGATCAGCTTTCTCCATTACACTTAAACCTTCTTTATGTCCAAGAATCTAGAAATTGTTGTATTCTTCATTTTTGTTTTCTTCTATTAATAGAAAATAAAAACTTTTGCTTACCTGCATGATTGTAACAGCACCATATGTGACAGCTGTCCAATAAACAGATCCAACAAGAATACCACCGGCAAGAAATGGACAAAAACGATTTAAAATGCGCTCAATTAAATCAAGCGTATAAACTAGTGGACCTAAAATTTAAAAACAAACTTTCATATTATTCTGCTAGTTAGATATATTTATATTTACCATGTTTAGGATAAATAATAAGGTATTCTGTATTGCACTGTGGGCATGCAACTTTCACTAAACAGAATATTTTGAGAGATGAAAAATACAGTAGAATAATTTACCTCCACTTGATCCTTGTTGTTTCTCATCAACCCATCGTTGAAGACATTCTTGATGAACCCATTTAGCTGTTCCACGACAGCGACATGGTGAAACCCAACAAGCAGAAAAATCATCTTCATCTGTAGCAAAGCAAACCCAACAATGTTTTCCAGGAATACTATTACGCGTTTGATTTGTATTTGTTAATGATGTTCGATCAAAATTTGATGGCGTCGGTGGTGGCGGTGGTGATGATGTAGGAGAAGAAATAGAACTATCTGTTCTTGGTACTATTGAAATATTTGCTGATTGATTAGATACAAATGGTAATGACGAGTTAGAATCATCCATTGATTATTTCTAAAACTAAAACTTCTTTTTTTTGCCAACAAAAACTGAATATTAAGAAATAAAAGCAGAGAGAAAATAAACACATGAGACATTCCCTATTGTCGTTGGTGGAATTAACGATCCAGTTGAAGCCATGTGACTAATATTCATCTTCATACACTAATGCCATCTAGCACAAAATCTCAAGGGTGATTAAACTATAATTCTTTTTTATCGTAAAATAAAATCAACTGAGTTCTTTTTTATTACACAATATTACTTGAATATTGTTTAACCTGATATCATATCAGCGTGTAATGTAAAAATTGAAATGCTATAAAAAAAAAAGATGCGGATGAGATAAATAACAAAAGAGTAAATATCTATTTGTGTTTTTCTTGCTACATGTAGCGGAGAGAAAGAAAGAAGAAGAAACATGCTTATTGTCAATCTAAACGAACCGTCAAAAACAATTCAAGTGAAAAGTAACGCTGAAATTAATTCAAATATTGTTGCTGAAGGAGCTTATGCAGTGGATAAACCTGATCTTACTGTTCTTGTCTCGTTCAAACATGTAGCAATAGCACCGGATAATCATGAACAACTTGATCAACTTCTATCTTTAGTTATGTCTACTCTTGGTGAATTATATAAATCATTAGTTTGCATACGTTTACCAACGATGTTCGATAATCAAATTGATATTGATAAACTTGAAATTAAAAATAAAATTTCATGGTTCATGTCTGTTAAAAACGATAATATCAAGTTTTATCCAGACAATCGTTTAAAACCTGAACAAGAACAATATGAATTAATAACTGATAAACAATTAATATTAAATCATTCGGAAACATTAGTTACAATGATGATTAGAGAAGGTTTTTGGTGTAAACCATGGGATTTAGAAGAAATGAAAAATCGAATCAATTCAGCAACACACATTGCAATGATATTAGATAAAATAAATAATTCTCCTTGTGGTTTCGGACGATTATTTACATTGAAAACTAATGATACAATATTTGGATACGTATCAGACATTGTCGTGGATAGTTCTCATCAATCTAAAGGTTTTGGAAGAATTATCATTAACTATCTTGTTGGAATGTCTGTTAACAACAATGAAAAACAACAAAATCATGATGTGACGCTTTGTTTACAATGCGCCAATGAAGGTACCGGAGCAGTATCTGCACCAAAATTGTATAGCAGATCAGGTTTCGAGTATATTGGAGATATTGATAATCGTATTGCTATTTTTGTTAATAATGAGTATTATTCTAGGACATAAAAATGAACGTCAGAGAATTTCTCTGTCATGATTGAAATCAACAGTGTATTTTTCAAAAATCAATTATACACAGAATAGCGAATTTGTTTTTTTATGATTGATTCCTAACAATTATTTATTTATAATATAATTGTTTTTGAAATAGTTAAATAAAATATGTTCTGCGTTGTTCTAAGAAAAAGATTTCATAATTTATAATTGAAACAGAACATGATTATGGTTCTATTGGAAATTAAGAAGTTGTTATGCTGTGACTAAAATCAGAATATTAATTATCAATATATCTGTAGAAAAGCAAACCTGTGCGATACTGAATTCATTTCATGCATCGATAACTATAAACAAGCAAACATTTTTCAAGTGTCATTGATTTTTACAATGTAGAGCTCGGCAAGTTACGCGTGCATATTCATATTTTTCAGATATTGCAACGATGATAAAAGGTCACGGAACTTATATAATGCTAGTAAAAGGAAAAGGTTAGTATTGATAACATTGAAAGAAAAATTGTCATTATACTGATGGAACAAATCAGATCAAAGTGTTATAGTGCCACTATTCATCAGAGCAGAGAAAAATGATAGGTTTGTTTGTATTAGCGAATGATCCAAACTACGTGTCTACAGTTTCGTGTTCAAAAGCATTGTATTAAAAAAAAACGAGCCAGTATAGAATATTTTATAACTTTACACGACGAAATAAGAGATAAACAAATATATATATATATATATATATAAGCCTAACGATTGAGTACTCGAAAAAGAATTCTAATGTAAAATATATTTATAGGTCTGAAATATTATATTTAAATCTTATTGCATGAAAGTTATTTTTGAATAAATGCATTCTGTAGAAAAAGGATCCTTTGAGAAAAATCTCATCTTGCATAAGAAATTGATAGCTTTTACTTGCTTGTTCACATAGGAAGGATCATATAATGGTGAAATAGAAACATCGACCCTCGATTGCATCGGACTAGGGCTGATTTCAAAAAAAATCTCAATTTACTACCCGCTAAAAAACATGATCAAATCAGCTTCTAGTATTGGCATTTTTATTAATTGAATTATAAAAATATGACAGATTATCGATGACTGTTTGCGTGTTCAATTTACTGCACTATGCAGTATAGAAAAAAAAACAAATTTTGAACTGACACTAATAAGATGTAGATGAACTAAAATTTGGTCGACATGAAATGAACCGATGGAAATAACATGTATTTCTATATTATATGTTATTTATTTTCAAAATTTCATTTGTTGAATTCAATCTAAATCATACTTTTTGAGATGGACATAGTAAGTTTTAATAATGATTTACGCTACTACATCATTGATTTTTGTTGTAATGAAATATAAATATTCTATTGGTAGAAAGTGCATGCATTAAAATGAATTATATCTTTTCAAAGCTAGCTTAGTAATTTAATTTCATAAATTTTAGACGAAATTTTTATAAAAGAGCGCTTTGACAATAAGACTAATATTGACGAAATACGCAGATTCATACAATATCAAAGGGTTTTACGGTTGCGTCAAATTTTTTACACTTTCAACAGCTACGTCATATCAACAAAAAAAATGAAGACTAGATGATAATGAAGGATTTCTAGCATCAAATTCTAGTTTTAATTTTCTTTTATTTCGTGAACGTTGCTAAAGAAAGAGTAGAAAGAAAGACATATACACAGCATAAGGAACAATGATATCATCAAAAGAAAAAATGTTTCAATAATCGCAGTAAATAGGAATCATTTTTGTTTTTTGTTCATATGCAATAAAAAAAAACACGACAAATAATAGATAATATCAATCTTTAATCAATGGTCGAGCTGTTGTTGCCGCTGCTGTTGTTGCCGTTGCTGCAGTGGTTGCTGCTGCTGCTACTGTTGTTGTTGTTGTTGTTGTAGCACTACCACCGACGGCAGCACTTGGAACGACTGAACTTGTATTCGTTTGTTTAAAATTAGCTGCTGCTTGATATTGCAATTGATATGCCATGGAATGAATTTTAAATCCATAAAGTCGAGCAACAAATTGATTTGTTGGTCGTTTAGGACGATATTCAGGATGAACCATAAAGAGCATATGAGGAAAACCTGTACTAAAATAAGCTCCATCAGTATGATGATGACGGGAACTTTTTGGTGTATAAACATCCATACATTTTGGGCAATATAATTTCACCATGGCTTCACCAGGAACTTCTGATAAACCAATCTATTGTCAAAATTGGAAGTTTTATTTAAGAAATTTAATGTTATAACAAAAAGAAACTATATAGTCAACCATACCGGTAACATTGGTTGATTGTCACAATATATGCGAGGGCATAGACCAAAATCACCATTTTGGAATTTCTCAAGCATTTGCGCTATACCATTATTAGTAAGAATATAACGTGCGTGTATAAGACCTGATATATATATATATATATGTATATATCATTAATTTATTTTTAAATTAGGAAAAATAAAACAAATTACCATAAAGCATCTCAGCAGCTTGTTCAATCAGATCTGATTGATTCGGATTTTCTTGATTATCAAGTTCATCGTCTGGCTCAAGATCAAGTATCATATCAAGTGCCTGTCTATAATGTGGTACTTGTTCATTGAGGCCCGTCTTTGGAGAGAAAAAAAATATTAGAAGAGAATTTTAAGGTTCGATTAGAGCATACTAAATTAAATTTATCTTGTATATAATCTTCATCCACCTCACAGAAAAATTCATTTCCACGAAGACCACAGAACCATGAAATCCATGAAACTTATTAAATGAGAAATAATAAATTATAAAATGAGATCGTCACTTTTTTTATCTACCTTCTTCGGACGAACTCATCGAGCTTGATTTTGATTTAGCACCTCCGGCAGCAGCTGAAGACGATGAGTGATCGTCTTTTACGATGGAAGTTGCTCCAGTCGAGGCCAGAACAACAACAAAAATAAAAATACCTGAAGAAAAATCGATTATCTGGTCTACTACAAAAAATAATAAATTTAATTTAAAAAAAAATGTGTTTTTTATTATTATTTTTGTTATTATTATTATTATATAATAAACAATCACAAGATTTTGAAAAAAACAATCTTGTTTTACTATAAACAAACGATAAAATTCTCTGCCCATCGTTGTGTTCAAAAAAGATACATCAGTTAAAAACATTTCAAAAAAAAATGTTATTAAGTGAACAAATCTAAAAATCAAATATATCATAAGTTTAAAAAAAGGAAGTATTTCATATGGAGAAGAAATATTCTTTCTTTTTGTCTTTAGTTATTTGTATATAGTATATATAGAATTCTATTAAATAAACTCATGCATCTTTATCATCTGACAACAAAAAAGGCTTAGGTTTAGAAACAAAAGCATGAACAACACAACAAACACAAAATGATTGTAGAAAGATGCTTTGATTATCTTTTAACACACACGAAACAAGAAGAGACGAAGAAGAAAACCATGCTCCAGTATCATTAAACATTAACTGGTGATTTTAACTGTTTATCGACAACATAAAATTTTCCTTTATCACTAAAAAGTCCCCATAAAACTGCTGCTATTTCGCACATAACAACAAATGGAATTGTTGCTAATGTACCAATGATGCGTAATGTAAAATGTGCATAGCCCAAACGTACTAATGAAAATGAACGGACTGCGCCAATTATATATAAATAAATGTTGACAGCGCCAACATAATTTATAAGAAAATTTAATGTCCAATGTAATGGTATAGGACAAAGTGGTGCCAGAACAATGTTTAAAGATGTTATTGGTAATGTTACCCATGAGTAAAGTGCAATACCTAATCCAAGTCGTACCCGAAGTGGTAATCGATGATCATGAACGACAAGTAAAATGCCTTGTAGCCATCGTTTACGTTGTTTAATAAAATCTCCTAATGTAAATGGACTTTTTTCCCACATTTCGCCTAAAAAAAGAAAACAGAGACATAGAAACGAACTTTTTTTCATCATGAATTTACCTTCAATCCATCCGAACTTTTTATTTTTTGACATTGCTAACATAGCAAAATAAGTGTCTTCAGCAATCGAACCAGCTCGTCCATTATCAAATGCAACATCAAATTCACAACCAGCCCGACAAACAACAAATGATCCTTTGAATAAAAATGGTGGTCGATGTAATTTTTTCAGACAAAATCTTAAACATCCAAGGTCAACGCCAACACGCATACTATCAGCTAACGTTGTTATATGATTAACAATTGTTTCATTCGCGTACGTTATAAGACCTTGTCCAATATCATATTCATTACTAGTAACGAAATTTAATATTCCTCGAACAGAATTCTCTGTTAGTAATGTTTCTTCATCTAAATGTACGATATAATCATTGGACGCTAATTGATTAACGTCAGGCTCTAATGCATATTGTAACGCACGTGATTTATATAGAGCACCTGACTTTGTTCGATATGCATTTGGTACAACGATTTGACGCACCATATTTAACGGTAAACCGTGTAAAACCATTTGTTTATCAGTTACAATTTCGATTTGAAAATTATCTAAACCAACTTTAGCACATGTTTCCAAATTTCTCTTAACATTTGCATTGACTAAATCAGCATAATCACCACGTGTTACAACCCGTATACGAATTTTAGGACCTAACAATGGTGAATTTAATAATTCTGGTCGATCGGGAAATATATTATAAAAAAGTAGACCACATGTGTGACATATAACTAATGGCAAAGGTAGTAGAGATAATAAACGTATAAAATAAATAATAATTGTTAATAATAGACCATAATATTCGACTGGATTTGATATTAATACAATTAAATTTGAAGATACTTTATTTATGGGAAATACATTTATGCCACCGGCAAGAGCTTCAAACAGAAATATAAATATAGTAAAACAGCAAACATGAATTAAATGACGACGATTTGATGACGAGAATATCATTGTTAATTCATTCAATAGAAATCACAGAGAACAAAGTTATTTGTTACTTTTTCTAGCAATAAAAGAAAGGAAAAAATGCACATATATATATATATATAGATGAAATTTGAGTGCGACAAGAATCTCAATGTAACCAAAACAATAAATTAATAAATCCTGAACGCAAAAGAAAGGAAGAAATGACGATTGAAAATGCTTACGCTAGATGTTATTGAAACAATTCTTTGCCTGACAACGGATATAGAACGTAAACAATTTCATGCACATTTACTTACTTCCACTCAATGTTGTTATGCAGACGGTTACTAAAGAGCAATGCACCCTAAACTATGTCAGGCGCTCTTTCCCTTGCACCGTCGAAATCAAACTATTTAATATATTGATACAATATATCTATATTTGCCTTGACAAATACATCGAAAGCATTGATCTTGCATCGACAATAATACAAAAAGTATTAGTAAAAAAATAAAGACCAGTTTCTATCCAATAGATTCTGCCCCTATAGAATTACAGGTACTCATTCATTTTCAACAATTAACCAATATTTGTCATCTATTGCTATTTTTTCTATGCCAAGGTTTATTTTGTAAAGTAAAGCATATATTTAAATACACCTTCGATCGAATTTCGATGACGTAAAATGATCAATTTATTTATGATATTGACAATGATAATACGTGTCTTTTTTGTTGAAAAAGAAAAAAATGAAAGAGAGTTTAAATAAGAAACTAATGATGAATCAAAATTTTTATTTGTCCTAGACGCAGCAATGTGTAAAATAGAAGAAAGAATTTTATGCCTTAAAAAGAAATACTAATAAAAAATCAACATTGCAAATTTCATAAACCTGGAATATGACAACAAAAAAGGAACAAAAATTCATTTTTATTATTCGAACCGACAAAATCTAATACAGACATGTACATTACTTTTTCCAGTCTGATAAGATGGTGACAAATGTTTAAACGTAAAAGAAAACAGGTTACTCAAATAGACGAAACCGCAACAACTCACATATTTGGTCATAATAATAATAAAAAACTCTTATGTCCTTCACTTTTATTACTACGGTCTCCACTACATTACTATAACTACTACACATAATTGTATCAAGATTTCTGACGATCAAGAGAAACATTTAAGATGTACTTACCATATCTGATTTTTGTTTCAAGATGAGAATAACTCATACTCTGACTTGATGCACCGGACTAGATTTATATCTGAAAAAAAGACACTTAAATTCCATCAAGTTAACATCTCATTAAATGCTTGTAAACTTAAGTTTTCACATTCATCTAAGAGATACAAATAGTTAATTTTTTCATTGTTTAATCATTTTGAACAAAAAAAAATAAACGTGACAGAGCATAAACAAGCGTTGTCTTCTCAAGATATAGCTTTATTTACAAACAAGTCAATACGAATATTCTATCATCGAGCTTCCGGTTTATATTTCGGTGGTTTGAATAGCGTTGGCGGTTTGCCTTTTTTGACTGTATCTTTTGTTTTAGCAACTGTTTGAAATGATTTCCAACTATTAACTCTTGTTTCGCGACTTTCCTAAAAGACGAAGTTTTTTATCAAAAATCTTGTTTTAATAATTGCTTACTTCATAATTTTTATCCCATTCTTTTCGTAATTTCGATCGTTCTTCGCGGTCGGTCGTTTCTTCTGCTTTACGTTTTCTTTCTTCAGCTTTGTTAGCCTCTTCTTTAACACGTAATCGTTCAATATCAGCAAATAATTTACACGTAACTGACCAAAGAGATTTCTTATACTTAAAAATAGTTAAAGAATTTATGATCAAGAGAAATTTTGAAAGAAAAGAAATCATTTACTCCGTCAGCGACATCTTCTTCGATGGGTTGATTTTTATATTTGAGTCGTTTTTCTTGAATCTAAATATATATTGACATAAAAAAAAATTTAAATCGAAAAAACTATGATAAAATATAAATAATCAAATTTATATGAAAATAAATAAATAAATAAATTTTCAACTCACCAAATCGACTGAATGATTGAACGAAACATTTCGTTGTACAATGTGCACTAGAAGGAGGGTAAAAGAGGACCTATCGCTCGAGCGATCTCATTGCTAAGTCTTCCCAATTTTTATGAAAGTAGAAATATTTCTTCTGTTTTACTTTAAATGATTCATAGAATTTTAGAGAAAATAAGGGAAACGAAAAGAATGCAAAATAATCAAAATGACACTTACCATTTTCTCGACACGCTCACGAGCTTCTTCAACAACTTCAAGGCATTTTTTACGTTCTTTTTCATCTTCAAGCATTTTATATGCTTTGTTTATTGCTAAATGAACAAATCAAAAGATAACGATATAAATTAAAATCAATAAAGAAATAGAATTCTTCTTTCCCATGAACGACTAAATGAAAGTTTATCATTTCAATGAAATAAATCAATATATTTAGTCATACACAAACAAAAGCGTAGATGATTCACGCGAAATAAAAACTTCATCAGGAACTTTTTAGTAACAATTTGTTACTAACAAAATAACGTCATTTCTAGAGAATGTGGATTCATGTTAACTACAAAACTTCGGTATTCACTGCTATAAGAAAAATCTATCAAACAATAGGTGTTTTCCACACGGAAAAGACTTCCCGTCAAAACTAAGTCAAATGTCTATCGCTTTTATATTGTATCTTAGATAAACAGTTCACTATTTTTTGTCAATGATTTCATGACGAGACAAAATGAACAGTTGGCTAATAATTCAGTTTGAAAACTGAAAGAATGAGCAACAAAATAATCTCCTTCCAATTTCATTAGAAGTAAATTTGATTGATTAGATGTATTTGACATTTATTTAGATATAATAGAAATCTGTTGAATATAAGTTTAAAGTTCAAGAGATCCGTTGAGAAAATGACAACTAAAGAAGAGTATCTTGCAATTCTTTCATTTAGCTTTCAGAATCAACCAGAACTTCTGCTATGGTTTTCCTTTGTTTCTGAAATATTGCAAAATTAATAAGTAGACATAATTAGAGACCTAGAGGATCTTTGTATACATTACGCACAATTGTCGTTTTATTATTCGACAGTACTGCAATCATTTATGATGAAACTTCACTAAAAGAATATTCTAAGATGAGTAGTAGTCATTCAACGACATTTTTCAGTGGCAAATTTAGCGACATACGGAGAATTTACACTATTCAGTAGTCGATGTATCAATAACTTATTCGTAGGGGAAAAAAGCGAATGTAAATATTTATGGCAATACGATTATTTTGTTAACTCTTGGTTCTTGTTGAAACTCTATACTGAGTAAACTCTGATTAGAAGAAACATAAGGATGGTTTTAAGTGGCTACTACGTGCATAATCTATCCTTTACATCATGGCCTATTATTTTTCTATACATTTATTAGTTTAAAATAGCAAAACGATAAATATATAGAAGGGTTATTTTGAATAGAAAAGGCGCCAAGATTTACTTGTAACTTCATATAACATTTACGAGAAGCCTCCGGCATCGTTTTTTTTTCTGGCAGACAAAAATGGTTAACGAAGATATTAAATTATACAAGGCGTTTCTTCTATGAAGGAAAATTTCAAGATAGTTTATATCAGGGATGTCATTGTTTTTTCTCCATCACGGCTTTTTGTGTAATAAAGCGTTGCTTTCATTTCATAGCTAAAGATAGACTAATTTAGAGGAGAGATCATCGTGAAATTTTTCTAGAGTAGATACCCGTTGTAACGAGCATCCAATTGTCTTCATTTTCATAGAAGTAAAATCTATGAATGATGCGAATAATGAAAAGTTAATTAGATTAACAAAAAAAAACTTCTAAGAAATCTATTTTTGAACTTTTTGAAATTCCTGAGATGGAAGAGAAGAAAAATTTCGAAAATGTCTGTGTACGTAGCAAAAAAATTTAATACATGTCTACTCATTAAAAATACAATCTCATACCTCGAATGACATTTTCAAAAAGTTCCTGTATAAAGAATAGTGGAGAATTTCAATGTTATTCAAACAAAGCATACATACCTTCGAAAGCTACTGCGGCTGGGCCAGTCATTGTGGGATTTTTATCCGGATGCACAAGCATTGATAACTAGAAAATAAATGTCGACATTCATTAATAAGATAAATATTAGAAATACTGTATACTTACACGTCGGTACTGTTTGGCAATATCTTCAATCGGTGTTGTTGGATCGATTTGCAGTACCTAATAATAAAATAATTCGAATAGAAGAAAAAAAACACAGGAAAAGTTAAAATTCTATACCTCGAACGGATTGAGATTAAAATATGTAGCACCGGGACGAAGAAGTCGATTAATTTGTTGTTCAGGTGTTAAAACAGAATCACGTTTTTCAATCGCTTTAACCTATATAAAGAGAAAATATTTCATTAATTCATCGGAATACGAAAAGAAACCTGTTTACTTCCGAATAAAATTGTTCAAATGTTTCATCTTCTTGTTTTTGTGTAACAGTAAATTCTTGTTTCATCGGCGTGTATATTGTAGACTCTTCCGAAGTTGATGAACTAGTTGATGGTGGCTCTGGTTTGATGGGCTGCTCAGTGGGCGAAGTCATCGATGAAGTCTTGTTCTATGAAACAAAGGTTCTAAAAAGAAATGATTAACAAAAATTTCGAAATTTCATTAAAAACTCTGAAACAAACAATAATGAATGAAACCCAGTTCAGCTAAGAAAAGAAAAAACAACATCAGTTTATTATGGTTAATAAGAGCCAATGATTAGAATTTTAGTACTACTAGTGTCATCTGTTTACTTTCGATAAGCATCTACAGTGTCAATCAACCGACGAAGGAAACTATCAGAATAATTCGGTCGAGATAAGCTACATACAATTTCTACATACACTGGCAGCAGTATCAATATAATTTATGTTGTTGATAGCGCTCGTGTATTTACGAATTTTATGTAGCTAATCTCAGCCGAATAATTCTCTTGTGGTAATATGAACAGCAACAAAATCATGTATGTTGTGCACAAAGAATCAATCACAATAAAAGCTTATAAGGAAGAGGACGCCACATATAAAGATAAAATATGTGTCAAATTGCTAACCATACTAATGTATCATTTAAAGCTAACATATTTTGTCTGACTGAATTATGATGGATACAAATCCGATTTCTTAGCATATAAAATTTTGATGCTTTAAATAGTTTCTTCAAAGACACGCTAAAAGGGTAATATTTTAGATAAAAGTCTCTGTTCGTTGTCATAAAATTTCTTCTGGTGTTAAGAAAAAGTATACAGAGTTCTTCTTGTAGAATTTAATAGTCTCTCGTATATTCTAAAGATAATATGTGATGATTAAAATTCGGTAACACTTTAGTATTGTTGTGGGGTCCAAAAAGATCTTAGGAGTTTTTTGTGTACTATTAAGATAAGATCTAATGTTTTGTATCATTCTTTTTTTCTTACGAGTGATATTTTATTGACGAATAATATATCTGTATTATAAATCTTGAAAATTAACTTTTAAAAAGAAGAAAATTAAACTTTGACGTGCTATAAAGCTGACAGCAACGACAACCTTACAGTCATCACTTTTCTCTCAAGTAAATTTGCGTTAAGTATTCCTCAAATTATTCATCTTAAACAATTCATTTGCATATCTAAAGTTCCTACCTCGTAATAGTTCATATTTTTTCTCTATAGATTGCACTTTGTGATTCTATTTTGATTGAAATCATGCTTCTATTGTTATCTGTCGGTTCAAAATTGAAGTTGTATTAATTGTTCTCTCTTAAATTTATTAAATAAAGATATAAAAAATTTAAAAATTCTCGCATTCTCACTCATAAGATGATTGTATATATATATATGACTTATGTGCCATCATGCACGTTATCGCCGTGTCAGTGACTGATAAGTATTAATTTTCTTTGTAATCTTCTGAAAATGGCTCTTGGCTGGTTTCAAAATAGCCATGATGTGCTAAAACAAGAAAAACACCGAAGGATTAATTCTCATGAAACCTTAACAACAAAATGTTGAGAGAAAGAGAATGCGTCGACTATGTTGTCGTATGTTTCAACTACTTATATATATATATATATATAGTTCCAAGAAGTATCCAAATGAGAATGATTAGGAAAAAGAATTATATTTTCTATTTTAAGCGACTGCATCATAAAATCAAATCGGTTGAAGAAAGTTTGTTGATTATCTTTGATTCTTCGAAGCATGCGTTCGATAAATTAGAACAAAAAACTATAGTTTGTTAAAAAATAAGTTCTCACCATAAAGTATATAAATAGCAGTGACTACAAAGGATGTCTATATCATTATTCTACGAGAGTCAACGCTCTCCTAGGATTTCTGTGTGTTGACAGGAAATGCTGCTGTAGAACGGAAAATTATCGTGGGTACATTTCTAGAATATGTGAACTTCTTTTGTGTTGATAGAGTTCGCAGAAATTATCTATTTGGTTTGTCCTTCACAATGTGAAATACTGAAGACGACATTTGCTCACTTTGTCGTCAACTTAAGAACTAAAGATCAGTCTTGAGAGGAAATCTTCTTAAATATACTTATCATAGCAGGGCTACGAATTTTATTTTTATTCAATTATCTTTGTGTAAATACGAAAGAAAAAACAGAAACGTATCATCATTGAAAATGCTTTTGTTGCTGCAAAAACATGTTTGTTTTCATTAAAAACAGAAAGTTTTTTTTATAATCAATATAATAATACGAAGGTCGATTGATGTATTATTTTTGACAGATTGTTTATTATACTTGTCAAGAAAATGTGTTCTGCTGAATGCATTATGAATAAACAAAACAGAAAATAAAAAGTGATAAACAAGAAATCAGTTTGAGTGCATTTCAATTTAATATGCGAAAACTATCGAATTTTGAGCAATTCATAGAAAGTTGTTTTCTATTTCAAAACATTCAAATATCCTTACTTTATAATAAATCATTTTTTGACAGTTCAATACAACAACAACAACAAAAAATAGAAAAATAAGCGGCAATCAGTCGTCATTATTTCTTTCATTTTATTAAATTAAGATAGTATTCTGATATAAACGTTCTGCTAGAACTCAATCTGCTAATTGTGAAGAGGACGCCAGATGCTGAAAGTCAAAACTATCGAATTAAAAAAAGATAAAATACTATACTATGTTGTCTTTGTATCTTCGATAGTATAGAATTAATATTTCTTGAATTAAATCATAATGAAAAAATTTCTTCAAAACGTATTCAACGTTGCTTAGCAATTTAATAAATCAAAAACGAAAAATGGCGATTGTTTACGTTTTTCATTGGCAATACTTTTAGCCAAAAAAACATTATTCTATTCATCTGAGATAGTTTTCAGCTATGGTGATTAAAACTTTACCTGTACCTTCAACAAAACCACCTGGAAATAATCCATTAGCATCAAAACGAAGACCACTCCATAGTCTATCTGGTTTGTAATTAAACTCATTATATCTAATTAGTGTTTTTTTATCATTCTCTATCTACTAATAGCTTCATGCCCACCAGATAATCGTTTAGAACAGCATCATTTACCTGATGCTGCCGATCTTCGTCGGATGTGTATCATAACAAAAACAGACCTAAATCGAATCTATGATAACTTAGATCGTCGTCAACGTGATAAAGATGCTGTCCGACAAGAAATTGAACGAAAAAAAGAAATGGCAGATCGTTCAGCACAAATCACAAAACAATGGCCAAATACAATTATTGTAATGAAAACAAAAGGTTTAATTGAGTTTAACTGTAGATTAAATTTTCTTTTCAAGGGAGCTCGAGAACGTAAAATTGAAATGAAAAAAATTCGTGATCAAGAAGATGAAGATAAACGAAAAGTAGTCGATCTTGAAGAAGAAAAATTAGCTGCTGAACGCCGTCGTGAACACATTGAAAAAGCTAAACAATTGCAATATTATCAAACTGATCGTGTTCGAACCTTTCATGTAAGCGTTGGTTTTTCAAATTCTATTTCATTAATTGGAATTTTCTACTTTTCTTAGAGTGCACTGTTATTTACTGAAGTTCTTAAAGAACGTGATTTACAACTTGAAATGAAAAAGCGTATTGAAAAAATGCGTGAAACAGATGAAAATGAAGAGCATCAACGTTATCAAGAAGCTCAAAATGAATTCTACAAAGCTGAACAAGAGAAAATGGAGAGAAAACTGAAGTAGATTCTTTTTATTTTGATCGAATAAAAAACAATCATGTGTTTCGCTTTTTTTCTAGAGATCAAGAAAATTTAGCTAAATATCATCGTGCACAGTGAGTTTATCTTTGAAAAATGTTCAGTGCTTTATAAAAATGAAACTTTTTTTTATTTCTACCTAAAGAATGGACCAACGTAAATCACAATTTGTTCAAGAAAAACAACAAGATCTAAAAGAAGGCGATGAATATCGACGTTTAGCTGAACAATATTCATTGGAACAATTCGAATTAGATCGTTTTAAAAAGTTAACACAAAAAGATGTTAAAAGTATGTACGATAAAGCACTTGAAGATAAACGAACAGTTAAACAAATGGAAGAAGCATTGGATGAAGTAAATAAATAGCAATGAACTTTTCTTTAATTTCAACAAAATTTCTCATTTCCTTAGGAAGAAGATGATGAACTTCGTGTTTATGCTGAAGCCAAGAAAAAAATGGCTCGTTTAAGACGTGAAAAAGAAGTTCAAGCTCATCAGTAATTCGTTTGATTGTTTTGATAAAATAATTTTGTTTTTCTGTTATGTAGAGAGAAGCAAGAAGCACGTGATCACATGATCGGCTATTTAGGTTCATTGCAAAAACGAGCTGAATCGGATAATGATGCACAAATATTCCGTGCTCAAGCACAAAGAGAAGCGAAAGAATTACGTGAAAAACAAGAGAAATTTGAAAAGCAACAGAAAATGCAAGAATCAATTAGGAAACATCGATTTGAAACAGTAGGAACATTTTTTTTTTCGTATGTCAAGTAAATAATTCCATCGCATTTTCTTATTAGACGAAACGTCGTGAAGTTGAGCGTGAAATGGAAGAACGTGAAGATGTTGAAATACGTAGGAAAAAAGCTGAAGCCGATCGATTATTCCTTTTATATCAACAAGAAAAAGACAAACAACGTCATGAAGATGCTCTAGTTACTTCGCAATATCATTTGAAACAAGCTGTAGGTTATGATTTTTTTCAAATTCGGAAAAGTTTAACTTTTTAGAGAATCTGTTTTTCATTTGAATAATAATTTTGTCCGAACGTTTCTGTTATAAAAATTTAGCGAAATTGTATTAAAACCGGATACATGTCCAATGAGTTCATCCTTTTGTCCTATATGAAAGAGTTTGACTGCGGAAATCAACTATAAAAATTCCGGTGAAGACTTTTTCAAATACGTAGGCCATCTATATCTTTGCAGAATATACTCCGAATGATAAATTATTTAGTGTCCACGTAACAGTCTGTATTTAAAGAATGGTTGAAATTATTTTTCTGAAAAGCAATTCTGACAGTTATATTCTTTTATTTTTTCAGCAAGAACGTAAAGATCGTCAACGTGACATGAAAGCAAGTGAACTAGAAGAAGTCCTTCTTGATAAACATATGAATGAAGTCGAAAAACAACAATATCAAGATTATACAGGACGTGTCATTGCATATATGGACGAAAATGGCCGTAATACCTATCCGATGAGACGAGTATGTTGTAAAATTTTACATCATTTTTAAATTTCTTAACAATCAACCTTAGGCTGTTGCTGACGAAGTTCAACGTTTCGATCAATTAAATCAAGGTATTAACAAAGCAGAAAGTCAAACAAATGAAAACGGTGAGAAAAAACCTGGTAGTCAAGATAAAAAGTCATTGGAAGAAACAAAGAAACATTTGGGTTTTCAATGGGATATACCCAATAAATAATAAACACACATTTTCTTTTTGTATCCTTTATTTTTTATTAATCAGTTTTATGCACACAGTATATACAAAAATTAAAAACAATAAATTGATATAATTATCAGTAAAATTAGATGTTTATTAACAAATCGTTATACGAGTCACGTACAAGATCTAGTAATTTATCAGTGGGTGGCATTGATTCAAATTCCTTAGCTATGCTGAAATTGGGGCCAAAGTTGAGAATTTCGGCTACGATTGCTCCAGCGAATTTATAAGCGAATCCGAATCGAGCTGGGCAAGAAATTGAAAAGGGTAAATACGATTGCTGTTGTTCCGGAGTTAATATATCTTTAAAACGATATGGATTAAAATTGAGCGCATCAGATCCCCATACTGTTTTGTCCCGGTGAATCTGTTGAACACTTATGCATACATTTTCACCAGTGTTTAAATTTGTTCGATAGATGTTTTTCGTTGGCGGATATAATCGTAGTGTTTCCTTTAGAATCCATTCGAGTAAAAGACAATCTCGATAGGATTTTGAATGCTCATTAAATTGTGAACATAATTGTTCAACTAAGTTTGGACGACGAATTAGTTCAAGTAATGTGTAGAAGACAACTCGCCACATAGTTTCCCAACCTGGAACAATAATATTCAATGGATTAGAAATCTTTTCATCGAAATCATTTGTTGACATGTTGGAAATAATGTTTGAGCGTTCCGATAAGATAGTTTTTATTTGTTGCCATGTTTTGGACTGGGAAAATTGATCGTTGTGAGTTTGAAATATTTGTTTTAAACGATCTTTTGCTGTTTTATCATTTCGATTTTTCCAGAGATGAATAATTAATTCAGGTAGTTCAGTAAGAAGATCTTCATTAGCATGAACACCGAGAATCTCTGTAAGAAAACAATCTAGTGTAACTTGTTTAGCTAATTTTGATAAACAAAATTTTCTATTTTTCAATTGTAATAATGTTATTCGATGTTGTATTCGATTTCTGATTGTTAGCACAAGTTTTTCGTAATTTTGCTGATTAGTATAATTTGTTAATATTTTCATAGCATTTGTTTTAAATGCTTTCTGAAGAGATGCATCGTTAATTGTAAAAGGATTCACAATCGACAGAGTTTCTATAAGCCATTCGTTAGGCTTTTGCCGATTGTAATCACTGGATTTTAGGATCTTATGCGCCTCATTTGCAGTCGATATAGTAATGTTAGAGGGCTTGCATTTTTTCCACTGGCGGAACCTGATCAATAACATAACGAATGGTACAACGATTAAGAATAATGGTGTCATTATTATTTTATATTTATGATGGATTAGAAGGATTGTAGAGTATTTTAATTAATCAACTGTATGAAAATTTTGAAGAATATTTTTGTTTCAATATGAATGCAATAGGCAATGTTTTTCAACTAGACGTTATATGCATTTTAAAGTAATGAGTAAACGCTTTGGATAGCTTTATATTAGTCTACATTGGGTTTTTACCCAGTGTGACGCTTTCATTAATGAAAAGAGAACTACATCATAGGCATACACGTGACTTCAATAATTCTTATTATTTTCCAATTGAAATGTAAACAAAAATTTGTTAACTTGAATAAAAAGCAATAAATTTATTTTATTTAATTAGATTTAAAATCGAAATTCCTCAGTCATTAAATATATATTTGTTGTACTTGAGGCAGTTATCATCTGTTGTTTTTCTTCGATTCTTGCGTAAAAAACATCACATATTCGTCACAAGTAGGTCAGACGACATACAAAGTGATGATAAATAAATAGGTCAAATGATTCATACGTTATGTGAGTCAGTGGAGATTTTTTAATAGCGACCATAAAACTTGATCGTTATTGCTAAATATCAAGAAATAATCTGTGTAATCATTTGAAAAACTATTCACTCAAAACGATGAATCTTTCTTAGTAGAATATGTTGAAAATACACAAAACAAAACAAGAATGATTTGAGATTTTTATACAAGTTTTCTTACAGGACCAAAATAGTGCATAGACGAATCAATCGATATCTTTGTTAGCTATTGATTCTTAATATTCTACTTAAAGCAAAGAATCAAGCTTCTTAGCCATGCTGTACGAATTCAACGCTGTTTTCACATCAGAATCATTTTGTTTCTTCATATCGGTCCTTAGACAAAAGTGCTAAGGTCATACGTATATGTTTTCAAACCTCAATTTATCATTTAAATTAAATTGAAAAAAATGAATCTTTTTGATATTCGTTGCTTCGCTCTAGAGTCTTGATGAACATTTAGTTAATTATGTTTCTTCGCACAAGGGCAAGTGCTACTTCATATACGCATGCCTGAGGATAGTGCTCGAACTGTAACCTTTTTTGGTGTATAAATCTAATGTTCAGTAATGTATTCAACTTTCGAATCATATAGTACATTGTTTCATTTGTGATTACTGAGTGTCTCCAATTTTTATTTGCGAACCGCACATTCTACTTATTGCTTGTCGTTTTTACTTTGACTCTATGAATTGAATATGGTTGCCCGTACGAATGATGGTGTTGTGCGGTGAGAAATGTGGATCTCTAAATTCGACCAATACGGTGTAAACTTCTGTCAACATTGGACTATGGAACCATTTAAAATTATCAGCTTGAAATTATCCTGTTTCATATCTGACGAAATTAGTATTAGAAAATTTCAATCGGTACCGAATATCTCGTAGTAGTATGATTGTAAAAATAATGATCTAAGGAGGCTTCGGAAAAGTTCTTATAATTCGACATAGAAGAAAATCAGTGTCATTTTTCAAAATGATTTTTCATATTAAAGAAAAAAGATGCACAATAGCTTATACGCCTAAGATAGAACAACTCAAAAAATATTCGTTTTCAATGGTTTGATAAAATAGATACAAAATAACGATGTTTTCTTTTCAATGTTAAGTATTTCAACTGAATGCCTTTGATTTTCTTGCTTTCTACGTAATATTTTCAATCAATGATGCATTATTACATAATGAATTGATCTCCTACTGCTTGATGGTGAAGTGCTAAATTAGTTGTTATCATTTTCGTCTATCTGTAAGACGTATACACTTGAGACTCTAGTTGATAATGATCATAGCTAATTAGTTATCGATGTTTGATCCATATATGCAACTGATTTCGTTTTCGATCTAAACCAATAAAAATAAAAGTCTTAATATAATGGCATATCAATCGAAGTGAATTTCTTAAACTAACAAGAAAATTTACGAATTAAAATCTCATATATTTATATAACTTACTTCAAAGATGTGATCTCAAGAGAAAAAGAAAATCGACAATAGTAAATAGATTGTTAATGATGATGAGCAAACCTCAAAAAAAAAAGAGAAGAAACTTCAAGAACTAACAATAACAAAATAATATCCACTTCAAACAAGCATATTGATAGACATGCTAATCGAGCGATTGTATGCCGCACGCGTATATGTTGCGCGATGGGCTCATTGAAAATGCCAAAATAGATCTATAGAAAAAAAAGTCGAATGATGAATCGCTTGTCTCGTTTGTCACGATCATCCATCATTTTCTTGTATTACTGTTTTTCCTTCTTTTCGAAAACAAAACGAAAAAAAAAGACACAAAATATCGAATAAAGTTATTTCAACGGTCAAGGAAAATTAGTTTTCTTCTTTCTTTTTTTCATATAGAACGTGTCATTCATTGCATAAGTTTGAATTTCACACCGTTCAATCAAAATTTAACTTTACGCATTTGATTATTTCCGAAGTGTATACAAAATCACGTTCATTTTTTGCATGTGCTACTTCTTCTCATCATCAAACAACAAAAATATGCTTTCGGACACACTGTATTCTTCATATTTTTTAATTCGATGAGTTGTCGCCTTGAGATTGCATACCGTCAGAAAATGATCCATGACGTTATGAAAACAGAATATATTTATATAAATATATATATATCAAGTGATACAACCGACGTTTTTTGGACATCGGTCAAGAGAGACAGAGATGATATGATGACAATAGAACATGACACCTTGTCGTAAAAAAAAGTAAAACAAACGTTTATGTAGTGAGAAAAAAAAGCAACGAGACTATTTTGCTTATCTATTCTTTTTCTTTAACTTCAAGTTCAAAGATATGAAGAATCATAAAAAACTTCTCTTAAAACGTAATCATCAAGTTTTAATTGAATATTTTGTCTTTTTTGATCTTAATATAGACATATACTCATAAAATCTAACAAGCCGCAATTATCACACTTACTCACTGTTCTTCTTCAACGTCAAGAGTTCGGCATCGTTTTTTTCTAGAAAATTACAGAGCATAACTGTGTCAAAATCTTTCTTTTTTTTCTCCCCGTTTTCAATAGACGATGATGATCATCGTCATAATAATCTAATGTTGTTCGCTAGGTCTATTTTAATAACATAATTTTCCCACAATGACAGTCGGATAATTTATTTTTAGGTGACACGAGCCACGAGTTGAATAAAGACATTCATATAAATAAATTGAGTGAAATAAAGCGATTGACATCCCGGTGATCTAATCATCTGTTTCCAGGTTGACAATCGTGCATAGTTTATATCCTAGTGTGTAGATGTTTTTCTAGCACATAACGTAAATGGCACGTGAATTATTGGCATCGTTCGTTCGATTAAAAAGCTCGCTCATAATTATCTTTCACATTCCCATAAAAGAAAATGAATGACGAAATTCAAAAACAAAAAAAAAGAGTTAAAAAGAAAAAAAAACGAATTATCTACTAATCAACAAATTCGTTGGTTTCATTTTCATATTCAATTAAAAAAGAAAGAACAACGAAGAATGTCTTTTTATGCTTACGCAAGTGTACTGATAAGAATTTAAATAGGCTTGGCACGCGCTGATGAGTCAACAACAATTAAATATACCCTACGGAGAAGTCCGTCATATCAACCAGACAAACGGCAGCCAAATACTTACCTCCTGCTGTCCAACGATCATTAGTGCATTCACTATTTTTCTTAGCAAAGTGATATGCTCAATAGGTAACCGAACTTGTTTGTCTTTAGGCATTGTCGAATAGTTTAAGTTTTCTTCATCGACAAATCTATTCTCCTTCTCAAATATATATTTGATCTGCTATTGATAACATGTTAAAAATGTGTGAACAAGACCGAGAGTTCAAAACAAAATAAAAAACGATTTGTTTTCACATTTGATCGACAATAAAAATAGAAGTGAGTGACAGTACTTGTTGGTTGTGCTGCTTTTTTTGTTGGTATTTTCGAAGGTCACATTTGATTGAACATCTCTTAAAGTATTCTGTCTGCTTGAGAATTTCAGCATTATTTACTTACGAGTCTCTTCCTATATGTCATCATTATGTGTTGCATTAGAGTCATTAGAAAACTTAATGTCAGCAATGATTTAGATGTCTTCGCTATTGTTTTTCTTATCACAAGTTGATTAGTGTTGTTTTAAAAACGAGTTTTCGAAACTTTCTCTACACTGTTGTTCTTTTGCTCTATTGAAAAAGAACATTAATTATCTACATATAGTTTGTTTTCCTTACTAGTTAAAATGTCAAAAACGAAATCTGACGAGCAAGTTATGTTTATATGAAAAGCATAAGCAATCAACTGAAAAGAAAGAAAAAAGGATTTTTTTGTTTTCAGTCCCACGCACATTAGACCATATGTCTGTCTACCTTGATTGTTGTGCGAAAGCACGCTCAGGATCAAACAAATCAAGTTGATCATCTACTCTGGAAACAAAAAAGTTAAATCGCATGTCCAATATATTCACACATTTACTCTTACTCATATTTTGATCATTTCATTTGACACGCTCAAAGCTCTGATGCAATCTGTCTCCCATACACACAACACTTGACGCTAGTTCATCATCTTATCGGATGATCTATATAAACAACAAAATCTTGTCTCGTGTCTCCACCTCTGTTATTTTTATTTCGACTTCGAAAATAGTAGAAAACAGTTATTCTGCTCAATCACCCTGCAGGCTTCTGATAAACACTTAGTTTTCATCGGATTAAAACATTACATCAACAATAAGGAAACATTCACATACAAAAAACAAAAAGAAGCCAATCTCTCTCTCTTCTGATTGGCTATTATTCTTTTTTTCTCTTCTCTTCATTTCCTCTTTTCCTTATATATTCTAATTTGCTTCAACATTTACTCACTCACTTTTTTTCTAATACTGATTTAAAATGGGTATTGAAAAAGTATCCAAACGAAGAAAATCAATATTCGGTCGTCTCACTAATAAATTCCTTACACAACCACAACCATGTGCAAAACGTGATCAATCGGTTCAGACAAGTCTGAATCTTTCTCAAACATCAGCAGATTTAACAGCCACTATTCTTGTTAATAGTCGCGTACGACAAAGAACATGTTCACCAAATAATTCTAATAATAATAGTACAAATACTCCACATCATCGACGTCGTCGTCGATCATCACTTAAAACATTTATTATTTCACATTCTCCAAAGCCAATTCCATTGATTCAACGAACACGTCGGCGTAGTGTAGATTTAAAAACGCCAAAAAGACTCAGTTCTGAATCTCTTGTAAGTTTCATCTTTTTCTGTAAACAACAAAAAGCCACTCGATTTTTCTAACTTATTATTATTTTTTCTCTTTCATAGCAAGTGGCATTGATTCGAAAGATTCAACCATTGAGTCGATATGGTTCACCATTGGCTCTCTCATCAACAACATCCAATATAATCTCGGTTACACGGCAAAGACCCTATATACCTTCACCCAGAGATTCATTTGATTATCCTACAATGTCACATTATTCCCATACGAAACAATCTCAACATATATTTCATGATGAAACTGCAAGTCGCGATGAACTTTTTTCCATTGGACCAATGAAGTGGAGGTAAGTCAAAAGAAAAAAGAACTTTATTTAGACTTGGAAAAAAATAATACTGGAATTTTCGTTTTATTTCTTTAGCACACCTAATCGTACGATTTTATATAAAACGTCAAGTCCATATAATAATAATAATAATAATTATTATGATCATCAACGTCGCTTATGTACAGTTGATCACCTTTCATTTTCAAATATTCTTGATGGCAGTGATTGATCATCTCTACTATGTAATATATTAGACAGTGTGTTTTTTTTGTTCTGTTTTGTGGTGGCCTTAATAAAATATTTTTTCTTCTTAAAACAAGAAAACGATCATTATATTCTTTCTAAATTTATTTCGTTTTTCAAAAAAAAAACAATATTACTCCGCCTTCTGCTAGTGGTAACAGGCTATTGTGAAAATCGATTTGTCATCAACGAATAATGATGGACAAATTAACAAGCTAATGTTAAAAATGTTCTATTTTGATAAATGAGATTGCTTGTCGTGCTCATCAGCAACAGACATATCACGCCTCATTGGCAAACGCGTGTATCAGCACGTTTATGTTCCGTTTTATTTTTCAAAAAAATCAATTAAATTCGATAATAGATCTTTTGTTTTCTTTTTTTTCTTCTGGATGTCCAAAAGTGAGCGTATGGTCACCCATTATCCAGATACAGACCAACAAGACTATACATATATTCCTTATCAGTCTTACGTCGATTTTATATATTTAGTTTTTGTTGATATAATTGAATGAATAATGATAAATGATTTAAAGCCAAAAAAAATTGCTTATCTTATGATATCATCGAACTCATAAATTTGTCTCATGTGCTTGAATAGACAAGCAAAACAAAGCTTTTTTGTTTGATTGAATGATAAATTCTTGATCTACTACAATCGAAATGAATATTCTTATTGGACGATACAAATCAATCAACTCATTTAGATTTCTTTTACGATCTTTTCGTGTTGATATTGCGGAATGAAAGTCAATAACGAAATATGCTGTATCATCATCTTATGTATGCTTGGTTAACGATAGTATAATGTGTGATAATTCGTTAACGGAAGCATAAAAATAGGATAAAAGGACATTTTGTTCACATGTGGTCTGTACGATATGATGATATAATTCAAGAAAATTCCTATTGAATATTTCAAAAAAAAAAAAAAAACGATCACGAAGACGATTTTCTCAAATATCAAAAGGTTTCTAGTTTGTAGAGACATTACAATTTCATGACAATGTTTCTACATTTTAAGATGATACATATTTAAGTAAATATCAACATAATCATCATAGAATCAAACTCCATGAGGGTAATCACCAGTTCACAGACAGAATGTATCCATAATAATTATGTAACTTAATTAGTATCATATTCTAATTGATTCAAAAGAAAACGAACAACATTCCGAGATTTTATCCAATAAAATTCAATTTTTTTCTTTCATTCAAAAAATTCCGCCATTCAAAAATGTATACTCTAAATAGGTAAAAGGTCGTACGTTTACAGATGTTCATAATCTTTCCGTCGAATGAATTTCATTTTAATTCTAAATAGAAAATATTTAAAAAAATCCCCGAGGTTGTTTATGTAAAGATTTCTCTTACTAAATATCTAACTATGAACGAGCTTATATCAATACAAAAAGAAAATTTTCTCCTAAACAAATCAAAGTTAAATTTCAATCAAAAATTTATTCATTAATTACTGAAACACAACAAGTGTACAAAAAGAAAAATGAAATATCTAGAAAATATTAAGACGAATCATTGAGTCGAATTCGTGGTGGTGCATCTTTATATTGAGCAACTTCATTGAGAAATGTTTTCAATTCGTCTGATTTAACGCCTGTTCTTCCGTGCTGTAAAGCTAACATTTCATTCGATGTAGCTAATCGTTCACCAGTATCACGTTGTGTTTGTAAACGACGACGATTTTGAAACCATATACGTATTTGTTCATGTGTAATGCCAAGTTGTCGCGCAATTACATCACGTTGTATAGCTACAAATTCACAAAAAGAAACAAATGCATTAAAATTAGACGTGAAGATAATTTACCGTTTGGATAAGGTGTTCGTTTGAATAATTCATTGAGAATATAACGATCTTTGTTTGTATATTGTAATCGTGTAATTTTTGATGATGCTTTTTGAGTTTGAATCTATTTATAGAGAATAGAAATGAGAATATTAAAAGAATAAACCCGAAGAGACTTACAATTGGAGTTGTAGCAGTTGGAGTCACAATCTAAAAATATAACATGTTAAAGACTGATTGCAATTGAAGAGAAGGAAAATGTAAAATGGCAAAGTGACTTACTGCATTGCATGCGCTGTAACTTTCTCTTACCGACAGTTTTCCTACCTGTATATGTTGGGGAATGAAAGGAGAGGTCGGTGGGGAATACGCGAATGTTGGCGAGATTTGTTGTGGATAATACGAATTTGATGGGTAACAACAAGCACAATACGATGTCGTAGGTGTATTGTAGTTAGAATAAATGCATGGCGATGATGATGGCGATTGTGTATAGTAGTTATATGATTGAGAGTATGAATCCATGATGAGTGAATGAAGTTTGTGATAATACTGATGTAAAAATTCCTATTAATATATGACTGAAAATTTTCTATCAATTTTTTTGTTTATATGGTCTGATTAATAAATATGTGCACCGATCATTCTAATTAAACGTTTGTCTTTTGAAGTGTTTTTAATTAGTAGAGATTAAAGAACAAACGTTCTTTTTTTGTTCTTTCTACTAATCAAATGTTCAGATGTAAAATAGGAACATCTTGAATGTTTCATTATTTCACAGTGAGGGAAATGCTTCTTCAAACTAACTGTTTGAATATCTTGTTATGTGCAACACGAATCACGTACTAAACTATAATTTGAAATATATTTTGTAAATGTATAACAAATTACATAAAAGCGTCTGTTAGAATAGAATAATAGGCTCGTACAGTATGCAATTGATAGCCAGGAAAAAATGAATAACTAATAGATGATTAGAATCTGTACATTTACACTTTTTTAAAATATAAATATATGCCAATGCTTTTTTTAAACGATCTTTTTAAATTAGATCATATTTTTTTTTCAAAAATTCACTACTAACTGTTCGAGTTGTAAATAATGTGGAGTGTTTAAAGACGTTGCATGAAAATGATGTCTAATTGCAAGTTGTAAAGATGTTTGATGAATACTTTTAATTAACGGTGGTATATCTGGGTTTGAATTCACTACTTGCATATGATGATTTAGAACGTTATCCACTAGATTACAATGTGTTTCTATATGATGTTTCATGAAGTACGGTTGTTCAGCTGGTTGCTTCGATGCGTATATTGATGAATCGCACGCACTCGAGTTTTGTTTTTGCATAGTTTTACGAGATGTACGATTGCCCATTTATATTATGTTAATGTAGTTTTAAGTTAAGGTAAGAATATTTGTTTATTTCTTATTCAACGTATTGAAAGCTTTCTTTTCGATGCATAAAATAATAAATGACAAAGTAGAGGTTTTGGCATGTCATTTATTTCATCAGAAGAAAAAATAACCACCAAGGCCACGAAATAATTGGTATTCACTAAGTATTCAATTAAATTCGATATGTTTTCACCGGACTCGTATATTTTTGCTTTCATCATATGTCATGCTTGAGAGGATAATGTTGCTGTTTTTTTATGAGCATATTTCAAAGACATGCATCAACCGAAAATAATATATTACAAAAAGTAATGTTTTTCATTATATTATAAAGAGAAAGATGAGCGTGAAAAAAAAAGAAAATTGTGCGTCTTCTATTAACTGTTCTATAAACTGTAGAAACGTACCATATGTTCTTACTCATGGCTAGTATTCTTGAGGGTTAAAAGAATCCTATTGAATTTTTATTAATAATTAAATGTTCAGTAAATCGAAAAAATAGCATCGTCTATTATAGTACAGTTTTTTTAAATGCATGTTTTAACCCACGAGTATGTTTCGTTGGCTTCCTTTTCCTTTGCCACTGCATTTATTGTACAAGTAGTCTTAGGTGTTTGATTTAGTTTATACGAATCCATACAAAATGTATTTCGAATGGAAATCGATTTTTTTGTCATTTTATTTCAAACGGAGAACTATTTATAAAAATATTATCAACTTTAAAGAGCAATTAATTGAAGATCCTTAGCTCACCATCTTCCTAACGATATCTCTGAGTTTATTTTCTGATGAAAAAAAAGCAATGCTTATATGATTAAAGAAGAACTTCACTACTGATGTCTGAATATCAGCTATCATATTCGACAGAGTATATCAAAAGCAGAGCAAGTAGTGATCTTGGAAATCGATTAATCATTAACAGACCTTCAAAAAAAATGACATCATGATTTCTCGAAATATACATGATTTGATTATGATTCCCTACCCACCTGCGTTTAGTTTGTATAGAAATAAATAAGGACGAAACTGATTAAAAATCGTTCCATAGTCCTGAAAGAGATTCTTTCAATTACCAATGCTTTTTTTTCAAAGAAACTTGATTCCTAACAAAATATTTTTGAGATTTTACATAAGAACTGATCGAAAAATCTAATATTTTTACACTATAATTACGTAAAAAATCAATGAGTATCATTGCACAGCTGATCACTATAATTATTTTCAATGCTTATTTCAATGGAGAACCGGATAAAAAGTTTTATTATTATTATTTATACAGGAATGAGAATTAAACGATTAGCATTAAAAGCGAACTGTTTAAACAAAGTAAAAGCTAGTTACGACCACGAGCTGCAGTAGTTGGCGGATTTTCTGCTTCGGCATCACGACCACCAGTTGCTGGTGCACTAGTAGCACTAGTAGCACTTGTTGGCTTAGCTTGAGCTGCACGAGCACGACTTGGAGCACTCATAATTGTTTGATCCACTGGATCACTACCATTACTTGAGCTTGGAGCTGCATCATTTGTAGCTTTAATTTGTTCGGAACGATTTTGTTTTTTATTTAAATGAAGACGCGATTTAACATCGTTACCCATTTTATTCAATCAATAGAAATAAATTTATAAAATCTACAATAAACACATAACACAATTAAATTTGCTTCCATTTTTTTCCTTCTATTATTTATTGTTGAAAGAAAGTAACTGAATATTAATAGATACTATAAAGTTTTCATCATACTCACGAAATTATTACCTTTCAATGATATAAATATTAACTGCGAGGTTATTGTGTTGTCAATAGACGCTAAATATTCTTATTTACGCTTGATATACTTTCATACTATGTTTTTTCCCTTTTACTGTACACTGTCATCAGTCACAACCAATTTCTTGTTATCGTTTTATTTTTTTTTGTATACCTGTATTTTGATGGCCACATGATAAATACTATGCTACAAGCTGGTTGTATAAATAAACATGACGTCTTGTTTTTCCCTCTCAGATGACTGATTCTGATTTTTCGAAAGATTACTGCACTGAAATATTTTCTATTATTAAACTGTCAGTGATCTTTCTGTCTACCGTATTGTTTGAATAATTTTTTTCTATCGATAGTTATACAGACTTAGAAACGAAAAAATGTATTAATAAAAGAAAACGGTTTCTAATTTTGAATAGCAGAATCGTATTCTTTATAAATGATAAACTGCACTCAATATATCGTTTTAAACCGGTTACAAAAAACGTCTCAAAATCATATACACGAAAGCTCAAACAAAGAAATTGGGCTATAAAAAACTGAAAGATTTCTATTTATATATATATATATATATATTGCCGCATGTCATCAAGTATATGCTCAAATAGTGGCATCACTTTAATAATGGATAGCTTTTGTGTTGAATCAATGATAAAATCAAAAGTAATTTTTCTATGTTAAATTTATCGTTCTTACGAATGTAATTCAGAAGTATGAGAGGCATTTTTAGCATACATATTCGACGAGGCGTTTTATAAATTTATTGAGGTCTATATTTTTACCCATTACATTCGCAACATATCATAATTGACATCGCGACAGAATTTATTTTGTTTATTCTAATATGCTTCGTAGGGCATATACAACTTATACTAATTGTCATTGCTTCGCCTTGTATCTCGGCGAACTGAGTAAAGTAATACATGAAAAAATGTAGTCCAATTAATGAAAAATTATGTTTTTAAAGACTGAAATTCTCGATAATTCTATTGGTTATTCATCAGAAACTTGACTAGTACGTGATGTAACTAACACTGCAATGTTGACTTGAACAAATATTGATTGAAAAATATACAATGAAACTTCTTCTAAGTATTATTTGTTCAATTTACATATGAAATGTATATGAGCACATATTGAACTATCGATTCATACAGGAATTTATAAATACCACAATAATTCTGAAACTATTCTCTTCGTGACCTATTCATCTTGATTCAACAATTACTAAAATCTTGTTTTTTTTTAAGCCGCCGTTTGATTGAGTAATACTCTAAACTATGTTTTTTTTTGAAGAGAATGAATGCTTAAAATAGTTAATCTATCGTGAATAAAATTTCACTCTCACAGGAAAATGATTCCGATAGTGGGATCCTATCGAATTCGTGTCGGATATAGTATGGATTCCATTAAACTGACGAAATCCTATCGATATCCGGGCGTGGAACCTTCATTTGGAACCCTAGTGTTGACATTCTATAGGTTCCAGTGTCTGAATTTAACGGAATCCAACATAAGCATTCGAGCCATGTGTTCTGTTGGCACCATATGCTTATTCATTGGTGATTAAGAAAATTGGTTTTACCGTCGGATCCGTTAGTAGATCCTAGACCAGAAATCTGATCGGATTTGTCGGCTTGTCGGATCCCATGAAATCAGATAGGATTCACTGTCGGATTCATTCACCTGGGCTCCAGAGAAGTGTCACGAGATATTGGTAACGTTGAGAATCAAACAGATTTCACACTGACGCTAGTGCTCATTTTTCTCTAGTCTAGAGTGCACGAATATCGTTATTCCATTCAACTAAGTTCAATGGAAAAAAAGTCGAGCCTCGAGACAGCTCCATAAAACCGTTCGAAAATCAACACAATTTGTCGTGAAGTGAAAATCGTTTTTTAAAAATGTCTATAAATTCTGTTCTTTTTGTAGTCTCTTCAGGAAAAGCAATTTGAATGAAAAATTGATCAATGTCACAGGTGCCCATGTTCGTGACGTTTGATCAAAAAATGAAGCCCTTAGAAAAAAATAATAAATTTCCGAAAAATGGCTTAGGATTCTGCAGCTGCTATTGCCGTTCATATAGTCGTTAAATTCTCGTGAGTACAATCATTTTTACACATTTAGAAACAAGATGTCTTCAGATTTAATTCAGACGAGACTTATTTTGAAAGTTCAGTCACTGAAACGTTCACGTTTCCAAGAAATATTTTACAACGAAGCTGTCTACAAAAATTCCAGAGATCTTTCAAGTTGGCTACCATAAGACAGTTGTTAAATTTTCGCACAGCGAAAAATATTTGATATTTCTATAGAATTCGTTTTGCTGAAAACAATCGTTTGAATCTGTATCTTTGCGAAGTTATATATCGCATACCAAATTTTATATTCCAGTCAATATAATAAAGCAATTTCTGATTACTGAGGAAGTCACCTTCTGCTTGCGACACTCGTGCATAAGTGTGCAAGGCGTTTGAACACAATATATCATCGTGGAATGTCAAGTCAAAAGTTCCGTGAAACTGAGTCTCAATTGACCAAAGCCAACTGAGGCTCGAGGCTCACTCTCATCGTCAGGTAACCATCTGACGTTGGCAACCAACTGACTTGATATGATGAAGTAATTACCTAACACATAATTGCTATATGTAACATCGATCACATTTAACTGAGATTCATTTTCGATAATTTAATTCATTTGGCAATAATGGAATTTATCAAAAAAAACGTATATACATTTGTCTTTCTCAATCACACGGAGGACAAAAGATAAGAATAGATTGGTCCACAGAAATGAACCAAACATGCAAAACACAGCGAATAATAGGCTCACATCATATATAAAAATTATAATCCAATCAGATGAAAAGTCCATACTTTACTACGATCCAAAATGTTTCGGTGAATGAAGTATAGTTTAGAATTTTTGATTCAAATTTTAGACTAATATAAGTTATACATTGAAAAATGCGATATCGGGTTGGACGTATAGTTCGTTTAGTGATTGGACTTGCATGCCTCGTTGTTATTGTACCTTTTCTTTTGTCCAAACTCGATTCTGGCAATACAATATCAATTGTTGAAGATACAAGAGATGATGTAAAAACGAAAACTTCTGTCTCTTCATTTTATTAATAATTTTCTTCAAACATATAGGATAGTAAAGGAAATCAAGACGTTTCGAAAGCTAGAATTCTAACGAAAATAAATGGTTTACAACCAGTAATGAGTGACTCCCTAGGAAATTATGAATTGAAAGATAGACCCACGCAAACGGGTCCAGGTGAAGGAGGTAAATAAAATTTAAATTTCAAAGATTATAGACATCATTTATTTTTGTTCAATAGGAATTCCTGTAATTCTTTCTCCCGATGAAGAACAAGCAGCGCAACGAACAATATCTCAATATGGTTTTAATATGGTCGTTTCGGATAAAATTTCCATGGATAGAAACATTAAAGATACAAGACCAGACGAGTAAGACATGATCAAGTTCTTTTAGGAGATTTTTCGACATGATATTTCTCTACTTCCGACATAGTAAAAGTTTCTAATAACAAACTAATAGATTCGTTAAATTTCTCTATGAAGCTTGAAAACTAATCGATCCTATGCAAGAAAAAACCGAACTTTTCTAATCGTATCTTTTTACTCAATTATCTTTAGATGCAAAAATTGGATTTATCCTGATGTACAGCATTTACCAACAGCTTCTGTCATTCTTGTCTTTTTTGATGAAGGCTGGAGTGTTTTAGTACGTACTATACATAGTGTGATCAATACGTCGCCTAAAGAATTACTAAAAGATATAATTCTTGTTGATGATGGTAGTAGTGATCGTATGTATTTCTTCAATATTGTATGTATGTCATAAGAAAAAAATTGTTCTTGTTCTAGCTGCTTTACTGGAACCATTAGAAAAATATATCAAACGCTGGAATGGTCTTGTTAAACTTTATCGAACAGGAAAACGTGTCGGTTTGATTGCTGCACGTACACTTGGTGCAGATAAATCAACTGGTGATGTTATTATTATACTTGATGCTCATTGTGAATGTGTATGTTTTAAAATTGAGTTAATTCAAAACGTTCGTATTCTGTTGTTATTAGGTTGTTAATTGGCTTCCACCATTATTGACACGCATTGCAATTAATCGTAAAGCATTGGCTGTTCCAATTGTAGATGGTATTGAATGGAAAACTTTCGAACATTCAAATATATATGGTTCAACAAATTTTCGTGGTATTTGGGAATGGGGATTTTTATATAAAGAAACTGAAGTACCAGAACAAGAATTAAGAAAAAGAAAATATTCATCAGAACCTTATTGGTATATTGCAATAATTTTTTTCTTTCAATAAATTCCTTTTGTTTTTAGGTCACCAACACATGCAGGTGGATTATTAGCTATTGATCGTCAATGGTTCTTTGAATTAGGTGCATATGATCCAGGAATAAAAGTGTGGGGAGCTGAACAGTATGTTGATGTTTTTATTGAAAAACAATTTTTCAGAAAAAAAAACTTCTATTTGATACTTCAGATATGAGTTATCGTTTAAAGTTTGGCAATGCGGTGGTGTTGTTGAATGGGTACCATGTTCTCATGTCGCACATGCCTATCGTGGTCCACGAAGTCACTCATCGCCCGTACCCGGCTCAAGTCCACATCAAATATCTGTAAATCATATACGTTTAGCTCAAGTTTGGATGGATGAATATGCTGAGTATTATTTTATACGTGAGCCCGCTATCCGTAAATTAGATTATGGTGATATATCCGAAAGGAAAAAATTGAGAGAACAATTAAAATGTAAATCATTTAAATGGTTTATGGAAACTATTGCATATGATGCTTTACAAAAATTTCCACCACCACCAAAAAATGTCGTCTGGGGAGAAGTATAAAAGCTACTGCTTTTTCTTATTTTTAAAAATTTGTAAAAACTTATTTTTAGTGTAAAAATGTTCAACATTCAGTTTGTTTAGCTGATCAAGGTGCTTCATTTGGTCAGCCAATTGGTGTCAGTGGTTGTTATAGACAAGTAAGAAACTAGTTTAATTTTGTGCGAGAAATTATATTTGTTTAGAGCACAGCATTATTTGACGCCATACTAATCTATAGCACGGACAATGAAGAATTACTAAATAATTATCGTTGAACTTTTTCACGTCAAGCTAATCGCAAGTGCAACTGTTGTTTAAAGTTGACTTGATAAATGATTTTAGGATGAAAGCTGGAGGACGGTCAATATTTGCGATGAGATTAGATGCTTGACAACAGTCATGAAAGAACAAAACAAAACGGTGTAGTCGATATGATTATATTAGTTTACGTCTGATTTAACTTTATGAAGTAAATGTTTGTCGTCTAAATTGCTCCATTTCGAACAGATTTTATATTTTGATATAAAATCTGATCGTCAATAGAGAAAGTTAACATGAAAATGAATCTATGGGAAGATAGCTTGAAGTCGGATTTAAGTAAAATGCATGATTATAAATTTGACACCTGATATATTTACCAATATTTTTTGATGATTTTCATCATTATCGTCTTGGAAAATAGGCATTGATTTAGAATAGTCGTGGTATACTACTGTAATTAAAAGCTCTATTGAACGGTTGTTTTCGAACTGGTATTCGATAAAAAAAATTCATCTTTCGAAAGGAGTTGAAGTGACCAAACTACTACTTTTAAGTTCAAAGGTATCACATTCATCCATTGTGAATCAATCATAGGTATACTTATCTATCTAAACAGGTCTTTCAAAATTCAAATCAAACAGTCTATAGTATAAAAGTGAAAATATGTTGTCTTTCCGTCGTACACGTTTTAATAGTCATTTTTTCGTAAAAGCTATGCCTTTCAACGAAAGTTTGGATACTGATACGCCGTATACATTTTCGTCTAACTTTTTCTTTGCATGTTTACATCGAAATCATAGCATTCGTAATTTTGTTTTTATTGAAATCATTGGAGAGGCATTGAATACGAAAAGAATAATGTCTAATAGAACTCACGGATGAAGTGGTATTATCAATCATTATTCATAAAGGCGAGATAATTCAATAGTATTTTCATGTTCAAGTGAACAAAATTTTTCAAAAATTCGTCTCAACTCAGAAAAAAGTCGGCATGTTTCGATGACAATCGGGGTTCCAAATGTGAGCGACAAACAGCCATGTGTCGCCATTTTTGTGCGCTGAAGTGCTTTTGAAAAATTTTGTCTCCTTGAATAATCAACGTTTAGAGTCTAAACTTAAAGTGATACTCAAACATATTTGTTTCTTTCTTAGTCTATACTAGGATTGCATAGGTAATGCGAGGAGTCGACTAATAATTTGCATCGAATTATTTGTTTTTAATGACATTTTTAGTCGTAACGATAGTTCTGAGCTTCACGTAACATTATTGAGAAGAAGTGTCAAAATTAAGATGACTTTCATCTATTAGGTGTTATTACTAAATTTTCTCGCACTATAAAATCTGCATTGCCTATTCAGGTGTTTCACATCAATTTGTTCTCTTTCCTATAGCAGGTTTGGCGTCTTAATGAAGGTGGTGAAATATCAGCCGGTGAACATTGTTTTGCATCTGATCATGATATAGTTAAAAAGAAGTTTTGTTTGGATCATCAAGGTCGATGGAATCCAGTTGGAGAATGGCAATACGATAAGGTAATAAATGAACAAGCGACTAAAATATCATATATTTTTTAAAATCTTTTTCTTATTATTTCCTTTTTAGTCAACAAAACAAATTCGAAGTAATAAACAGCAGCTATGTATGGACACAGATGGTCATAGTTTAAAATTACTTGAATGCAATAAAACGAAAGATTCTCAAAAATGGGAATGGACTGAGATTTATTATTAATATTATTTATTTATTTTTCTTTTCTTTTACAAAAATTATTTACAGTGCTATCATTTTGTTATTTAATTTGTTGAATTTCTTTTGTTATGGACGATAATTTATGATTTGTGTAATATTTAACAGTCGAATTCAAAATGAACCAGTTTGATTTCTTTTAAAATGATTTTATTTAAACTTCTAAATTTCATCCGACTTGTAATCAACAATAAAAACTAACTCTCTTGTGCCTGTACTCTTGGCCCGACAGGAAAAGCAGAGGTCAGATAGTGAAGATGATATGACATTTTTTCTTGTTGGTTGAAACTTGAAGTTCGAAATAAATTTGTTTCAATTGAATTTGACTTTGTTCGATTGGTTTGAAGCTTCAATTTCTATTATGAATGAAAAATACAACTAGTAATTTCTTCCTTGTTGTTTTTTTTCTTTTTAAAGACTGGTTCAGTTATCTTAATATTGTTATCAGCTTGTTTTTTTTTCTTATTACAACTAAGTAATATTGATGTAGGGAATACAGAAATAATTGTTTATCTCTCAATAGAAATTTTTCTTTTTTTCTGTTTTGTTTTTTTCTAATTTTAAGATGTCAATCATTTTCAATAATCTCTCTCGCTATAATTTTTTTATTCGAAGGGTATGTGGTACGGAATTCAATGAGATAATTTCTATTGATTTTTCAGATGACGTCATTGGCAGGTTCAGTATCAAAAAATGTTGCAGGATTTCTTGACTTTATTAATAAAAGTCCAACAGCATTTCATTGTGAGCTTTTAATTCATAAAATATTGTCTTTGATTGGATAAAAATGTATTTCGAAGGTGTTGATAATGTTAAAACGACATTGACATCGGTAGGTTTTAAAGAACTACGGGAACATGAACAATGGAATATTGAACCTTTGGGAAAAGTAAAACAAGAAAAGGAATTGTAATTAAAATAATATTTTGTTTTTCGATTTCTTTAGTATTTTGTTATTAAAGATGATTCATGTGTTGGAGCGTTTGCTGTGGGTGGAAAATATAAAAATGGAAATGGCTTTGCTTTAACAGCAGCACATACTGATTCACCACACCTTCGGGTATGAAAATTGATGTATAGAATATTATTTTCGTAATGAAACTAGATTACACAAGTAAATAATCGACAGAAGCATATCGCTAATACTATGCTATTTCTTACAGGATAATCCTTTCAAGATAAGTAGTTCAGACTAATTTTTGGCTTAGAAGATATAAAAAGATTTATAGTCAATAGTACCAGTTATAATTCTCTATGAAAAATATGCTTTCAAGTTAATATTTTTCATGTTTGTTTGTAGAATGAAACTAAAATCATTTTATCAAACATTTAATGGAAAATACCCGCATAAACCAATTGAGTTATAATTCTATTATAGGTAAAACCTGTATCGAAACGAGAAGAAAGTAATTATTTACAAGTCAATGTAGAATGTTATGGTGGTGGTATTTGGCATACATGGTTTGATCGGGATTTAACATTGGCTGGACGAGTTTTTTTTCGAGTTTGTATAAAAATTAATTATCGATTCTATTATCTTGACAATCTTTTTCATTTAAATAAAGAAACCAAATGGTAAAATTAGTCGACATTTTGTACATGTAAAGCGACCTATCCTTCGTATACCAACCATTGCTATTCATCTTAAACGTGATACTAATGAAAAATTAGAGATCAATAAACAGGATCATTTGTAGAATATCAACAGAATAGTGAGAGACAACTTTTATTGAGTTTTTTTTAAATGTTTAGACAAGCTGTATTGGCATTAAAGATTGAAGAAGAACTCAATAAATCAACAAAGGAAAAGGATACAGCATCGGATGGGAATAAAAAATTAAATGATGAAGTATATTTATAGAAAATACGAAGCTAAAAAAAACACATTCTTTTCTGGTTAATTTTAGTCAAAAAAACATCATAGTCAACTATTACAATTACTTGCTAGCGAATGTAATTGCCAAACCGATGACATCATTACTTTTGATTTAATGCTTGCCGATACTCAACCATCATGTGTTGGAGGTCTTAACAATGAATTTATTTATTCAGGACGGCTTGACAATCAAATGAGTTCATACTGTGCCATTCAAGTAAACTTCTAAATTCAGAAATTTGTATAAGTTATAATAAACTTTGTTCTTCTAGGGCCTTATCAATTCATTGGATACTCTTCCAGATGAAACATTCATTCGAGGAGTTTTATTATATGACAATGAAGAAGTGAGTATAACTTTTTGACATAGACATAAATGATTATTCAATTAAATCAGTTTTTGAATAAGTAATTTCGTTTTATTATTAAACATTTATATACAATCTGAATTCTTCTATCATAAGAATACCGAGTATATTACGATTCATTGATTCTATTCATATAGTGTAGTGTACTAAGTGTCAGCAACGTATATTACATCTGATGAAAGTTATTGCGATCTATTAAGACTTCTTATATTTGTATCATGATTGAAATTTAGACCGGCTCTGAAAGTGCTCAGGGTGCAATGAGCGAATTTACTCAACATACATTACGTCGAATGACACGTGATGACTATGAACGTTCCGTTTCTAATTCATTCCTGGTTTCAGCTGATATGGCTCGTATGTTTACTGATAAAAGAATACAAATCAGAAAGCTGCTTTTATTCTTTTTTTTTTAAACAAAGATGGTGTTCATCCAAATTACAGTTCACTTCATGATCGTGATCATCGACCATCCTTATTAAATGGCGGAGTTGTTGTTAAAACCAATTGTTGTAATCGCTATGCGACAACTGCATTTACTGCAACGTTACTTAAAGAAATTGCTCGATTGAGTAATGTTCCATTGCAGGTTTGTAATATTTTGATGAATTGGATTGGCTTATTTTTAGTAAATTTATTTTCTAATTAAAGGAGTTCTCTATGAGAAACGACATGCCATGCGGAACAACTGTTGGTCCAATATTATCTGCTCGTCTAGGAATGTCTACAGTTGATATTGGTGCACCACAATTATCAATGCATTCGATTCGCGAAATGACATCAACACAAGCTTTAGAACACTATATTGAGTTTTTCAATGTAAGAACTTGATTTAAAAAGAATTTTGTCTCTCTTTATAATGTTTTTATTTTTAGGGATTTTACAAAAATTTCAAACAAGTCTACGAGTCAATCGAACACTAAATCAAATGACTAAAATTTTCTTCTTTTGCATTTTCTTTAATTCAAAAAACGATTTGCTTAATTACACGATTTACTGAGATCCTTTTTTCCTTTCATATGCTTCAGATAAAATTATGACTGATGAAAATATCGTACCACCTAGTGAACATCCTGTTAAAATACGTTGGTTAAATGCAGCTGGTAATTATATTGATATTTTATTTTCTGTCACACTCTTCTATCTTATTTTTACTTTTCTTAAGTAGAACAGAGTTCAACAATACAAAAGCCAGTAGCACAACATCCTCAAATGCCAGCAATAAAAACAAATAAAGTTACTGCTCCGTCTGTAGTAACCAAAACACGAACAAAGGTGATTTAGTCAACTTTCTAAATTTTATTCGCTAAATCAGGCGGAAGGGTCCTCTACTTTATCTATTATACGAACGATGTATTCTGTTCATACTTAATAGTATCGTAAGATATTAAAGAATAGCGTAAAACTCGCATCCGTATGAAACTTTACAGATTACATGCAGTGAAAAACATGTCCAATAAAATCTGTGTTGGAAATTAGGCCGTCTTCTGATTAAAAATGTACTGAATAATTAATAAAAATATCTAATAAATATCCTCAACCGTTTTAAATCAACTTCTCCTAGACTCAATTCATTTATTTATAGTTGCCATAAAATAATGAAGCTTTTCTTTTAAGTCAATATTGAAACAATTTGTACTTGAATTTTAATAATAGTTAGCAATGATGAATGAATGAGAGCATAATTTACAAATAGATTCCTTTAGTTGTCTTTGCCCCAAGTATGCATCAGTAAAAATATCTGTCGGAGAGGTTTTCAATGTATTGCAACGTAATGTTGTCCTATGCCAGCTGCTGTTCTTTCTTTGGTTTTTTTTTTCATCGATGTTGCCTCGAACGCTCGTATTTTCAGTAGTAATCATTTTGAGAGCGAATCGTTTTGTAAATACTTGTTCAAATGCACATATAAAATTTCACAACTGAATCAATACTCTCCGTTTTCTCATCGTGAATATGATGTTCTACTTTCGAACAAGAAGCTATGGAAGACAATAACGATAATTTTTTTTACAATGAGCATACAGTGTAAAGAATAAGTTAATCTCTAATTGACTTCTATTTATCGAGGACAGCTCTAAACACACAAGCAATCACTGAGAGTAAGAAACCAAAGGGATCAATTGAAAGCAGTTCTTATTTCAATCCTATTTATATTCATAAACTAAGTTCTCTCGTTACAAGCACTATTTCACACCTGCATTCAGACTTTGATCAGCTGTATAATCGAAAATCAATATTCAGGTAAACTACTTGACAAACGAATGCCCTGATAACAGTCAACAGTAAATATCCCTCGCCAAAAAGCATTTCTTAACCAAAACACATATTCGATCTGTACAGACGTGTTCTGAGCACTCACACGGATTTAGAGGTATCGAACGATTTTTTTAAAATCAAGCAGCCAAAAATCCAATGAAAAACCCTGAAGCTTCACTATAGAAAAGCGATAACGTCTTTTTAGCATTAGAAGCCACGCCTCTAACTTACTTATACTCGTGTCAAGCCGACTTTTAATGTGATATACCGAATTTTACAATCGATTATAACTCAAATATATTTTCTATAGGTTCCAAGTGCAACTAATATTGTCCGATTTATTGACCAACCTCCTGCTGCGTCATCAGCTATTTCTGTCGATACGTCGATTCAATCGTCTAAAGGTATAAAAGAATTAAGTCCTGAAGATAAATTAAAAATTGCCAATTTAATAAAAGAACTTGCACGGTACAACATTTTCTAATTAATCTTGTTAAACATAAATTATCGCGGATATTTCTAGTATTGGTCATGAAAAAGAAATAGTTGAAAGTAAACTCGAACAAGAACGAAAATTATTCGAAACACAAATGAAAACACTATTAACCGACTACGATAAATTAATGAAAGATAATCAGAGTAAAAACTTTCGTCTCCTTGTTTTTATTCAGTTTTTTTTTCAATTTTCTTATTTAGAAATTCTCATACGTTATAATGAAACAAAAATTTTGTTAAATGAATACGAAAAGAGATCTCGAATAAAACCAACACCACCACCACCATCAAATGAATTTCCAAATCCTCAACGAGTAACGACTCGCTCCTTTTTCTTATAGTAGCAATGCGTAATGCTTCATTATTTAGTCATCAACACCTATTAATGTACCACCAAAAGAACCTCCTACAAATCATAGTAAGAATGAAAAAGATCTAATTCAATCTTCTCATACGACTCATTCAATAATAAGCGAACAATTTCAATTAAAACAATCGATGATGGAAAAACAATTAGAATTACTTCATAAACAAGTTTGTGATGATGCTATTGTTTTCTCATTTCGTTGAAAAGCCGGTGTCTTGTTTTAGCAACAAATACTTGAAAAAGAATTGCAACAACGAAATATTAATTTGTCAATGGAACAACCAGTAAAATCATCATCAACTTCAACTATTCAAACAACAACACGAGCTACATCGCCGTTGAAACATGAAATTAAAAAAGTTGTCGTCGAACGTGCTACATCACCGGCGAAGGTAGCAACAAAACCGATTGTCAAGTAATGCAATTTCTCTAGACGACTTTTTTTACAAAAACAAATTTATATTGATTTAGAATTTCTGACAAACAAGTCAACCGTCCAATACAAACTCAACGCTTTACAATGAATAATAATGATGAAGATCTTTTAATTTTATCTTTGAATGAATCATTGCACGAACAAGTACCAAATAAATCACAGATAAATCATAAGCCTCAATTCAAGAATAACAATCGAATGAATGCCAATGCAGATTCGGAAGAACAAAACTTACTGAAAGATATCTTTTTTATTTGTTGAAAAATATTTAAAAAAAAAAGACTTTTTTTTATAGATTGCTTTTGAATCACTTTTTGTCAGTATATATAAATACATGTAGTTATAAATGATTGTAGAATAGTATGAAAAGTCCATTCCAAACTGTTTTTGAATGTTAAATGATAATTAAAAATAAAAAATTTTTCAAAAAAACTTTAAATTCTATTCCGTGCCTCGCATATATTATAAGCATCTGATAGAAAATATGTACAATGTTTACGAAAAAATAAACATGAAATGTCTGTAATAAGAATTTTTCCGGCTAAATTCCAAAGATCTATGAAGAAATTTACGCATCAACTATCATGAAAAACCTTGATGACAGCCTTCACATTATCAATTTATCGTTTCTTCTTGATTAAATCGAAAGGAAGTAGATGATGCTAATGATGAGAATATACATCTAAGACTAGACATATTTATTTTAGTTGTCGCTGTTCTCCTTGACTATGTTGGATTGACGACAATCGAACAATAAGAATGAAAGGAAAAAAATCTTAAAGAATACCACAAATAAAGCCTAAATTACACACATTTAATAAATCGTTTATCTACTTTAGCCGTCTAATCGTTCTGTGTATGTGTCGGTACAAGAGGCAATGACTTGAGTAAATACAATAAAGGTAAAAGAAGAGACTTACATAGAAAAAAAAGACAGCAATAAAAGTGTATGCATATATGCATCAGCTAGAACACGTTTATATTTTTTCATTGTCTATTTATATGCGCACTTTTTTTACCATGTAATTTTTTTTGTTTCGTCATTAGTTATATGTGAAGGCGATAACAAGTAAAACGGCTATATTTTTACTATTATTAAAAAAAACAGCAAATATTTTTTTCTTCGCTTCATTTCGATGAAAGAAGAAAAAAAGTAAAAACGACACCGACGGATATATGCTTGATATTTATTATCAGTACATTATAATCAATTGGCTGTAGACGAACGTATGGTGAGATGAACTATTTATTTTTTACATGTATATTTCAATAAGGAATAGAATGTAACGAGAGAGAGAGAAAGAGAAATTGTATTTTGTTCTTGTGTTAGATAAATAAAATCGTCCTGCGCATGTAAAAACTTATTTCTCGATACTTCTGAGATCTGTTCTCAACCAACGTACGCGTGGAAAGTGGAGCAAACAGAGTTTTTTATTTTTCTTCTCCTTTTTCTTTTCTTCCTCTCTAGAGTAGCACGTAAACAGAATGCATTCAGCTTCATTTACTTTTGCCAAGTAAAACAAAATCCATCTTCATTCATTTGAAAGCTGTTAAACTGAAATATGCAAGTTGGTGAAACGTCTTCATCAAATCCACGAAAACATCATCGAGTTCATCCCATCGGCGAACGTACTTCTCCTACGAATGAAAATAGAAAAACGCATACTATTTTAACAATATCATCAAACGATGATGATACAGTACCATCACGAGATGCGTATCCACGTTCATATTCTCAAGCATCACATTCTTCGACATCATCCATTGATATTCGTGCTAGCGATGTTATTAAACGTATAACAAGTCCATCTAGTGCAATATCAACCAATGATGAAATACTTCCACAAACGTTTTTTCGTCGTATGTCAGCTAGTTGGAATATGAACTCGTTTGTACAAATGACGCCAACGCAAACATCTACTTTACCAGCTATACACGATTTGAATTCAACAACAACTACAAACGATGAAACTTATTTACATTCAATGATAACAACAGTAACAAATATTAATACTAATGTAAATGAATGTGAAATATGTTACTTAACAAATGACTGTGAAAATTTACGATCATGTGAGCATAATTTTTGCCATTCGTGTTTACAAATGTATTTAATTGATAAAATACATCTCGGTTGTCCAGCATTATTAGAATGTCCACATAATGAATGTAAAGAAGTTCTGCATCCGAGTGATATTAAAAGAATATTAAATGATCAACAAATGTATGAACGTTATGAAACATTTATGTTAAGACGAGTTTTACAGAAAATGCCGGATACCAAATGGTGCCCGTAAGTATATACAAAAAAAAGTAAAAGAGAAAAATAAGAAATTTTATTTTTGAATAAAATAAAATATTGAAGAAACTTTTTTGTTTTCAAAAAAAATATTAGTTATCCAAATTGCAATTTTGCTGTGTTGGTTGAAAATACTCGTAAAGCAAGTAAATTCGATTGCCTTGTTTGTAAGCGACCATTTTGTCAACGTTGTTCACAAATTTGGCATCCCAGTTCAACATGTGAAAGTGCATCTGCTCAACGTGCTGCAAAAGATCCTACACTCGAAATGTTGATGAAATCGAGTACGAATGGTGGAAGTATTCGATCTTGTCCACGATGTAAGCTTTCGGTTTTCTTTCAAAATGATACAATTAGAAATATTTTCGAATTTATGATTAACATGATTTTTTCCTAAATACAGTAAGAATAATCAGCATTCGTTCATGCAGTTATATTATTAGTTTTCATCAATTATAGAGATTCATTCAGACGAAATGACAATAGGAATAGTTAGACATGATCCTACTAGAAATTGTGATAATAAAATTTTGTTGAAATACAATATGTGAGTGTTAAATTGTGTAGTAAAAGAAATACGAACTGAATCTTACATTGTTTTGAAGGATGAATTTTCAGTCACGTTTTTTTTGCGATATTTTTTTCTAATTCTTTTATTTATGATAATAAGTTCGTAAATGTTAAATCGAAGGTTAAAAGAGTTTTCATTTTATATAATGTTGTATTATTTATTACATATTATAAATCTGCTTGATTGGATCACGTACATAAATATTTATCATCATACTATTCAACATCAACATAGTATCAGAGATATTAGTAAAATACGAGTTTTTATTAAAAATAAAAAACATCAATCTTCATTCAATGAAATCTTATTTTAGACTTATTTAATCATAGACAATTTGAACAAAGAAAAAGCTCATGTTCTCAGACTATAAAAAATTAGATGAAGATTATTTCATCAGATATTTAGGTTGTTTTTCTAATTTTAGTAAAATATATTCTATTTGCTTTTGTTTTGTTTTGAATGCAATCTATTTTGAATTATGGTAATAGAATTTCACCATAGTAGATTATAATGCATAAACTAAATATACGTCATCATAATTGTCGACTACAGATTATTCTATTTTAGTTTTGATAACGAGCACAACGACATTCCGAGATACCCCAATTAAGACAATTATTTTAAAAAATTGAGTCTCGAAAATTTTTCTTTTATAATCAACAATGTAAGTAGATGAAAACGTCATTTCATGGCAATCTCTAATTCATATAATCGTAACTCTGTGGATCTTAAATCTATTTTATAAATTATGAGGCTTATTAGCATATCCTGATTTACAAGATAATTGCTCCATAAAAGTAATCTTTTACAATGCAAGAAAAGGATTTAAAGACTTCAATTAGCTGCTCTTATAATCTATGAGATGAACGAAACTCGTGGAGCTTTTAAAAGTGTTCTTTGTTTTCATGAATCATGTCACTGCGGATCAATTATCGTTAGGTTGTTTTTATTTTCTTAGGTAAAAGCCCAATAGAAAAATTAGATGATGGTTCATGTAATCATATACGTTGTGCCATTTGTACATGCGAATTTTGTTGGTTATGTATGAAAGAAGTCGATAATTTACATTTTATAACTCCTACCGGCTGTACGTTTTATGGTCAAAAACGTTGGTCAAAATTTAAATCAATAATTTATTTATTATTATCATGGATATTAACTCCAATCGTAGCAATATTAATCATTGTTCTTGCTGTCCCACTACTGTTATTTATACTACCGATAGTCATAACAAAAAAATTCTATCGATACTCTCTTGACATCGATGTTGATTCAATGCCTCGTTTTCTTCTATGTATATTCGTATTTATAAGTACAGTTATTTTAACGCCACTAATTTTGACTTTTGGTTTACTTATTGGCATCCCATTGATCCTTTTTTTTATTTATTTTTATATGCCACGAAGATATATATCGGCAAATTTTTAAAAAAGAAAAAGCAAAATCTGTAAATTTGTTTTTTTTCTTATTGTTAGGTTTTTTTAAATATTCAATACGCATAAAATGTTTAATATAATAAAGTGAAATGAATAGAAGACAAACAATTGTACATCAGGAAATCAACTCAAGCAATAATACATGCACTTTCGGACGGTGGCATTCCTTGCGGTATGGGCATTTCACGAGCTTCTTTTACTTCACGTGCATGTTTATCTTCTTTATATTGCTAGAAACAAAATAGAAGGTATTAGAAGTCTTTAAATAAAATTTTTGTGTTATTTTACTTTGCCCACATTTCGACCAATATCAAATGCTCGGTAAGTATTCGCAGAAAATAAACTATTTAATTTAGCTGGAATATATTCTTCAGCTGGTAAAATGCCATGAACTGGATTTTCAAGTGGTTGTAAATCAGTTGCAGCTCGTTTATGATGGCTGAAAAAATAAATAGACAAAACAATAGAATTTAATCAACAAGAGAAGAAAACCTACATAATATTATTCTCAAATTCAACTGTTGATTGAACACGACGAATCATTGAATCGAGTTGAAGAAAAAACGGATGTCGTTGTGGTGATCCAGCCCCTTTTGTTTTAGAATATTGCTCACAAAAACTAGCTGCTTGCTGTTGAACTAAACAATAGATTGACTAATCGTATTGAAAAGATATATAATTGCCAATTGTTTACCTTTGCTTGCTTCTTCAGCAGATTTCAAAGCATTCGGTGCATCATTTTTCTTGAGAAAATCTAATGCTTGATATGCGCGTGCCTGATAAAAAGCAATATATTATAGAATGAAACGTTGAATAATATCATACTTCAGCTAAATAAAATTTTGACTTAAGACCAAAATACATACGCCATTGCCCAACAATTTTCTCATCTAATGTTGATAGTTGTTGACCTGAAAATACTTGTTTTCTTAAAATTTACCGTAGAATTTTTTCGGTTTTCAGTTACCTCCCATTTCAAAATATTGTGAAATTTGGTTACTAATGCTTGAAATCAAGATATTATCTTGTTTTGCATTCATTGCTCGTGCTGCCGTAACTACAGAAAAATAATTAAAATCATTTTGTTCACAATTTCCTTCAATATCAAATAGAAATCTAACTTTCATGAAATTCTCCCATACAACTAAAATAATAAGCGGCAATAATTTTTTCATTAATATCCGAACAAGGTGGTAATTTAACTTCATTTAATTTTCGAATTTCAACATCCTATTTTTACATTACAAAAACTATTTCAATATAAAAAAAAAACAAATAGGAAACAAACCATAACATGTTTAAACATTCCAGCTGCCATGCGAAGTGATTTATGTACATCGAGTGCATCCTTATCACTTGGCCTACGAAAAAACAAACATAATTTGAAGTTAAACGATGAGATCATTTTATTTATCAATACTTACGTGCTACTTTTTGATGCAACATATGCAGCATGTTTTGTATACCACATAGCGACATTCAATGTCATACAACATATTTCAAATTGTGCATCTTGAACATCACTAAAATAAAAAAAGAAAGTCTATTTACTTTGATGATAGGTTTTACTCGTACGTTATAGGATCGGTTTTTGTTAATGAATCACTCCAATAGAATTTCGTTGTATAACGTAATTTCGAATCATCACTGCTACCATCTGGTGATTCTACATAACCGGTTAATAACGATATATATTTGTCAAATGAGTCTCGGATATGAGACGTTTCAAGTGTTGGATTACATAGTAATTGTAAAATATCAAGACGCAATTGACGGAGTTGACTTGAGAAAAAAAAGTAAAAGTTATTTTATTTTATGAATTTATTTTAAAATATTACTGGCAAATTTGCATAGCATCGGTACTTGATGGCGATGTCCGTTGATCGAACGACACGAGAGCCGTTGATTTTAACGGATTTCGATGAAACCAATGATTAATTGTAAACATCTTGAAAAAAAAAAAGAAAATTTAAAATAATAGAATAACAAGTATAAACACAATGCGTAGTCTTCTCGTTATTTTTTTTATTTTGCATATGTAACTGAACTATAAATAAGTATGTTTTATTTGAAGAAGATATGAAGAAAGAAAAAGACCGATGAGACATTTGATGGCATGCCAAAATGACTACTTTTGACATGAGTCATGATATGTCGATCCGTGTAGTACCATAAGAGTTCTTGCCAACCAATGGAAAAGTAGAATAAAAATTTTGTCTGTTCATTGATGATCACTCATCATTACTATTGAGTTGGTTAATATTTTCTTTTGAGATTTCTCAAAATATAAGGATTAAATACAATAGAATGAAATCAATTTGATATTTTCTTCACTTGTCTAATCCGCAATGTAAACTAACATACGCTTTCATTGTGATCTTATTTCTTTTCAAAACAAAAAAAGGGTAGACGGAATCAACTCTTGTTTAAAAAATAACTGTACTTAAAGTAGATTTATGAGCCATTGTTGTGAAATCGTTTTCTCATTTGTCAAAAAGAAAATTGTGATTAACGTCGTTGTTTCTGCTTCTGTATTGACTCAATAAATTTCAAGACATTGGATGATTTATTTTCAAGTAAAAACAAATGAATATTTACCGATATCAAATCCGTTTAACAGATTGCGTTTTTTTGCTAGATTTTTATTAAAGTAACTTTAATAAGTAGCGAAACACAAAAAAAAACGATGAGATAGGATTTATAATCTTTCGATATTTATCCACAATGTCCAATACCCAACGATGCTCCTGATACCGGTGCTAAATGCATCCATGAACGCATTGCATTTATAACAGCTATATCACGATGTGTGTGTGTGTAACCACTACCAGCATATGCACAAGCCATTGGCTCATGAGCTTTTATATATGGCACAGAATTACGACATGATGCACATGTGACAGTACATAGATCACATAATGATTTTCCATCAGGAATACCAAGAACACCATGAGTATGATAATAAGACGACAGAATAAATCGAATAGGCCAATCGTTATCGTTGTTCTGTGCACCATTTGGATTTGCAAAAAGACGAATTTCAAAATTACGATGATCAGATGCAGGACAATTTTTAACAAGGACACAACCAGCACCGGCCATATCACGACTGCTTGAACCTGGATTCTGTTGATCATGATCATCATTTTGAATGACGACACGATGACGTGATACTGTTGGATTATTGAACGGTTCTTTTGGATAGAGACCATCCCACATCTAATTATTATTTTTGAAAAAAATGATCAGCTCAAATGAAGATGGTTTAAAGAAGATTTTTACCTTAATTTTATTGACTTCAGAATCTGAGCCAAGATCATTCTTAAGAATATTTTCGAACATAGTACCATACCATGAAGGTCCTTGCCATATAACGCCAGCTTCTCCACCTGTGAGAACTTCGAGCCAAACAAAGAAATCATCTGGCAATTTTCCACCCATTTTCTTTTGAACTTTTTTCATTATTGCAGAAATATCTTCAGGTGACATATGTTTAGCTGCATCAATACGAAAACCACTAGCACCTATGCTCAACATGTCAACAAGATATGCGGCTTGACGTTCACGAACATTATCTTTCGATGTATCAAGATCACTAAGGCCAACAAGCCAGCCATTATTCATAATAAATAAATCCGACCACGAACCAAGTACACGATCACAATGAAAATCTTCAGGACCAATCGTAGCACCAGGAAATTCATTAGATGGAGCTTTGCCTGTATTTGGATTATATTGATAAGTGTATGCGTGTGTATAGAAGGGTGATTGTCGTTCAACTGGCGCACTGCTTGTTTTATTACCCCATTTTACGCAACCATTAGGATTTCGATGTTGATTCATATCATTACCAGCACCAGTGAAATGATTGAGAACTGCATCAATATAGACTCGGACACCATATCCACGACATGTATTAATTAGCTCACGTAATTCTTCCCGTGTACCCATTCGACCATCTAACTTGTAGGATACTGGTTGATACCTCAAAACAATCGATTCGTCTTAAAGTAGATCAAATAATTAAAATGTTAATTACTTACATAAAATACCATGGATTCATGGCATCCTCAAATGGTTGTGTTGACATTAATTGTTCGTGGACTGGAAAAAGTTTTACACCTAAATAGCCAGCTTTAGCAAGAAATTCACATTCTTCTTTAACATCTTTATGAGGCCATCCAAACATTTCTGCAACACCACCTTTTTGTCCATTACGATAATCACCTGATCGACTAGCAATCGGCCGTGCATTCCAAACGAAATCAATATCTGGTAATTCTAATGTTGATCCATCACTTCCAACAACTACGGCCTTTAATATGTCAGTATAGCCGCTTGTAAAACGTTTACATTTATTAGATTGAGCAGTATTATCAAAATAATAAGTTAATGTAACTGTACTAGCATAACGATGTTTTGTTTCAAGACAAACATCAGCTGCACTACGATCAGAACCAGTATAAATGATATCAGCATAACCAACAAGTGTATGATAATCTTGATATGATGATTGATAATCTTTTGTGCCAGGTTTCGGTGTTTGCCAACGTTTTGCTTCTACACCTGCATTTGCATGAAATTGAGAGCCACCTTCACAACTTTCTTCTCTAAATACTCCACATCCTGGTAGTTCATTAGGACAATCGCCTGGACATGTTTGATATGTTTCATTAGGTTGACATGTTCCATCGCCACATACTGGACAATTGCCACAATCACTTGAACACGAATCACATGTTTCAGCATCTTCACATTTTCCATCGCCACAAACAGCTGGTGGACATACACCACAATCAGTTAAACATGTTCGACATGTTTCACCTAATTCACATTCTCCATTACCACAAACAGTAGTCAGAGGACGAAATGATAATGCTTTTGTATTAGGATTAAATACAAGCTCAACTGTACCAGCTGCACCTGTAGAAAATTTACAGTTACCACCATTATTACAACCAATACTGCCTGCCCATGAATTATCAAAAGTGACTTTCCATTCATATGCTTTGTTTGGTGTTAAACCAGAAAGAACAAGTAAATAAAGGCAAGATGCTGAATCCAATGTCATTAACGTGTTAGCTTCCGTAGCAAGCCATAGAGCTGAGCTACCTAATTCTATTTGAAAATCACCTGCTGCTCGAACTATTCGACCATTAAATGGATTCGAACATGTCGGTACTGCTGTAGATGTTGACGCACCAGGAGTTGTAGTTTCACCGCTAGTGAGAGGACTTGTCGTCAATTGTCCACTATATGAATTATAGATTAGAAGAACAACGCCAGAAGAACCGCTGTTAAATTGACAATTAGTACCACCAACACATCCTTTGTCGCCACCCCAGTTACCATTAAACGCAACTTTCCATTCATAGTTTGTATTGACTGGTAATCCTTGGACGATTTTCTCATATCGACAAGTTCCTTGGTTGAATTTCATTTGACCTTTGGTTTCTGTTGGTGACCAATTGACACCTTGGTCACTACTAGCTGCAAGAAATGAGCCAGCAGCTACAACTGACGCGCCTTCATTTGGATCTTTATCACATGCATAGATAATGCTATTTAAAGAGATAAATACAACGATGCATAAAGGACTTAACCAGAGCATCATTGTAGTAGAATATGATGATTTAAATTGAAGACTGTAGAATATATACTTATAAAGAGAGAGAGAGAGGAATGAAACAGGTGCGGCTTTATTAATAAGATAAAACAGTAAATGAAAGGTATCTCAACTAGAATCACGCGGCTTCTGTAGTTGTTTTGCGTGATACTAGGTTGTGGATGTGGGTGTGTTAAGAACGAAAATAAATATGTGCCAATCGATGATTTCGACTATATTGGTTGATCTTATGTAATGGAAAAGATAAAAATTAATTCCGATTAACATGTACACAACTCCACAGGTGATATATATTTTTTCGATATTTTTCTGTAAATTTCGCTTACTAAATCAAATCATATTTTATGGCTAGACAAACACTGAAACGAAAAGATTTTAGTCGTTTTGTAATTCTTTTTCTTTTGCATATTTGACGTTTCAAATACAATTGACAACACAAAATTTGGCATACTTTTCTATCCTATTTGTTTCAGTTTTTTTTATATTGATAGTATACGTTTTTCAATAATTATCATTGATGCACGATAAATCCTTTCAACTAAACCTTGATATTCGCTTACGCTTTTCGTTTCTGCGAACTTTTATGTAAGACACTCGAAAATCAAAATAAAACTTTGATTGAGGTGCTATGAATATTGATAATAAAAAGGACTAGAAATATTCTTTACGGATTCAAGCATCCTTGATTAAGTAACTTGAATACGAGAGAAAGAAAAATGAAAAAGGATTAACAATAATTGGCATCGTATAATATTCGTTTCATCATTGAATTTCCAATTCTGCAGTCCAATGTTTAAAAACATGATTACAGTGCCTTACAAGTACGAATCTCAAAGTTGAAAAAACCTGAATTTAAATAAATGAAAATATTACGATGGTAGAAGCACTTAGAAAAAAGAAGAATATTCTAACTTTATGTCACACCTACATTGTTTCTTCATATAGTACAACGAATGAGCATTATTGGGATCATCTTTGAAGAAAAGCAAGTCTAGGTCAATTGTTTCCATAGGAGGCGGAATGTTTCTAATTTAGGGGGGTGAGGGGCTGAAAAATTTTTTCCAGAATAACCATAGAAAGTCGACATTAGGAGAGAAAACAGAATTTTCAATTTTGTTATCACAACTTTCATTCAAAACATTTTCTTCACTGACACATTTGCAGACCTTGAGAAGAATTGAAAATTTTACTGCACTATCAAAATTTTTATTTCATTATCAATATAAGGAAAAGCAAAAATAATCTTAAATCTTGACTAAAGCAAATAAAAAAGGTTATAAGTACAAAAACTATTTTGTTGATGTCGGTGTCGACATTATCTTTTTTTACGACACTTACTGTTTGTTTATCATTTCAAAAGCTTTCAGAAGCAAAATACAACACGTACTACAAATTCTAATAACAAATAAAAACACATCGACACCATAAATGTATTTTCTGAACGTTGATTATTGTTCTTTTAACTTCAAGAAGGAGTCGCTAGTGATATTACATGTAGATGTTTAAAAAACATACAAACATATACTTATTAAGCATATAATCACGTTGAAATCTGTATTTTTTTTCCAAAATCTGAGCCCCTCCAAGCCCCTCGAATTATTTTTCAGGAGAGGCTTGAGCCCCTCCTAGCCGAAGGACTCCGCTGCCTATGATTGTTTCTAAATCATCATACATGATATTATTCTAAAACAAAACAAAACTTTCTTCATTACTAGCTAGCAACAGTGAGATGCTTTACGACAGACAATACAAACGAATTAAGCTATGCTAAAAAAACGAAAAAAAGATTTTCAAAATTGTGCATCATGGTATCACACCCCTGACCACCTGTGAATCATAGCCAAAATTATTGTCTATCTCTATGTATGAAAATTATATTTCTAGAAAATATTCAACAGACTATTCTAGTTTTAATTTTTATTGGAAAACTGTTTAGTTCGTTCTGTTCATTATATTATCCATGATCTGCGGTGCAGGAATTTTTAAATTTGAAGAAGAAATTTTCGTCCGTGTAGATTGGTATGAAATAGTTGATTTGCATATTGGTATGGAATATAATTCCAGTCTCTGTATATTTTTATAATAATTGCA